GCACCGGGACCCCGATGTGGGATTCGATCCCGGGTCTCCAGGATCGCGCCCCGGGCCAAAGACAGGCACCAAACCGCTGCACCACCCAGGGATCCCCCTTATCATTAATCTTTATTTTCTTCAGGAGCTGGCCCTATCCTGGGAACTCTCTCTTCCTCCTACTTGAGACCTCTCTATCTTAGAGACTGCAGATATTTAGAAGAGATTCCAAGAGGGGGCTCCACATCTATTCACGTACAATCCACACTGTTTACTCTCTGGCTCTGGCATATCTGTACTCTGCAGTTTAACACTTAGGGAAACTGTTTTGCCATTTAACACATTCTCTTCCCAGTTGAAGTGGAGAAAAAGTTCACTATCCAACACTGAATACTACTTCCAGAGCTCTTCCCAATTTCTTCTTTCTATTCCCTACACCGGGGACACAGACAGGGGCAAACCACCTAGCCTCTAGGTCTCTTTAGACCATTCCCTTCTTTTAGAATCCAGACACATCCCTTCCAGCTAGGCAGATTATTCTCTACCAAACATGCTTAGTGTGGCATGTTTGCACCCATCTTCTGTTTGTGCACCTGTCTTATGCTCTCTTAATCTGTTCATGCTATTTTCTTCAGTGGGAGGTATTGATAGCTGTTTCTCCCATGTTCTGAATAGCTCAACACTGAATTGGGAAACCTTGTGAGCCAGAGAGAATGAAGTGACAATGCTCTTGTTCCACAGTTCTTCAGAGTGAGTCTGGGGTGGGGGGGCACCTGGGTGGCTCAGTGGTTGAGCATCTGCCTTCGGTTCAGGGCATGATCCTGGGGTCCTAGAATCGAGTCCCACATCAGGCTCCCTGTAGGGAGCCTGCTTCTCCCTCTGCCTATGTCTCTGCCTCTCTGTGTCTCTCGTGAGTAAATAAAATCTTAAAAAAAAACAAAAACAAAAACAAAACTGGTTCTAGGGACTAAGGGAAAAAGAATATCACTCCACTTCTGAGATCTGAACTCACAGTTAACCTTTGTGGTTGAAACCAGGACCTAACAGAAGTAGCAGAGGTTTGGGGGTGCCTGGGTGGCTCAGTCGGTTAAGTGTCCAGCTAGATTTCAATTCAGGTCTTGGTCTTGAGGTCATGGGATCAAGCTCTGCACTGGGCTCAGAGCTCAGCCCAGTTCAGCTTGAAATTTCTCTCTCCCTCGCCTCCTGCCCCTCCCCATCCCTGCTCGCATATGCACCCTCTCTGTAAACAAATAAATAAAATCTTTTAAAAAAAAAAAAGGTAGCAGAGGTTTGGCAAACTCCCCTACATGCATTCAGTCATATTCACGACAACAGAATTATAACCAGATGGAATTGCTCATATAGAATAAAGTGGTAAAAGGACACACACCAAATGTGAACAGCGGTTTTCACTGGGATAATCAGAAAAATCTCATTTTCTTCTTGGGGCTTTTATTTTCCCAAAATTTCTGTAGTGGATACAGATTCCTTTTATAATCCCCCCCCACCCCCCAAAAAGAGATCTTTAAGAAAACAAACTAGCTGGTTAAAATAAATGCCAAATGTATACATCTAAATTAGGCTCTCAGAAGGGTCACACAGGCTGGGTGAAATAATTAAAAGCACAGACCCTGGGGCCAGGCCACGTGGGTTCCAATCCCAGTTCTGCCCTTTCCCAGCTGTTGTGAACTTGGGCAAATTTCTTTACCCTTCTGTGCTTCCGTTTCCTTATCTGTAAGAACAATAATACCCTCCTTAAAGGATTGGTGTGAAGTGTACAGGAGTTAGTAAATAAGAAACCCTCAGAATAACGCCTAGCCTGGAGATATTGCCTATTTGCTACTGCCCACAGTAAGTCGCACTATTGCTCAAAATGGTCTTGGAACCACATTGTATTCAGGGTCTTAAGCACATTCCCCCTGAATCACTTCATGTGGATGCAATGGGGATGCCATTTCCTCCTTTGAGGAAGTGCTAATTCTTGGGAGCAATCAAGCTATTTGGGGTTCAAAATAACCCATGCCTATGAAGTCAAGAACTTAGTAACTCCTGCATCGTTCATCTACTGCCTATGAAATATTCCATAAAACACCCACGGACCCACATCCAGACAGTTCAGCACCATTTAGGGCTTGATCAATCCCTGGGTGACTAATGGGTTCGGCTCCTGCTTACCAAGAGACTGAAAAATAAATTTTAATTATGAGACCTCTTCTTTCAATCGATCCTGAGGGCTTTAGTGACTGGCCCACAACCAACGGGCAAATTTCATAAAAGGCTGATTTACATTTAAATCCAAGCCTTTTTTTTTTCTTCCTCAAAGTTTGCTGATGCCAAGCTTTAAGTATGAAATGTCATTGTTTTCATACAAATATTCCCAAACATTACCAGTTGTCATTTTGGCATTAAATAAGGTTGCAGCATTAACAATGATAACATTAGCATTTTTAAAAGCCTTAACATCATTGTTCTTCTGTAAATTAATGCAGGCTCAAATTACCCTACACAGAATCTTTAGAGTAAAAAAAAAAAAAAAAAAAAAAAATAACAGGGCACTGGCATCAAAGCCAGGTAGGGCTGCTTTTGCTGGGACCAGGATGGCCTCATGCTAGCCCAATTATCGCCCTACTGGAACATGCTGCAATGGTGGGCCCCATCGTGTGCATAAATAACGGTGAATAAGAAGTGCGTTCAACATTCTTTTCTCAAGATGCAAGGGGTTTTGATAAAATCTAACTGGGTTGTCGCAAAGGAAAAGAATTCTCTGTGTTCTAAGTACTCAATTCTTTACAAAAACATTTTCCTTTTTTTAAAAAAAGGTTTCATTGATCTGTCATCTTGGGGAATATTGTGTTCCACTTAAATGGTTTTGCAAAGAAATTTAAGTATCTCTCTTTATGTCTCCAAATGTCATCTGTAATCTTTCTGGGGGAAATTGTATTACCTGTGCCCTTAAGTTCCCTAACCAGATAGTATTACTATTACAGACCTCTAATACTGAAACCAAAAGGGCAAAGCAGCATGGTGAATAATACAAACTTAAGAGCGGAATAAATCTAGGTTCAAATCTGGACTCTGCTGCCACTTACATGTGAGATCTCATGGTTACTCTCCCTCTCCCCTCCTCTGGAGACTAATGTAACTCATCTTTTAAAACAAAGATTAATAACCTAAATCATAGGATCGCTTTTAAAATTGAAAGATGTTTCTAGAGTTTAGCACAATGACTGGCAAAGCCCAGGGGCTGCAGGGAACTATTATTATTCTAACCAAGTGAGCTACTAATTGTGTAGGACCATCTATATGGTCTCTATAGGGTTTAGGGTAAAGGGCCTCAAGTTGTTGAGAAGTCCTATATAGACGGACTTATAAGATCATATATATCTCATATCATATATATAGGTAGTCCTATTTATGACAGCTTAATTATTCTTAGTTTTTCTTTTAACATCAGGCAATCTGTTTCTAACAATCTTTCCATTTTTAATATGCTGTGAACTGGGGAATGGAAGTCAGAATTGGGGGGGACACTGTGTCCCCCTAGGACTCAGAAACCATGTCCTCCCAGAGTTGAACTTTGAACCCAACACATAATAGGTAATCTTACAGATACAGTGGCTCTCAAGCCAGATTTTATGGTAACCCAGTCTGACTTGATTCACATTAGCTATACAATATTTTAGTGGAAGGGGAGGAGTGTGCTCAACCACAACCTCACCACCCCCCCCCCCCAAAAAAAGAGTGGCAGATACGGGCAGTGCCCAGGCCCTGTCAAGGGGAACCTTTACTGAAGGAACTTCAAGGATCAAGTCCCCACTGGCAAGACTTTCTTAAATAGAAACGATACAGAGAGTCGCAACCGGAAAGTTTCCAATACTAACTTCGTATGGAGTAGATTATTCTCATAGTGGAGTGTCATTTGTTCGTTCATTCAATATTTATTGGGCAACCACTATTCTCACCTGGATCCCTCTCATTTCCTTTCTTCTGAGTCTATGTCACTAAGCAACCTTCTAGTTGTGTGTGGCTAGCCTGGGTAGATGGCCCAACAGGGGGAGAACGCATTGGCCGTGCTAACATCCTAAGTGACAGGACTGTTGGCTGCGATGAGCTAATAGATGGGCACTATTTCATTGCTGATCAGTCTCATGAGCTTGGTTAAACTGCATTTGCCCACAAGAGATGAACTCACTAACGTGTCGACAAATTATCCAAGCCCAGAAAACTATGGGCAAGGCCATGACCAGGTAAACTCATGCTTGGGATTCCTCAGGGTGTGAGGTGCCGGACCGTGTTCTGACTGAACTGTGGCAGGGGAGCAGCATCTGGGGTTACAAGTCCCTGGCTCTGGGAGCTGGTTTTGCCCTTCACACTCTGGTTTCCCCTATGCCAGTTACTTAACCTCTCTGAGCCTCTTTTTCATCTCCTACAAAAAGGGTTGGTAGTCCTTCAGTTCTATTTTGGCTCAGTGTTTAAACAAAAGCAGCAAACTAGCAGATCTGTTGAATTAAAAACACCTGTGCCCCCCCTTCCATATTCTCCAGTCCTGACTGATGGGTCCATTCATCTACCCATCAGAGGAGCACGCAGAATTCTTCTGACTCCACCTCCCAGGGAAACCTCCTCGGACTGCTCTTTGGCACAGAGCGCATCACACTGCTGGGCTTTCTTCTCTTAGGCTTGAAAATTGCCTTCTTAGCAAATGGTGTCTTAGCAAATGTAGTGACAGCTTTAAGAGAGCCGCTGCTCCCGTGGAATAATTCTATTTACTTCAAAACAGCCGCCTTGACATCTCCCCACTCCTCAGCCAACACAAAGGCATCGTGTTCTTCAAGGAGCCACCACCTGAGACCACCTTGTTAATAACAAAAATGTTCCAGGTCTCTGTGTTCTCTCTTCTATGAAATAAACATCCTTCTAAAACAGGCAAATCGAATGGCGTTCGGAGACTGTATTAACCATCTTTATTGCACTCAAAAGAACAACTCGAGACACGTAGAGAGTAGATTTTCGTAGAGGTGTTTCCTTGACCCAGTTAAATTTTTATTCAGTGAAAAAAGTTGACATTGAGACAAAAATTATCGTAAAATTGTGCAACAATATAGTAAAATCTTCAGCATAAATCGGTGATTTGGAAACGTATCAAGGTGATTGAAATCATAAATGCCTAATTTCACTTTGGAGGGAAACAAGAATACAGTGTTTCACTTTAAATAAGAACAGAGTAGGCCTTTATTTTGCTGCCGATACTTCAATTTTGCCTAAAGTTTCTAATAATTCATAACAAGAGTCTTTAAATGAGAAATGACATGGAATATCTGAGAATGATGTTCCACTTCAGCACTCACACTTATCCCATTTGCATCATTGTAACATGAAACGAATACCATTCTTGGGTTACTTGGCTCTGAGGATTTACTTCATAATATGGCTGCTCGAAATTAGTGGGCGGAAACATATACACAACCTATCCTCCCTCAACCCACATCCGATGGTGGCTTCCATTCTGAGAACATGCTCATTGTCTACGTACCCAACTATCCGTACCTCTCGCTATCTATTCCATATCTCAGTCTTGCATAGAAAGTAGTCTATATAAACTTAATGCACTGGCTCTTATTACACAAAAGTTGTACCTGAAAGGCAGCACACACTCCAGTTTAATAAAAATAACATACTAGGAATGTCAAGATACAATCCCAACAAAGTGAAGATTCTGCACAGAGTTTTAGAGTCAATTCTGAAAATCAATATGGAGATGGTATTCAGTTGACTTCTCTTCCAGACCCCTTCTCTGAGGGGTTTCCCAGGTCTGCCGGAGGAAGAGAAAAATCTTCTTGGGGATTCACCATCACCCCATGAGTAGGAGAGTGACCAACCAAAGCTAACAAGATGAGGTATCTGCCCTTAAGGATGTACTGGGACTGTAATCTTACAGGATGGAGTGACCACTGGGTGAATATTTGACGGCAGGATTCTCCAAGGGGGAGTGGGTGATTATCTGTAAGAGCCTAACCACACCATCACTCTCCCCAGGTCTCCCCCAAATGGCCACTGTTTGAGACGGGTTACATTCCTTAGATGGCTGAAGCACAGCCTAAATCTAGTAGGCCAGGATGATGGGCAGGAGAGAACACAGAGCTGTGTCCCACATCTCTCCCACCTAAATGTCCCTAGTGATATGGGCAGAGATGGAATCCCAGCCACCTCTCTTCCCAAAGTCCAAAGTTTCATCCAGTTACCCAGCATCATATAACCTTGTACCCAGTATGTCAGGGCAGCCAGTACTTAGTGGAGCTTCTCACCTGTCTGGAAACATCTGCAGAGACACGGCTCCTCCCCGGACTCTTCTGCAGAATTCTACTCTCTGTCATTTCATCCGCCTGGACCCGTATCTCATAAGGCTCAAGGGGCATTCAAGATATAAAGGGGCAAAAATCAGCTTCCAGAGAAAATCTGTACACAATCGCCCTGCCTGCCAAACTGGAGTGGTCCGTTGGTGGCCCATATAGTCCACGTGGATGTGGGCTTCGGACACTCTAACGTGGGCTGGGAGAGAATGAAATCTTTTCCTGGTACAGTGTGAACTTCTGAGGTGGCATCTCCAACAAAGGTACAAAAAAAAAATAAAAATAAAAATAAAAAGCCCCTTCTTCACAAACCACCAGGGGCTCCAATCGGTCACAGTGAAGACAATTATCGGGTCCCTTCAAAGGCTGCACATACTCTGTGTTCTCATTTCCTATGGCCACTCCAACCTCTGGACTCTTGCAGATGGCAGGTGTACACCCAAAGCCCACCAAACTATGGAGAAGGAAGAGTGCGTGCGTGAAAAGTTCATAAAAATATACAATTTACACATAGCTGCATCTACCTAGCTTAGTCTTCAGAAACGTAGCTCTTCTGTTTATAGAAAATACTCTAGCCCTAAAAGGCTGCTTTTTCTCAAACAGCACAGTGGCATATTCTGGGGGGAGGGGGGGGGGAGAGGAATGGCCGGTCTATACAGTACTGTGGGCTGGCCCTGGGAGGCACTGCTAACAATGACCGGATGCTCAGAAATATCTCACGTTGTCCACTGGAGTCACAGGCTCTGGAAAAAGGCTTGCCTACAGAATAATGGAAAATGAAGTCTCAGAGCCTTTTATATCAGCTTTTACGAATGCCAACAAAAAGTCGGCAGAAAAAGAAAAGAAGAAAATATACTTTCTAGTGCTTCAATTAAATGACTTTGCCTCCCACCTGACTATTCATCTTTCAGCTACTTAAAGAGCTTCACTAAAGGGAGGGGGGGCAGCGCTTAGGAGTTTTGAACAAAACTCCAAGATAAGACAGGATAAAGTCAAAGAAATGCCATTCTTTAAAAAAGTCATAGAGGAAGGGGAAAAAATGCTGGAAGGAGGCTCATCATGATCACCACTTGTTAAAATAACATGGGGCCTTAGCACGTGACATACTACGTGTCTACAGTTTAAAATACTCTTTGTTATATATATATATAAATTAAAATTTTTAAAACTTAAAGAATTTAATTGGCTCTTTGTTTTCCAGGCAATCACTAGATAGAACAAAACTATATCCTCACACAAGAATGATACTTTTGGTTTAAAGAAAGCAAATACTTGTGAGAAGGTGATACAGTGCACCTCAGAGGAGAAGGGGCCTTTACAAAGCTTGCATATAAAGGATGTATATTCAGAAATATGACTTTGGAATATCCCCAGAGCTCAAGGCTTCTCCGCTGAGAAGTTCTGCAGTGAGGCTCATACAGTAGGAGTCACGGCAGCGCTGGACATTGGTGCCTACGAGCATCAATCCACGGTGGATTCCACAAACCTATCAAGTGGCCATGATCTGAATACCGGGGTGGCACTGAAAGGCAGAAGGAAAAATTTTTAAAAAGCTCAGTTTGTTCTACAGACTGAAGAAACTGTAGTGTTGCTGCAACTGTCAATTGGATAGAATGGTCTCAAATCCATCCATCTCCTGTATCCATGTGTGAATGGCACTCTTTGCACTGGGTGGGGGTACAGGGGAGGGGAAGGAGGTGGAAGGAAAGAAGAGAGAGAGAGAGAGAGAGAGAGAGAGAGAGAGAGAGAAGGCACTGACCCAATTCAAAATGACTGCATATATCAGGTGTAGAGCTTTCAAGACAGTAAGTGGCCACCCTCAACATAAATATAAAACTTTACATTCGAGGTTTCGAGATTCTTCGGTGGTTAAGTAAAAACCAAATATCCGCAAAGGACAAAGTAGGTACTCGATCTGCCAGTGTATCTATCATGGCACAGATCTGGAACTCTCCCACAAGCAGAGTCGTTCGTGGCAATGACCATGACACCAGTGTATAATGAAGCAGTGCTGTCATCGTGTAGCGCCGAAGGCTACATCTTGTGCAGAGGCGTATACAGTGAGATTCTGTCCAGTAACGTAAGAGAAGATGCTGTGGCTTGCAGGGCCTCCCGAGCTGCAGCTCTGTTTAACTGAAACTGAGCAATGAGTCAATGTGCTCTCCTGCCAAACACCATTAAGTGACACACAAGCGAACAAAAACGGCCTGTTCCGCGAACGGCAACGAAACTGCTTCTGGTCCCCACCTCTCAGCCCTGCGACCCCTCGTGACGTGCAGAGTCAGATGACCACTAAAGCCTTGCCTCTTACGGAGTCCCAATAAATTAACAAAATTACAGAAAAGAACCTTCCCTTCCCCACCCCCGCCCTCTCCCAGAATACACGCATACACTTTCATAGAAACTAAATCCGAACAAAATTTAAAATTTGAGCACACTTTCAATGAGCGGGGGTGGGAGGGATTTCACCCATCACCCTCTCTTGAAGTTTTTTATTTAAATACATTTCTGTGTCTTAGAAAAATAAAAAGAACGGCCAATTTATTGAACCAAAATTATCTCACAGACTTAAAAGCATGCCCAGCAAGCACAGCCCTGTAAGACTACATTAATATGAAATCAAAGCAATTTGGTTACTAAAATCAACCTGGTTTGAAGTTCACAGTTGATTACTACAAAGTGTATTCATTCCTTTCTTTCCTTTTTTTTTTTTTTGTTTTGTTTTGTTTTTGGCCCATATAAAAATAACATATTGCAACTCAAAGTGCATCTTTTAAAATAAACCATCCACTATCTTTATCAAATAAAATATTTACACCATTTGGTTTCTAGTGAGGAAAGCTTTCAGGCTATCACCATGGGGACGTCATCTGAAAATCCAGTTATCATAGGAGCATCTTCATCATCCTCTCCTAAAGGCAAAAGAGTCGGTCTTTGGTGAGTTCCAGTGGACTGGCACCCAAGCCCAGCTCCCACTGCTCCCCAGCCACCTCCAACACCATCAAGAGCCCCAGCCCAGAAAATCAGTACGCATCCCGCCAGGCACGGTAGCCAAAGCTAAAACACAGCTCAGCTCCCCACTGACATTCTTGAGTCATCTTCTCCCCATCAGCGGGTGGCCGGGCTTATTTTGATGGTAGCTTGAACTTAGCCAGATGAAGAAAGTAAATCCCTTAGGAAGGAGAAGCTTATTACCTACCCAAAAGCCCAGTGGATGATCTGGCTCCCCTAATTTGAATGATCCACACCCTATGTTCACCCAGTGAAATTTCATAATCTGTTTTTCTCCTCCTGAACCCACACCACTCTAAGAGAAGAGATCTTAGAGGGGTTTAAACTCTTTAAGGACAGCTTCCCAGACTAATGGATGTCTCCTTGCAGCCCCCGGTACCATCCTGTGATCCACATTCAGTGATCATTGTGTGGTATCCCAATGGGTCCAACTCCTTTTGTCCCCACTAACAGATGCAAAGAACCCACCCCATTCATGAAGGCAGACCAAATACTTGTACGAAGCGAGACAGGAAACTGAGAAGAGGAGGGTGCAGAGCTGATACAAATGATCAATGAACAGGGAATACACAAGTATTTCACAAACAAAAAAAAAATGGCTATGTAAAAATCACATTTAGCATGAGTTTGGGGAAGATCCCCAAACACACCTGATTTATTAGATCAAGTGGTCTATTGGCTCTATTGGCTTTTAGTAATTAGAGCACGTAGACACTTTAAATGGGATATTTCTTTCTTTTTTCCATACCATGTGATGGGTAAAAAAAGAATGGCCTAGAGGGTTTCACTAGCTATCAGAAAGACAGCCCGACGGAAAGGCTTTCTTCGGACAGAAGTCATCCGGGAAAGCATGACTTCCTCTCCTGACAAGGCTCTTCAAAGATATCAAGACCTCCAGATCCATGAAGGGTGAGAGGGCTCAGAAATTCTTGACGATCTGCTGATACTTCGGGAGCATCCACAGCCCAGGGCCTATCTCCCCTTCCTGTACCAGTTCTTCCACAAAACCTGCTCCCGATCTTGGGCCAGGACCACACCACGGAAGGGACTACAGGTATTTTAATTTAGAAGCAAGTGCAAGTGCAAAGCAAAGGGCTCCACCTGATTTGACCTAAAGCAGTGAGATCCCTGGCTCATGAGTCACCCCTCTAGCGTCAGAAGAGGTATTTCCTAACCAAGGAGCTGGCTTTGCGGGGTCTGAGCTGGGAGGATGCCCCACGCGCCCTGCCCCACGCGCCCTGCCCCACGTGCCCTGCCCCACTCACCCAGGTCATCCCCCGAGGAGAAGATGGCCGAGCCCAGCCGGGAGCTGTAATGGCTGTTGGCGAAGGCGGTGAAGCTGCTCTGCAGCCTCCGATGCTTTGTGTACAGGATGGCGAACCCGACCCCCAGGCTCAGCAGAATCAGGAACAGGATGGGTACCACCACGGCAGCGACGTCAGTAGACCTGGCGGCCTGAAACGCTGAGGCGCCCCCACCTGCCAAGGCCAGAGGCCAACACGTAAGCCTCCAACGTGAGGGCGGAAGGACCCACCGGGCCGCTCAACACCCACCCACCAAAAACAGCTACGGGTTTGCCAACAGTACCCGAGCCGCCTGCCTGGCGTGACATGTGCCTGCCTGCGATGCCTGCCTGTTTTCCCGACGCCGTGCCACGAGCTGCGAGACCACGGGCCTTGTGCATGCAAATACGGTAATTACATTAGCCTCCTAATCACGGCCTTGTTGTTTATTTAGATAATCTCTTGGAAGGGAGACCTTTGTTGGGGTATCAACATTGATTTCATTAGCATTATTACTTAAGACCACTTGCTTGCCTTACATAAGAGGATGTGAAATCAGACCACTAATTAACGAGATTGCAATTACTTCCCCCTACTTGGCACCAAAGTCACTCTGAACTGCAATTACCTGAAGCTCCATTAAGTGATACAAACGAGATTCCTTTACTGCAACACTGACTTAACAGCTCATGAAGTTTTATGAGGGTTTTTTTTTTTGTTTTGTTTTTTACTTAGATGAAAGAGAGAACCTTTCTGTACACGTTTCACATTTCTAACATGCTCTTTGTAGAGCCACTGAGGTGTCTGTGACCTAAGGATGATGCTCACTTCCTCGTATCTTAAACAAATGCCGGCTCGATGCTGATGTACTGGTAGATCCGCCCCAAGAGGGCTCTAGGGCAAAGCCATCCATCCCCCTGTTGGGTTTGGGCCAGTCTTAGAACATCCTAGGGAAGGTCTGAGCCAGAGGGCAGGATACGGAACTTGGGAGTCAGTTGTAGCTACGGAAGCACAGTGGACTTTTCAGGTCCCATAAGGAGTCTCCTCAGGCTTGAGGTTATTCCCTGGTATAGGGCAAAGGGGTACAGGCGAGGCCTGTGCCTCACAGGGAAGGCTCGGTGGCTACCCAGGGACTCATCCTGACCAGATGTTCATCAACAGGGGCCAGAGAGCAGCCATTTCTTGCAAGTCTGGTCTAACATCTCAATATGCATGCCTTTAATTTCTCTTATTATTTTTTTAAAAGATTTTATTTCTTCATTCACGAGGGACACACAGAGGCAGAGACACAGGCAGAGGGAGAAGCAAGGCTCCTGGTATGGGACTCGATCCCAGGACCCTAGGACCATGACCTGAGCTGAAGGCAGATGCTCAACCTCTGTCTGAGGCACCCAACTGCCCCAGAAAGAATATTTTAAATGCACTTTAGAAAGACACATATTGGGGTGCCTGGGTAGCACCTGATTCTTCATTTCAGCCCAGATCATGATCTAGAGTCCTGTGTCGGGCTCTGTGCTGAGCACAGAGTCTGCTCGGGATTCTCTGCCTCTCCCTCTGCCCCTCCCCTGCTCTTGTGCACACACAAGTATGTACGTGCTCTCTCTCTCAAACAAATAAAATCTTAAAAGAAGATACACATTCACCAAACCCTGCTACATCCTTCATCTAGTTCCCCAGAACTGAAGATGGAAAGTGACCACATGAGTGACTTACCAGACCCCAGCTCATCATACAGCAGGACAGCAGGCTCCCCACAAATCTGGCTGCCAAAAAGGCATCTTGCTTGCACAGTGAAAGTGTAATTATGACCCAATTTCAGGTTGGAAATTTTAAAGAAGTTGTCAGTAGTATTCCCAAGGTATGCTGAGATATTCATGGCACTATCAAACATGTGTATCTCGTAGCCCTGAAAACAAAGACACGAAAGATTGTTCAAGAAGTTAAATAAGGAATCTGACAGCTTCTATTACTGGTTCCAACTTTATGTGAGCTCCTTATTGCAGGCTTTTCTAGATGCTAAAGCACTCCGGGTTTCTTACTAGATCTTTTCACATTACCGCTGAGATAGTGGATTCAGAAAATGGCAATTTTCCCATCTCAAACGTCTCAAATAACTACCACGCCCACTTATGAGCTGCAAAGTGGAAGTGAAAAGTGTAGCCTTCATAAAAGCCATTTTAACAAATATTCCAGCACACATTCAAAGTGCTGGTCAACAGTCCACTCATCTCACACAATATCAAATGCCACAAAGAATCCGGACAATTCAGCAATAGCTCGCCGTAAGGGGATTTGACTCATAATAAATCCAGGTGGCAGGGGACGCCAGCAGTGGGGGAAGAAGAGTCAGGACATTTCTCGGTAGAATAGCGCGTGGGAACTCCACTGGCAGCCCAGGCTCGCTCCCCAGCTCCTTGAGGCTGATGGTGGCCCCGGACCAACCTGGCCTTGAATAGAAGGTGCTTCGAGATCAGGCTGGGATCAGAACGGACTACTGGGCTGCCCTGCTAATCTCCGAGCATTCTGGTGTCAAAGCTACCAACTCCCACCCCGCCAGCCCCCTCCCAAAGACCTCCTCTCTGATCTCTACTCCCATGTTGGGCCCCACTGCACACTCACGGTCTCTTGGTCCCCATTCCATTGGCCTGTCTATTCCCTTAACTGTAAACCTGGGGGAAAGGAGGCCGTGCTACATGCTCATGCCAGAACCCTCCCTCCATTGGGACTGAAGTACTGACCCGCCACCTCAACCTGAAAGCCAGGCTGCTGCCACCCAGAAGGGATCCCCTGATGACCACCAGCTTCCAAACCGGGCCTCCCAACCCCATCCACCTGGAACCCCACTCCTGCAGTCTCCTTTATAAGCCAGCATGAATTATTTTCTATCTAATGTATATTTGCTGTAGAACTCTTGCAAAATACATAAAGGTATAAGGAAAAACATTTAAATGACACAAACATCCACTGACATTTATTTAACTAGTCCTCTTCTATTGAACATTAAGGTCATTCCCTCTTTCTTGCTATCAGAAATAGAACTGCCCTGAACAGCCTCGTACACAAATTCTCAATGTACGTTATTTCTCTAGAATAAGATCCTGAGAGATGTCTGGGTGGCTCAGTGGTTGAGCATCTGCCTTCCACCCAGGACGTGTTCCCGGGGTCCTGGATTGAGTCCTGCATCGGGCTCCCTGCATGGAGCCTGCTTCTCCCTCTGCCTGTGTCTCTGCCTCTCTGTGTGTGTCTCTCATGAATAAATAAAATCTTTAAAAAAAAAAAAAAAAGATCCTGAAAGAATTGCTGGGTCACAGGGTGTGAACGCTTTTTATGTTCCTAATACGTTACATGATAGTGCCTTATGGAAGGCGGAACCACTTCATTTTTCCAAGGGTGCTAACCTCCCCAACCACGACTCATGCTGGTGATACTTCGTCCCCCAAAATGTAGCCTGTTTAATGGGACGGCGTCCTATCCTTGTTGTTCACATTATCGGTGAGGTTGGGTCCTTTCTTTCTTTTGCTCACCGCTACTGGGGTTCTTGATACCTATAGTTTTTTCTAAATCAGAGTATTTCTGATTTGAACTGCTTCGAACGCTTGCTTTAAATTTGAGTAGATTACCCACTCAGATGTCTCGGTTGGGAGAGTTGTGAGAATCTTCAAAGTTTAAACTAGTTGTGCTTCTGGCTTTATGCACAGTGACTGTTTATAACCCCCGCGCGCTCTGTGCCCTCACCGTTCCCCCGGAAAGAGCCACAGCTGATTTATCAGCTCTATTTAGCTCATGCTTTGCCCACCACGGGGATGAGCCAGGCCCACTCAAGAACCTGTCCACCTCTGGGTGGCAGATCTATTCCCCGTGTCGCTCTCTTTCTCCCGCTTCCTACTGTGAATCCAGTAATGGGTCTGCCCATGACAAGACAAAACAGAGCGGGGAACTCCATATGTCAACAGACTCTCTACAAGCACATCCCACTCCCTCGAACATCACTGGAAAGAATTGGCGAGGCCAGGTTGAGGCTGTAGGTCATTCCTAGCACTGAAGCCACAGCCCAGCTCTCAGACTGGCTGCGAAGGATGGGGCCCTGGTTCCAACGTTGAGCTGCACCCAGCATGCACCCAGCATGCACCCAGCATCGTAAGGCCCGGGGGAAGGGGGGGTTCCAGCCCGTTTCCCGGTCTTTAGGGGAAGACAAGTTCAGGAATGCAAAGTGCTTAGTGCAGAGATTCTCGTCTTTAATGGGCAGTATAAACATTTTGCTAATGAGCAAGCCCACAGAAAATGGTCCTTTAATCCTCAAGTTTACTCCCTTGCCCCGTTCTTTTTCCCCATCTCTGCCAGCGTGCTGTTAACGAGCTCATCTCTAAAACTGCATTTCAATTAGATTCCCAAAGTCATTGAGAAGGAGGGAGGAACTCACCCTGCTTTCATTAAAATGCTTCTCCTTCAGAGCCAGACTTTTCCAAAACAGAAGAACGTGGTCATTTTCTGTGATGATTTTTAAGGCATCAGGTGCGGATAATGAAACTGAAAATTAAAGATAAACAGCACGCAGTCGGTGGCTGTATACTGGAATCGCCGTTTTCCTGTCTATCCAAGAGAGATTAGATAATGCTAACTTGAGGGGCACCTGGGGGGCTCAGTCACTTATGCGTCTGACTCTTGGTTTCGGCTCAGGTCGGGATCCTGGGGGTCGTGAGCTCGAGCCCCACGTCGAGCTCTGTGCTGAGCGTGGACCCTGCTCAGGATTCTCTCTCCCTCCCCATCTCCCTCTGTTCTTCCCCCTTCCCAGCCTGCTCATGCTCGCTCTCCCTAAAATAATAAAACATTTAAAAAAGAAAAAAAAATACTAACTTGGAAGGCTAGACTAAGGAAGAAATAAAACACACGTGTTGCTTAGCAGAGAGCCTAGCACCTGGTAGACACATCCCAACCGGCATCTCATTTGTTGTTGATTTATTAATACCTTTATTCAAAGATTTGGACAGTTCCTAATTTCATGGCCCTCAGAAGCACAGATGGCCAAAACCAAACTGGGTGGGCAAGAAAGGGAAGGGACGGGATGGGATGGGCCACGGTTTCAAACCCCTGCTAGAGCACTGCTCTGGTTCCAGCCTGCATTCCTGCTCTCCCGAGTCCCATCCCAGGGCCTGAGGAGCCTCAGAGCTCAGCTCGGTGAGGGGCCGGGGGCTGTGCGTGAACATGGAGCCCTGGAGTGACTCCGTGAGTCCCACCCAGGCCCGCTGCTCACCCTGCCGGCACGGTGGGGCTGAGCCTCCATCCCGGACACTCCGCCGCTGTCTCTGTCTCTGCTGCGGCCCCAGGACCTGAGCTTATTACCTTCCTCCGGAACCAGAGCCTGAATGCTGAGCCCCCCGGGCGCCAGCAAGTCCCCGTCAAGCTACTGCACAGGTACTGGTCTCCCTCCTCAGCCATGCATCATTGCCATGAGGAACCATGTGACTTTGGCCCCAGGTTCCCATCCGTGGCTTTTGCGGCAAATACCCAGTTTTCATTCCTAACCCTTTTTGGGCCTCCTGCTCTTCTCCCCTAGAAGGGTCCAAACCAGCTGGGCAAAGGAGAGGGCAAAGAGACACAGTGGATGGAGAACAGCCACCCCCATCCACCACCCTGCAGTGCAGGCACTGGGCCCCCCACCCTGCTGCCCACTGTGGGGGAGTCTGCACCTCCCAAGCGGTCCTGGACAGAGGTTCTGTGTCGGCAGGTGTCCTAGCAGCCCTGCAGGTCCCTTGCCATGTGGAGGGACCCTAACTGCTCTCCCGTTTACCTGTGGTGATTTTTACGCTGGAATCTTTGCTCATGTTCCCCAGCTGGACGATGATGTGGTATTTCCCTCCGGGCTCCAACTTGTTCAGGGTGTACTCCACGGTACTGTTGCGGGATTTTATTTTGTAGCTCCTATCGCTCTTTCTTATTAGATCTTTAACAGCAATTGCATATAACTGCAACAAGAAAAGAGACCTTCATGGTAACCAGAAACTTGGATTTTCTTTTTATTTTTTATTATTATTATTATTTTTACTCTTTGCCATTCAGGGGCGGACGATATAACCAAAGCATGTCAGGGGCTGTGACCCACAGCAACAACCTTCTGAGGCCCGCAGCCTGGCTCTGTTCTCTGGAAAGCCTTTGGGGAAGCTGGGTCTGCACCTGGAACAAGCACTCGCTCCCAGAAATGTGCACAGTATTGTTAATTCGACCCAAAAAAATGACCTTGGGAAGTCACTTTTCTCGTGGCGTCCACACATAGGTGAGAACAGGCACAAGAAGAGTTCTCATTCAGTGTTTAGGGTGACTCCCCAGCAGTCATCGTTCCAAGTGTGGTCAGAAGACACACAAGAGGACAACAAATTCTACGTACTGTCTCCCCGGTTGCCGTTTACCTACACAGAGGCAAGGGCAAGGGCAAGGCCATGGGGCAGCTACCAGAAGCCCAACTGCCAGCAACCGAGCACAGAAAACCACCCACACAAGGGAGAGGCAGGGAAAAGGAGCCTGGGGCAAAGGAAGATGGGAGCTGTTTTCCAGAATTAGTGCCTCTTCTTTTATTTATTTTTTAACTTTAGTTTTTCTGGAGGGGGAGAGGGGCAGAGGGAGACTCAAACAGGCTCCACGCCCAGCCCAGGGCTCGATCTCACGACCCTGAGCCAAAATCAAGACTCGGGACGCTTAACCAACTGAGCCACCCAGGCGCCCTTTGCCTCTTCTTTCAGAGCAGGGACCAGCCAGTAAACTTTTTTGTAAAGGTTCAGGTAGAAATACCTTTAGGCTGTGAAGGCCAAATGGTCTGTCCCACAACTATCCAATTCTGCCGTTTGTGGCGTGAAAGCAGTCACGTGACTTGACTGCTCATAGCTTGGTTCTCATAAACTGTACTGACAAAAACAGGCAATGAGCTGCGCTGGGCTGCCAGGCCTCTGTGTGCCAACCCGCTTTAGAGGGTCAGGGAAGGGCAGGTGAGACGGCAGACAAACAAATGTAACGGCTGGAAATTACGGAGCCGGGACAACTCAGAAGAGGCGCCTGTAAGGGCCCCATCTTTGGGCACACAGATACGGGGAAGCGACATCGTCCTGCTGAGCTCCTACCGCCCAGCTTTCCTGCCCCATGATGTATCCCCTTCCCCCGCCAACCACGCCAAGAACAGGAAGGGCTGGCTGGATGCTTGGCCCGCTCACTCACCAGGTCCTGGTCAGGAGCATCATACGGGGACTCCCACTTGATGACAGCAGAGGTTTTGCCGGTATGAACCACGTGGAGGTGCCGAGGTGGGAGCCTGCTGTCTGGGATCATCCTCACCACAACGTAGTCAGAGGACGGGCCCTGGTAGGGCACCACCACCCGGACCTGAAACCAATACCAGGGGGATGCATGTAGTCGGCACTAAGCCTTTTTTTCCCCCAGCGAAATGACACACGTACATGATTAAAATTCAATCAATATATAACTAGATAGAAAATAGCATTCTCTACCTACCCCAGATGTCTAATCCATTTTCCCAGATATGGCAAGTTTTATGTGCTTCTTTCCAGAAATGCCCTACGCTTAGGTAAACACGGATACATGTGTGTGCATATAGATGTGCATATGCGTGTATATATGGCCTGTTTTTCTTAATTTTTTTACACAAATATGAAAATATCACACATATCTTTAGGCTCTTCACTTGTTTTACTTAAAAAAAAAAAAAAAAAAAAAAAAACAGAGATTCCTTTTCCACCTCGGTTCTATTTCTTTTGAAGGGTTGCCCTGTGTTCTTAACCGGGCTTCTCTTGAGACTCGCTGGTTTCAAATCCTCTGCTATCACAAGTAATAGTTTACCAAACGCCTTTTTCCATAATATATCTTGGCACACATGTAAAAGTACGTGAGCTAAATTCCTAGTCCTGGAAGTGGAATCTGATGACAGCGGTTTCTCCATTCCTGCCAATGTTTATCCACCTGCCGAGTTCTCAATCCCCCACAACGGAGCTGCAGTCGGTGACGGGGTCATTCTGTTCTTCAAGCAGGAACCTGACGCTTCTACAGGGGAGGAGCCACCCTCCTGCACACACACGGATCCTGGAGTTCTGCTTCCAGCTCCCCAGGTCCTGGGCCTGAGCTTGGAGCCCAGGATTTAAACCATCCCTAAAACACAGCAACTCCTCGGGACTCCCCGGTACGGGAAACTTACCAGAAACAAATACTGCTCATCCCTACTGACAATGACTGTTTTGTTGTGGAGGGAAGTAGTCAAGCTCTTCGGATTGCGGTACAGGTCAAGGAAGGATGTAGCATAGAAAATACCATAAACCTGGCAAATGGGATGAAAAAGGACATCAGCTCAAAGGCCATTCTCTTGACATTCCTAACTGGTGGCCCTGGGAACGGCTTCAGGAGAGCGCAAAAGAGAGAAGTCTTCCTTCTGTGTTTATTTACAGAGAAGGTGCACTGGGCAGGTGCGAATCCCGCCACCACCAAGATAAACATGGTGTGCTCTCTGTCCTCAAAGTGCTTGTTTTGTTTTTTAATAAAGATATTATTTATTTCAGAAAGAGAGAGAGCAAGGAGAGGCAACGAGAGAGGGGGAGGCAGACTTGCAACTGAGCAGGGAGCCTGACTCGGGGCTCCATCCCAGGACCCCAGGATCATGACCTGAGCCGAAGGCAGACGTTCAGCCGACTGAACCACCCAGGTGCCCCTCAAAATGCTCGTTTCTGGGGAATGAGGGGCAGAGAAGAAAAACGGACACAATTATAAAGGATGAGTTGTAAATACGGAACAAGACATCCTGTAGGAGAAGAGTGGGGTTCTCAGAGCAGGTGGCCTGCTACTTGCAAAGCACGGATGGAAGTGCTGATGGGGGTGGGGGAGCCAGTGTGTTCATGGAAGGAGGCTGAGGAGGGAGGGCAGCAGGTGGATGTGGGGAGCTGCCCAGAAGACACCCACTGCTCCTCTCCTCCTTAGTAGAATCCTGGTCGCTAGCACGAATTGCCACCTGCAAGAAAATCTCCATTTCCCACCTCCCTGGAAGCCAGGAGAGGCCACGTGACACAAGCAGAGGTGTCCCGTGGGACCTCAATGAGCTCATGGACGTGGAGCGGGGAGCCCTTCCTCCCGCCCTCCTGCTGCCCGGAACACAAGAGGCTGGTGTGGCTCCAGACCTCCTGGACCACAAGGTGACTTTGAGGACAGATGCCACAGGCAGCTTGGGATCATCCTCAATCAAACCTGCTGTTGTAGAAACCCAGGGATGCTGAAGGGCTCCACCTTCTGCTAAAGAGGAGGGAAATAAAGTGCTGAAGCCATTGTCACTTTCGGCCCTGTTCTATGCAGCCACTCCCAACCCCAATGGTACATGTGAGAGTTTAAAGCAGGGCGTGGGGTTTTGATGGGCTTGGAGCGCCCGGGTAAGCACTTGGTCGGGTGGCATGGAAGCACATACAGGCAGGTAAGCTGGGGACCAGAAGAAAGCTGAGCAAGGCTGGAGAGGTCATGGGAACGGGGGCCACGGATCAGGGACAGGCACCAGGATTTCCGAGCCCCAGACAGCTGTGCATTTTCTCTCAGCTGGGGCCAGAGAGGGGAAGCATATGGGGAGGGGGGACAGAAGCCCCCGGGGGTGACTGGTGCCCGCAGGACAGGCCCCGCCGTGGGGCTGGGGTGGGCAGGCCTGGGCAGGGCCGCAAGAGGGCTCCGCGCACCAAGGAGGCCAGGGGACAGGCAGGTCACCAGGGAAGGACGGGGGCCGTGGCCGTTGTCAGGGCAGAGAGGACGATGGGGGGTGAGCAACCCCTGTCCTCGGTGGCCTGAAGTGGGCAGCAGCTGAGAGCCTCCTGCAGGGGCCTGCACGGTCACCCTGAGAGCACGACGAGCATGTCCAGCACAGAGGACGCAGAGCAAGGCTACCTCTGCCAGTTCTCACATAACAAGAGACCCCAAGGTCAAGTAGTGTTCCAGGGTGCGACCCCAGGCACCAGCCTCCGGATGCCCTCGGCTGGGGGCACGGGCAAAAAAGGACTCTGTGAGCAGAGACTGCTCTGAGGGCCAGGCAAGTCCACGCAGCTCGTCTCTGTCCCCGCCTCAGGGCCACACTAGCCACACCTGAGCTCACACCAGTTTGTGGTTTCTGGCAGCTTCACCTCTGCGGAGCCAGTCTGCCGCTCCAGGCCTTCGCTCCCTCATGGTAAAGGGCGAACGTCCACCCTGCCCAGCTGAGGCGGGCCGAGAGCGACAGGCATGAGGGCTCTTGCGGTGCCTCCTTCTCCATCTTTCTTCAAGGCCGACCTTACCACGATGTGCAAACCTTGGTTCATTTCCCATGGTGCAGGCCCACCCCAAGGGCACGCTGGAGATGCACTCAGAAGACAAGACCAGGCCTCCTTCCTCACCCCTCACTGCCAGAACTCACTAAACCTTGCTCACCATAGATTTATTCATTTATTCATTCACTCACAAACCGTAGATTTATTAGTTCTATGGGCCCTTCTAGTTAGGAGACTTGGAAAATAACCCTTCCTCTCCAGGAGCTTGCAAACTAGTTAGGGAGATAAACACATAGAAGATATCAAACAGATAAAGCAGTATCTAATGCAGTGTTCTGCATGGCGCCAACTATAAATTCGGGGGGGGGGGGGGGCAGAAGGACTCTAGTGGTAGAAAGAGCATAAGCCAAGGGGCAGACACAAGAGCAGGTGAAAATGTGCCAAGAAGTTTGGGAAGACCCACCTAAGAGCCAAGGAAGGTATACAGTGGGGATGTATGGGAAATAAAGACCAGACTCAGAAAAGCACACATCTGATCACAGTGCCTCAAAATGCATCCATAATGGGGCACCTGGGTAGCTGAGTGGTTGAGCATCTGCCTTCAGCTCAGGTCATGATCCTGGGGTCCTGGGATCGAGTCCCACGTCGGGATCCCTGCTCAGCCCTCTCTTCCCTGTTCATGTTCTCTCTTACTATTTGTCTCTCTCAAAAAAATAAATGGAATCTTTAAAAAAATATACAAACATAATGACAAAAAAAGAAAGAAAGAAAAGAAAGAAAGAAAGAAAGAAAGAAAGAAAGAAAGAAAGAAAGAAAGAAAGAAAGGAAGGAAGGACCAGTGGAGCGGGGACACTGGGATGGAGCAGGGGTGGGCAGAGCTGGAGAAGCAGCCCAAGAAGGCAACCTGGGGGTGGGGGGCATCACGTAGGTGGGGAGAAACTGGAGCAGCTGTCACTGCTGCTAATGTGTCACCACACCCACGAGCCAAGGTGAGTCCCCAGGCACAGAACACGCCCTCCCCCACCCCCCTTCACACTCACAATCTATTCAATAGCAAAGAGCTCGAGTACATTCTCTCAGACGCCAGGCCAAGGTGTGGAAAGAGGTAGCAGGTGCCTCTAGAACATAATACAGAGCTGAGGGAGAGGAGAGTTGGTGCTGGGGTGAGAAAGGAGGAAACAGGAACAGAGAGAGAGGAGAAAGCTCTGGGGCTACCCCCTGGCCCGGCATCAGGGGAGGCGGCCTCCTGGCTGACTCACCACGTTCCTGGGGCCCGTCCAGGTGCATTCCACTGCAGTCTGATTGATGGCCTTGGCTTTGAGGCTAGGAGCGGGAGGGCGGACTCCCTTGGTCGTGACATGCTCAAATGCCAGAGGACTGTCCCCCAGATCAGTCTTGGCCCAAGCAGAAATCTCATAGGACGTATGAGCAGTCAGATTGGCAACTGTGAAAACAGGGACAAGGAGATGCCGGGAGGGAGCTGGAGGCGTCAGTCAAGAGTGTGTATCTTGACAAACCAAGAAACAGTCTCTTAACTACAGAGAACAAACTGACATAACCACAGGGGAGGTGGGGGGGGGGATGGGCGACGGGGATTAAGAGCACACTCATCTTGATGGGCTCTGAGTAATACAGGGAATTGCTGAATCACTATATGGCACATCTGAAACTAATGTTAACTACGCTGGAATTAAAATTAAAAATTTAGTGAAAAAAGAATTGTTTTGGTATATAAAGTCCTACTTTTCAAGTCTTTTTTTTTTTATTTAAAAAAAAAAAAATCTCTGCACCCAATGTGGGGGCTTGAACTCATGACCCCTGAGATCTCAAGTTGTAGGCTCTTCTGACCGAACCAGCCAGGTGCCCTGATACCCTATTTCTTAATGTAATCTCTCAATTTAAATGAGTCTCAAATGCTCACGTAGGAATTTTCATCATTTTACACATTCATCCCAGCATTACTTACTGATGACTACTACACATAATACACTCACATGGGCGCTCGTAGATTTAAAGCTGACCATCTGGGGGTATAAACCGGGACAACACTCCTAGCGAGCCATTTGGCCTTGGGTAAACATCTTAAAATCCTGCAAGGTCTTCATCCAGATTTCCCGTGGAATCAGAGCGAGCAAACATCTTTGGGACATGATGTCACACATCACGTATACACAATCCAATTGCCCAGAGACAAAGCAATGGTTAAATAGCGTGCATTCCATGAACTACTGTGCAGCCACTCAAAGTTGTCTCCAGGAATATTTAACGAGAGTAGAAAATTCTTACAACTTCACATAAAGTGAGAATGGCAGGATACAAAACTAAGTTGACTCTTGAATAACATGGGTTTGAGCCTATGCGGGTTTACTCATATTCGAGGTTTTTTTGTTTGTTTGTTTTTTAATGGCCTAGTGCTGTAAATGTATTTTCTCTTCCTTATAATTTTCTTAAGAACCTTTTCTTGGGGCACCTGGGTAGCTCAGTGGTTAAGTATCTGCCTTCAGCTCATGTCATGTTCCCGGGGCCCTGGGATCAAGTCCCACATCAGGCTCCCCGCAGGGAACCTGCTTCTTCCTCTGCCTGTGTCTCTGCCTCTCTCTCTCTCTCTCTGTCTCTGTCTCTCATGAATAAATACATAAAATCTTTAAAACATAAAAGGAGTATTTTCTTTTCAGGGTGCCTCAGTGGTGGAGTTGATTTAACCTCCAACTCTTGGGTTTCGGCTCTGAGCATAATCTCAGGGTCGTGGGATCAAGCCCCACGTCAGGCACAGAGTTTGCTTAAGACTATCTCTCCCTCACCCCTTCCCTTCAGAAACAAATAAATACTTTCTTTTCTGTAGCTTACTTTATTGTAAGAACAGTACAGAATACACAGAGCATACAAAATATGTGTTAATCAACTGTTTATGCGATCGGTAAGACTTCTGGTCAACAGCAGCCTGTGAGTAGTTAAGTTTGGGGGGGGGGAGTTAAAAGTTATAGGGTCAGAGGCGTCTGACCCCCGACTGTTCAGGGTCATCTATACTCAAACTAAGTCCATTTCCTTGTTTGTAAAACTGGAAAACAACAACAACAACAACAACAACAACAACACTGAGCAGCTGCTACTGCACAGATTAAAAAAGAAAACACCTGTAAAGTGTTTGGCATGATGCCTGGCATCAAGCTAGCCTTTAATATAATTCAGGCACTAGCTAAGAAGACTATTGTTGCTGATTCTCCCAATTTCTATCAGTGCAACGTTGAGACAGTGAGATCAGAGCCTTGGGAATTAAAAAGACGTGGGTTCCAGTGCTGTCACCTTCTGTGGGAATTAACTTTCTCAACCGTGGGTTCTCATCGGTGACATGAGCATATCCCACGGGATTATTATTGGGGTTATATAAAACGGTACACACAGAACACCTGGGGAAAGGCCTACTGCAGCAGGTGCACAGATACAAGAGGGAGTGGGACACCACCTTCCCTCCTCCCTCAGTTTAGTTTGTGCATTCATTCAACAAAAACGTGCGCCAAGGGCAGCCCGGGTGGCTCAGCGGTTTAGTGCCGCCTTCAGCCCAGGGCCTGATCCTGGAGACCCGGGATCGAGTCCCGCGTCGGGCTCCCTGCATGGAGCCTGCTTCTCCCTCTGCCTGTGTCTCTGCCTCTCTCTCTCTCTCTCTCTCTCTCTGTCTCTCATGAATAAATAAATAAAATCTTAAAAAAAAAAATCTCAACTTAAAAAAAAAATAAAATAAAATAAAAACACCATGCGCCAAGTACCGACTATGCACCACGCCCTGCACGCCTCATATACGTAAAGGAGGAGCGAACCCCACCAGAAAGGAGGGGCAGGCAGCCCACTCTCAGAACTTTCTTTAGGAACTCCAAAATCATCAGTACAGGCCTCTTTCCAGGAGCTAGGGAAGCGGGCTGAGGAGCCACTGAGGGGACCCTCCCCCAGAGGCAGTGCCTCCACTCTGCCCACCCAGAACGGCAGCCCCCACACAAGCTCTGCTGCTGCGGGAAGTACTGGAGTCCCTACTCCCCCCAACCACTCGCACACCAACTGGCCTCAAGGTGTTACCTTTGTGTGACAAGATGCTCCCCCGGAAGTTCAAAGTTTTCTTCTCTTGTTTATGGGTGTCAAATGCCCAGCAGAGGTTCACCACGTAGCCATTCACCTGCCAGCAACCACGAAACATGTTATGGGAACAGAACACAGCCAGGGAGCCCAGCAAACACAAAAGGCACCCCTTTGCTATTGCTGCTCTAGGCCTCGCCTTTCTTAGGATGGACAGGTTGTTTCTTGGTTCCATGTGTGCTATCGCTGGATCGTTATACTGCGCCTACCTCTAAAAACAAACATGGGACTATTTATAATACACAATATAGATGTGATGAAACCAAAAAAACTGATGCAGCATAAAAGGAACAACAGCCAATTCATAATGGCAGAAAAAGGAAAAACCTTAAAGATAATTCCATTATGGCAATTACAGATACCTCGGGTGATCCTTGCAGTCAAGGCCAAGAGGTCAGTGCAAAAGGAGCTTCCTTAGCTCCCACTGTCCTCGGCTCATAAAATGATGTGATCTAAAGATCTTTAAATATGGGGCAGTGACAAAAAAATAAAAACGCTTTTAAGAGCAAAGACGATATAGAGACGTGTATACGAAAGCCATGGCTTGCAGCAATGGTCTCCGAAGCCAAGGGCAGGCCACCGAACTGTGGTTCAGTAAACGGCACGAGTGCTCATCACTTGGAAGCTCTGTCCCACCACAGCTTCACAGACAGGGAGGGATGGGAGGAAAAATGGTTAAGACAGAACATTACGGGAGGTGCATCTCCACTTGGAAAACCACAGGCGCAAAGGGGGTCACGGCGGTGCTGGCTCGCAGACAGGCCGCGCGGAGGGGACCGTGGCGCGTGAAGGGGACGACGCGGAGTGGCTGTAAGTGGGCATGTTTCTCAGGTATCTGACTCTCTCTTTCACTGTGGGAACCTCTGCATTAGTGCTTAGCACCAGGAAATCCAATAAAGCTGAAAATTACAGGGCATACATATTCTGTTAACACCAACTCTTTATTTGCACTGTAGCTGTGAACCATTTAATTATACGGTTTAAGAAAAGAAGAAAAAAAAAAGGCACCAGGCTGAGGCAGAGTAATTACACGAAAAGACTCACGTTGTTCTTTACGGGGGAAGGAACCAACCTCGCCGTGGGATTTTGGTCTTACTGGACCAAGCCATCCGTTTTTCTTAATCGTACCATTCCAGGCTGCAGCGAGCGATTCCCCAGCTAGGAGAGCCCACCCACCCGCCAGTTTGGAAGCCCAACATTACCTTGACGTCGCTCTCCATGGTCAGGGTAAAGCTTAGGGAATTCTCGCCAAAGCTGTCGATGTGGATGTCTGGGGGTGGGATCACTAGAAGCGAAAAGGTGAAGAGAAACCACATGATGAAAAGTGAGGAAGGCAGGACCTAACAGTTTTCAAGTCAACAGACACAGCGGTCCTGGAGCGGGGGAAGAAAGGGCATTTCTCTGGCTGCTTCCACTCGTCGTCGCTTTTACCACTGTTGTCCTGACACCTGCGGGGGGGTGGGTCCGCAGTTGCCTGGCGAACACACGACTACCTTGGCTCCGTCAGCTATCCCGGCAATTAGGTCAAGCAGAAAAGTTCCATTATGTCAATGCCCCCAGGCAGCCAGGCTGCGGCCTGGTTCTGAAACGTGCCACCTCTCCTGGCACTCAGCAAGTCCTGTGGCCCCTGGCCCTCCTCGAAGGTTGAGGGCACGATACATCGGAAGGTATAAATCGTCAACACCCATGTGGTAAGATGGAAAGCATGGGGTTCTGAAGTCCAGTAAACTTGAGTTCAAATTCCCTTTTAGACACTAAGCAACTGCATACGCTACTTATCTTTATACTGTTACCTCAGCATTCCCTTTCTTTCCGTTTCCAATAAAGTCCCATCTATGACAGATTAAGGAACTGATAAGTCAGTGGTAGGGCCGAGATAAAAGTGGCAGAGAGAAGAAGACCTCTTTTGGGTCAAGTAACGAGAGCGGGGTGCTCATCACTTGGAAGGTCTGCCCACAAGGTGGCGGACCGTGCTGTGTCAGGGCTCCATGGGACAACTGCTATCAGAAGACAGTATTTATTTATTTTTAAAGATTTTACTTATTTATTTGAGAGAGAGAGCGCAAGCGCTCACCCAATAGAAGGAGAGGGAGAGGGAGAAGCAGGATCCCTGCTAGGGAGCCAGACATGGGGTTCAATCCCAGGACCTGGAGATCATAACCTGAGTCGAAGGCAGACACTTAACCGACTGAGACACCCAGGCGCCCCGGAAGACAGTATTTAAACGACAACTTGTACACTTGATTGAACAGCACATAAGCATCTTATACAGGCAAGAGACACTCAAAGGAGTGGGTGAGATTTGGTGGCAAAAGAGATGTACCAAAATCTAGAGGAGTCCCTCTGGATGATCAACCACATAATAAGAGTGGGCGTGAGGAAGAAGAGACGACATTAGGAGTTTCAGGCGCCAACTCAGAGCAAAACAGTGCAGGTGCTGCTGTCATGCCAACCTGAATCATAACCGTGGTGACTGGGGAGAGGTCACAATCCTTCCCAAAGCCCAGCTTCCTTAGCTACAAAATGAGCAGAAGAATACTTACAGGATCGATCAGGATTAAAGGAGATCATGTCATGTAAAACAACGAGCACGGAGCTTAGTACGTAAGTGCTCAACTAATGGTTGCTTCTCTCGTTGCTGTTATTAATTCACCACATCCACTAACGAACGTGGCTGATGCCACTGCTGTGTTTGTCCTCTGGGTTACGTCATGACGACACAGGGTCACAGGGTCACAGACGGAACACGACACACATTGTCTGACCCAGCACCCGTGGCCTCCTGTACACACTCTAGCCAAAACCCGCAGGAAGAGCAAGGTTCGCCATCAAAATCATACAAAAGAAGTTCAAGAGACTTTCCACGGCACCTGTGATTTGTGTTCAGGGAATTCAGGGTATGTGTCTTACTGCTGCCCTTCTAGTATCACTTGTTCTCAGTACATATGACCAGGATGTTTTGATCGATTTTGTAGAGGGGGAATGACAAGACAATGAAAACTCGAAGGGAGTGTGCACTCAGTACACTCTTTCTAACGAGCCCCAGGCACCCTGTCACGAAGACTGGCTGGCCTCACTAAGCTTGACTGCCTCCTGCCCTGATCTCAAGGAGCCCAAATTTTAAAAGCAACCAGATCGTGACTCTCCATAACCCACCGCCTATTTCTCATAGGCTCAGGTTAAAATAAAACCCTCCAACCACATGCCATTCCAGGTAACACATGTACCTAGAAACAAAAGCGACAAGTGCCAAGGCCAAGTACAGGAAACCGCTCAGGAACGCAAGCAGTAGTACTGTCCTCCCAAGCGTGCCAGACTCCTTCCTTTTCATGGCTTTAACTCACCCCTCAACTATTTCGTTCTCCTCGACACCAGTGAGAGTGGAGGAAACCAGACCAGACCCCCCCCCCCGCCCTTGCCAGGCATGCGCACAAGCAGGACAGTGCTGAGAGGGGCATGTGTCTCCGCCCAGGGGAAGGAGGGCAGCTCAGTGGTTAAATGCACAGGCTTTGGAGTCGGGAGGATCGGGCTCCCATCCCCGCTCTCTGCCATTTACTGTGTGGGAAGTACCTTAACTTGTCTCTGGCTCTTTATGTGTTCTAATGGTTATTCTGAGGGTGCTAAGGGTTCAATGAGATGGGCTGATGTACACAAAGCAGCGAGCACTCACTAGGGCCGGGCCCTTGGCAAGCTGTCGGCTATCACTGAGATCGGCTCCAGTGCTGGAAACTACGGCCTACACATGGTTTGTCAGTGTCACTGGGGAATTAACAAGGGCCAACATGGAGCTCTCACAAACACCATGAACAGACACGTACGAAATCACCTGTATCCATCACAAGAGAGGAGGAGAACTTTGGATTTGGATTTTGTGCATGAGCACAAGAGCTGGGCTTGCTGGCCTCTGGAAATCCCTCTGTACGTTTGCACCATAAGAAATGCTCGGCTCTAGGAGCAGGAGTACATTCGACAGCCCCCAAAGAAACTCTATCTAGAGCACTAACCCCTGGAAACGTGTGCATGTTGGGGGGAAGGAGGTGGCCTGAAGTTCTCTCATCTGTGCTTCTCCATTTGCCAGTCCCACGGAATGTCCTTTCCCAAAAGCTTCTATCTTCTCTAAATCTGCAAATGCTGAAATCACATACCTTTTCCTTTGACGGTGGTAATGGATTTAGAGTCGCTCCAGTTTCCCACTCCACGGCTTGTCACCGCAGCCACCTGTGCAAATCAGAATGTGGATTAGTATAAGGTAAAGGCAATACACCTTACGGCAAGGGTTCCGAATGAGCTACGGGGCTGAGACTCTGGCAATGAGGGTGGGCAAGCATTCAAGGCAGGGGGATCCCGGACCCTCAGAGGTCCCGGCAACTGCAACAACAGGGGCAAGGAGACAAGAGGAATCTGGGCAGAGGGAGCCGCGACGGTGTGGACGTGATGGCATTTCTGTTGACTGACAGACCTTGAGGTTCTTCTATGCGGGGAGGGGAGGTAGTGCGTGTGCCGTAGCGGGTCCATACAGATATATGTAAACACACACATATGAGAAAGGGAACTGATAAATCATCACTGCCATAGAGTCTGTCCCAACAAACTTTTTCTGCACAAAATCTCCCTCTTTTCTGCTAAAGGTATTGATATATGGCATCAGATCCCTACGACAGTGGCTTGTAAGCGCCACTTACCATAGCTCTGCATCACCCTGCAGCTAAGGAGAAGCAGAAATGTGGTAGGTGCAAAAGCGTAGGAGCTGGCACGCTAGCAGAAAATCTGGGTTAGAAGCCGGCAAAGCTGCATTACCATCAATTCTCGGCTACCCAAGGGAAGTCTGATTTCAAGTTCTCCGTGGCACTGGTTTAAGGGACTGACAAGATGATGACGTCCCAGAGCAAGGGGCTGGGGATCTAGCAGATGAGTGGTAAGAATCTCATAAAGGTGAGCACGGAGTTCTCGTGCCCCAGGACTGCCCAACAGGCTGAAGTGGGTGCTAACACTCACTCTGACCGTATACGGAGCGTTGACCAACAAATTCTTTATTTCGGTAAAGTTGCTAACAGCCCTCTGGGAGGCCCACATCTTGGAACCACTCCTGCTGTATTCCACCTACAGTGAAAGGAAGAAATCATTAGTAAGGCAACCGATGGTCCGAGACATCCTGATACCTTTACAAGGAGGCAGGAGGAGGGCAGGGGTGAGATGCAAAATGTTCTAGAGGGTGGGATCGCTGTTCACCAGGCTTCTCCAAATCAAGTCCTAGTCACACACAGCACATTCCTGCTGTGGCGGGACCCAGACGTCTGTTCACATAGACACACGCGGCCCGCTCCTAGAAGTTACTTACAATGTACTCTCGAATGAGGCCATGGGTGTGGGTGGGAGGGATCCAGTGGGCCACGATCACACCTTCCTCTTCCCTGTGGAGTGACAGCTGGAGATTCTGAGGGGCGTCTGGCACTAGGAAAGAGTCAACTTGGGGTTAAAACCCATCTGTGTACTGGTAAATGGGAGGAAATTTCCTGAGGTGGGAACAAAGACTAAGAAGAATCTAGAGCTAGCACTGGAACCTGTCCACTAGTAAAGGCTGTACACTTGGTCTTCCCATCGACAAATCTGTCCTCTCTTCCAGAATGTGAGGTGTGCCGAGTGCCCATCAGGTCGTGGCGTAGTCGAGTGTGATGTGGGTGGATGGCTCACCATGATGTGGCTGCGGGCTCCAATCACCTACCAGCGCTAGGCCTTCAGTGCCCAGATCTTAATTGCCAAGGTCAATGCCCACTGCCTCGACGTCTCATCCAACCCGAGTATCGTGGGCATGGCCACAAAGGAATGAGACTTACTTTCTAACAGCACAGAACACCTACACCCAAGCAAAAGGGGTCACCTTCCAAGCGGGCTCCTCTGTGACTTTAGTGCTGGCATTGTCAAGGTATTTCTGATCTTCTCTTTTGTGATTGCTCAGGGCCGGGTTGGAAGCCACACACGAAAACCACTCACAATACTTTCTAGTCAAACTTGATTCTGACGGCAGAGGACGTATCCACATCGATAATGCACAGAGGATGAACGTTATGGGTTAAACACTGCCCACCACCCTCCTGCACACAGGATCTACAGGAGGGAGGCCTCAGAAGAAACGTCCCTGCTGGCACCTTGATCTCAGACTCCTAGCTTCTAGAACTGTGAGAAAATAAATTTCTGTTGCATCAGCCCCCCGGTCTACAGTACTTGGTTACGGCAGCCCCAGCAAACTAACACAATGAATATTCATCAACAATCGGAGACTTGAGCCCTGGCAGGACGGCGTCTCATTCATCTCTGCACCTCCAGTATCTAACGTAACACCTGAGCAACGTGAGGTGCTCAGCTAAAAAGCTGTGGAGAGAAAACCAATGAATGGCCTATTTCAAAGACAGCTCCATAGTGTCAAGGATGTAGCTAAGCTTCTCCATGGTGTTGCTCCTCAGCTTCCATTTTGTCCAGCCAAGCAGCCCGCAGGGATCCTAAACGGACACTGGTCCCTTTTGCAAGTGTGTGCTCCAGACGGCAGCCTGCGGACTCACAAGCATCTGCCCATGTTTATCGATAAAGTCTCCCCGGCCTCCCAGGACCTTCCCCTGTGAGCCCCACAAAGCTTTATCCAAACCCCCCTCTTTTTTGGCTTGAATTGACCAATGCAGCCTTAGCACAGGAACCCCAATATACTATGCCCATCAATCCTAAAAAAAAGCATGTGCCCAGATCCTGCACTCTGCCTGCATCCTGCCTTTACCTGTGCCCAAGGGGTCACACTGGGTATGCTGTGACTTCCTCTGGGACCTATGAATGACACACTTCTCTATTTCAATTTTCCCTTGCGGTCTTTTGTGGACCATCTGACACCCCAGGGTTCTACCAAGCAAACGTTAATTTAGCAAAATCAGAACGCACAGGTATTGGCGAGTTTTGTCCTGCCTAGAACCTCCTTGCTTTCTCTAGGTGCCCCTAGTAGCTATCCTGCCCTCAGGCTGGAATCACCCCCTTCTTCAAGGAGCCCTGGGGTTCCCCCCCCTTTTTTTTTTTAAAGAATGGCATGGAAGCCTAGATCTTAGTGATAGATGTGCTTACTGCTACTAAAGCGTCACCTGTCTGGGCCTTCTCAGCTGACAAAGCAAGGAACTATATACGTGATACCAACCTGCCTCCATACATGCATCTGTAACTATTTTACATGTGAGCATCTGCAGGAATGCTAAAATCTGCATGAGTTCATGTGGGTACCTCCAACCGTCACCAAAATATAAGCACAGGCAATCGCAGATGTAAAGTTCCCAAGACCTTGGGAAGCAAGGAACTCTCTAGGGCATATGACTTTTGGTGAAATTCTTGAAAACTGAGCCTTAATACTCCTGACATGCCTCATATTTTAACAGTGATGATCTACACAAATACCAAGTGCTGGGAAATACGTGGAAGGGAAAGTAGAGACGGGAACTGGAGAAGCAGGTGGCAACGTTGGGCACGATCTGAAATTAAACTTTGGACGGAGGCAAAACACCCCGTGACTTAATAAGGGGAATGCATGCTCAACAACTCAGGCAGGACCATTAAACTCCACTACACCTCTTCTGTGTATGTGAGGCACATACACTCCTGACCATCCTTGGGAAACTCTGCAAATCCCACAGAAGGTCCTGGACATGCCATAAAAATAAACTAGAATACTTACATCCTTCTGGGGTTCTCAGAGTCACGAAGTCGTTGGTGTTGTGCACTTTGCTCAGACACTGGACCTGGACTTTAACCTGATACGTGGTGTCTGGCTTCAAGACTTTCAATATCATGTTTGTTTTATTGCTGTGGGTCTCCACAGTCTTCCAAATGCCCTCTCCAACCACCCTGGTCAAAAGAAGAAAGATACCGTGGCATCAAAGTGGCAGGGGGGGGCGGGTCACAGGGACGCCAGCTTCAGTTAATGGAGAGCCACTCTGCACACACCACAAGAGTTACAGAACACCCTGTGGTGATAAGAACATTGTTTTCTTCTCTCATGGCAAAGACAGGACTCACCTGTAGTAGACGTTATAGACACAAGAAGCAGAGGGCATCTTCTTGGGCCGTATCCAGGTCAAAGTGACATCCCCAGAGAAGTCAGCCGTCCACTGAAGATTCTGTACCTTGTATACAGTTAGTTCATCTAGACAGATGAAGGGGGAAAGGGAAAGAAAGTTGTATCTCACAAATCCTTGGGTTTCAAAAGATCTCAGAGGTCCCTTGATTTTTAGGGAGACCTACCATGATCTAGATTGTCAGGCTATGGTCAGCATCTTAAGAGATCAGAAAAAAAGAGTAAAGATTTGAAAACCTCCCTATATAACTTCTCCCAGGGTCTCCTAAATTTCCAATCACAATATTTTCCTTGCATTTCGGCATTTCGCCTCCTCGTCTGTACTGAGATAAGCCTGTTTCTCAACAGGGAGTTCTACGGGTCCAGAGATGACGTGAGAGCAGGATGTCACTGCTACAGATCGAATGTGCGTGTCCCACAAAATTCATATGCTGAAACCCAATCCCCAACGTGATGGGATTAGGAGGTGGGGCCTTTGGGAGTCTTCATGAATGAGATCAGTGTCCTCATAAATGCGGCCCCAGAGAGCTCCCTCACCCCTGCCACCACGTGAGGACAGAGGGAAGATGGCTGTCTATGAACCAGGAAACGGGCCCTCACCAGACGTGGAATCTGCTGGTGCTCTGATCTTGGGCTTCCAGCCTCCAGAACTGAGAGTACTTCTCAAAGTTTCTGTTGTTTATAAGCCATTCAGTCTGTGGGGTTCTATCATGGCAGCCCAAAAGGACCAGGACAATGACCAAATGCCTTCCAGACAGAAGGACTGCGTTCATCCCACCACAAAGCCTGAGGCCCTGGGAGCATGGTGCATCCACACGACGTTGGACACGTCCACAGAAAACAAATGCAAGACCAGTGCTTCCCTCACAGGGATGAATGAGGTCAAGCTACACCAGAGCAGGACAAGCCTCATTCACCAAGTGCTCCAATACTGGGCAAAAAAGGGATTTCCTCTTCAGACCGAGGAGAGGCTCACAAGGTTCCCGGCAGAGTGCACTGGGGTCCAGGCTGAGCCCAGGGCCCGAGGACAGGTGGCACTCACCGCTGCAGTCCCTCTCGTCACTCTCGTCCGAGCAGTCCAGGAAGCCATCGCAGCGCTCAGAGAGCACGATGCAGGCCTCGCCATCCTCACACTTGAACTCCCTGCTCATGCAGGTCAAGGTGCTGTGTGTGGCTGCAACACAGGGGAGGGCACGTTGTGGTGATGGTTGATCATGTTTAGGAAAAGTGGTGTCCACTCGCCAGCTTCTGACTCAAAGTATGCCTCTGGGATGAGGAGTAATAACCCCCACAGTGCCTCTGTGATGCCTCCTTATTTGACATTAACAACTAGAATCTACCTTCAGGAAGAGGAAGAGCTTTGGGGTCAAATGACCTAGAGTGGATGCAATAATTTATAAGCTTCACAGTGGTGCACTAGAATTGGCCAGGGTTCCAAACTTCTAGAACTCTCAGAACAAAGAATCCTGTTTTCTGTCTGAAGCATGGCACCCACTTCTAAAAACCACACTTTGAGATGCAGGTAGAAAATTGGATAATGTTCTCATGAGAGAACCAGCATGGTCAAAAGAAATGGATAATGGATCCAGAGATATGTTCCTAGAGACAAAAAGATTCAGGGGGTCAGGTGGGACGGAATGTTACAGCTATTCTCAACTGGCAAGTGCTCATGTGAAGGAAGAATTAAACTTTGCATGTCTCTCGTGTGGAGGTACAGACTTCAATTAAATATACTTTTAAAAGGGCTCTCTGCTATTGTCAGTGAAAGAAAGGAAATGCTAGGCTTTTTACAAACTATAACCCTCCATCTTCCGGAAAATCATTTTATTATAAAGCCCTGTTAGATGCGGAGCTGAAATTGGTGTGTTTTGGGGAGGTTGGAAAGGAGGCTTGGTTACAAATAAAACTGCATTAGAGCATTTAGAAAACGTTTGAGACCCACTAATATAAGAAACCCAAGATGGAATTCATCCTTCCATCTATCCACCTACCCATTCGCTCACCCATTTATCCATGCATTCAACTAGTCATCCTTTATCCACCCATCCACCTACCCCTCCATTTATCCATCCACCCATCCATCCATCTACCTATCCACTCATCTACCCAACCATCCACCCATCCAGTGAATATTCACATGGAGGGCCTACCATGAATCAGGTACTGTACAAGATGCTAAGAATACGGTGATGTGTAAAACAAAGTACCTCACAGAGCTTACTTTCTATTGAGAGAAACAGCAAATACAGAAACAACTCTGTTATTTTAGATAGTGATTAAAGACTACAAAAAAAACCTAAAGAAAGAAATAGTAACAGAATGATGGGCAGAGGTCATTTCATATAGAATAGTCAGGAAGAAACTCCATAAAGGGCGTTGTTTTAGAAAAATACTAAGATCCCCATGCCAGAATTATTCCACATGATAAAATATATCCAAACAACAGGTGAGTAGTAAAGCTGGTGGACGTTTGAGGTTTCTTTACAAAACACGTCTCGATGTTTGTTTTAAAGTGGGAAAACATAGGTTTTAGAAATGGAGAATACGGTTGCTATTAATCTCTGAAAATTCTTAAGCTGATAATTAAACGGATGATTCACAGGCGCTGGAAGAGAACATGGTGGCCTTTAGGGGCCAGCTTCTCTAAGAATGATCCCATCATGCTAATCTCACTTCCTTTTTTGACAGGGCTCTCAGACTAACGGATGGAAGAAGACTGGAAATAGAGCACATCTTGATTTTAAGACCCCTAACCTAGCAACATCCTTATGAATGAGGCCAATTTGGAGCAGGTTAAAGAAACTTATTTAAAGAATACCAACTAATGATTTAATCTCACTCAGGAGGAAGATCCTATTTTATTGCCTCGGTTAATTCTTTTTTCTTTTTTTTTAAGATTTTATTTATTTATTCATGAGAGACACAGAGAGAAAGGCAGAGACACAGGCAGAGGGAGAAGCAGGCTCCTGGCAGGGAGCCCAGTGTAGGTCTGGATCCCAGGACCTCCGGATCACGCCCTGAGCTGAAGGCAGACGCTCAACCACTGAGCCACCCAGGTGCCCCTGTTAATTATTTTCAAAGCTCATCTTACTGTGCGGTTACTTGTTTGGCTGAAATGTTCCTACTCTGATTTTGGGAAACGTGGGGTCAATCTGCCCTGTGATTTTGACATCCCAAAGGCCATCTAATTTTACCCTACTTCCTGGACTCCCCCTGTTATTTCAGAGTATTTCACTATAAGAACTTTGAACGTGGCATGATGCAAAGGTCACAAGCTTTGGGGGGAGAAAAAAGTTACTAAATAGATATCCCAGTCTGGTACTGATGAGGTGTTCTTCTCTGAAGCTGATTTTCCTATCTCTAAAATGGAGATAATAGCAAAATCACAAGGTTATTATGAGAAACAAAGCATAAGTAATAGGGTCTCCTGCTCTCTAGAAATCCTCCCCGAGTGGTGAATTCCTCTGAGACTACTCACGGCAGTTGGCCTCGTCCTGGCCATCCTGGCAATCCTGGTGGCCGTCACAGCGCTTCCAGTTGGGGATACATTTCTTTGGTTGGCGGCATTCAAATTCAAATCGGTCACAGAGCCCACGGTGAGTGGGAACAGAGGCAGTAGTGACATTTGCTGGAAGAAAAGATTTTGAAAATTCACTTTTTGGTAGCCAGGGAGCTGGCCAACAAGAGCAACCACTCAACACATTAGGAAGTTCAGGGACCTCCAGTGCTTTCGAATTTCAATGGGGACATGGAGACACAACGTGTGAGCTCTGGACAAGGAAGGCAGATCTACCAGACACAGCCATTGAATTTGGAAGCCAGGATGCAGACAGTGGTAAGTGACTCAAGAGACCAGAGGAGGCTGTACCCCATCCTAAGTAGTCACAGCACAAAGCAAAGAACCCACAAGATAGACATTGCAGAATCTTCAAAAAGCTGGAAAGTGGCATCTCTGAACTGGCAGAGAAGAGGGAGAAAGACAGGAAGGGAACAAACTGAAGAGTGTTTGAGTAGCAGCAAGATCCCTTGCATCCCCTGGCCCTACCAGCCCCATGAGGCAATCACCCTGGATGTCACACCCACAAAAGCCTGGAGGATTGTTACGTTATGGGTAAAAAGGCTGGTTAGACAGGCCTAATGAAGAACAAGACTGTCATACGGAAGAGAGGGGGTAAACCCGCAGATTGCTGAATGTGGGGCCCTGGTCCCCATCCTCATAAGCCCTGGCAGGGACATCCTTATTCTCTAGACAGGAGGACGTACAAATCTTCTCTGAGGAAACTGAGCAGCCTTGGAGCAAATCCTCAAGCAAAGCAGATCGAGTTCCCCAACAAATAGCCCAACCATGAAACTCAGAGCCAGCAGGCCGACCCGTGTGCAGAATCTCTTGTGTTTTTATCACCACCCTCAGACACAAGCAAGCCAGGATTATTTTGGGAAAACCTTTGACATGAAAGACAGAAATGGGCACACACCCCTTCCCTGCAAAAAATAAAATTTGGAGGAAATAGTGAGTTAATAAGAAGAAATTCTCAAATGTAAATATCCTTACTACACTCAGAACGAAAGAATAGAGATTTCTGCATGAAAAAAGGACAAGACGTCATGAAAAAGGAATAGTACTAGAAATGCCAAAGCTTCTAAAAATAAAACCATGGTAATTGTAATGGAAAACTCAGAAGCAGAGCTGGAAGATGGAGCTGAATCTCCCAGAAACAGAGCCGGGGGAGCGGAGGGGTGGAGGAAGAAAGAGATAAATTAAAAAATAGAAAAGGGACAGGACCACATCAGTAGATCTAAAGTATGAATGACAAGAGTTCCAGGAAGAAAGAAAAAACAGAAAAGATCATTCATAGAATATTTCAATGGTGTTACACTATATGTTGGCAAATCAAATTTATAAAATATATATTAAAAAAAGAATATTTCAAGAAAAATTCCCCAAACTCAAACACGGAAGTTTCTGGAATGAAAGAGCCAGTCAGTGTGTACATCCACCACAATGATGGAGAGGGACCCACATCAAAGCACCTCGTTGTGGAATTTCAAAACACCGGGGCCAAAGGGAATAACCCTATAAGCTTCCAGCAAGTAAAAACATGTGACATGCAAAAGTTCTGAATCAAATGCTTTGGATTTCCCAAGACCTGCTCGATCACAGTGGAGCAATACCTTCAAAATTATGAAGGAGCATTACTGGCAACCTAGATTTCCAAACCCACACCAACAACGATCACTCACATCTGAAGACAGAAGAAAAACACTTTCAGATAAGCAAGACCTCATTGGTGCCTCCCACATTCCCTTTCCCAGGGAACCTTCTGGAAAATGTGCTCTACCAAAAAGTGAGATTAAACTTGAAAAAAAAGAGAGAGATAAGAGAGACACAGAGACAGAAGGAGGGAGGGAAGGGAAAGCGAGAGAGGGAAAGAAATCTGGGATATAGAAAGCAGTAGCTCCAACAGGACAGAAATAAAACAAGTCCTTGGGATGGAGAAGCCGCATCCGGCGAGCCACGTGGGGCCCAGGCATAGAGAGCAACCAGCACAAGCCCAAGCAGCAGCTCAGGAGACAAACTGAAGGCTGTCCTCTCTGGGTCCCTGGCCATCCTGCCACCATATTCAACACCTGATAGAACTGCTAAAGGGTGTGCTCCAACAACACAAGGAGTAAAGCAAGAAAAGACTCGAGACCCAGGAAACCACGAATCTACACCAGGAGAAAGGCAAAGGGACTCCCAAGGAGGGCAGTGAAGACCCAGGGGAGGGGCACACAGCAGGCAGAGAGAACTCAGCACAGAGATGAGGGCCCGGGCTATTAGAAGGGACGCCCCCAAGAGAAACTGTGGGGCTGAGAAATGAGTGATACGGTGACCTTGTGGAAGGCAGCCCTCAGAGGCTACCGGGACGGGGAAAGCATTACCAAACGGCACATGGTAACCTGTGCTAACAAATAAAAGTACAAAAACCAATTACTAACTTTGGGATCCTGTGTATATCCCATGGTTTTAACTGGATTTTCAAAGGGGACCCTCCGACCCCTAGAACCACTCTGCTAAAACAGGGTGCCTGGGGAAAAGCAGTAAAAAATGAGGCCAGAAAGCCAGGCCGAGGCCCATCATGGCACTAACGCTTGGACGGTCAGGGGGCTGCAGAAGGTTCCAGACTGGGGAAGACATGATCATGCATCCAGATGCAGCCTGTCGGAAGGCTAACTGTACAGGGGAGAGCACAAGGCCCAGAGACCAGCTGGGAGACTTGCAGTGCAGAAACCAGACCTACAAGCGAGAGACAACTCAGATTAAATTTGTACTGATGACGTACATACAAAAGAAATCACAGGAGTCGAATGAAAGATCGAAATAGGATCTGCTCCCTGGATGAGGCGGGGTTTGCTAGAGCCTGTTAATACCTTTTACAGAGTTTCAATAAAGCAAAAAAAGATTTTGAGAGAAGAATCAAGTCACTCAACAGATAGATAGGTGGGTCTCGGGGGCCAAGAACAGAGATAAGAAAAATTTATTTTTTTACACAATTTGTTTTCATTTGAGAAGCATTTACAGGATGGTGACTATTTGCCTATTACTGTAATAAACCCAGTGGGGGATTCAACGTAGTAGGCAGCACGATCTCAAGACATGAGGTCTGTATAATTGTTTGGAAAAGAAAGATTCCTGTGCTGGCAACAACCAGAAAGCAGCATATGGCGGATCATAGGGAAGAATCAAAAGGACAACAGGTGGGTATGAGACTGGCACAGAGATCAGGACCCTGACAGGACCCAGTGATAGCTCCACGGGGGGGGGGGGGGCTTACGGGAGAAAGTAATGGTGCACTTGCTCCAAGCGGGAATCTCAAACTTTGGTGACCCTACCCATCACATGGGGAGCTCCTGAGCTCCACCCAGAAATCCTAATTCTGCATTTTTTTACAAACACCCCACGTGATCCCATTACAGGTGGTCTAGTATGGGAACGTCCTTTGATGATCACCAGTGATATATCAAGGTCTCTCTTAGCTACAAAATCCGTGTTCCTGTCTGCTGGGAAGGCAAGGTCAGGGAGGACACAGGTCTCATGAGGCAGAAACGCTGCCGAAGGAGTATTAACAGGGAGAACGTGGAAGCGGCAGGCCTGCCTAGAGAGGCTGAGGAGCCAGCCTGGCCGAAGCACCAAGGAACAGCGGGTACGGAAGGGCCTTGAAACAGGACTCCAGGGTTGGGATCTGTCTTCCGGACAAGGGGACACCACTGACGATTTCTAAACAGCGAAGCAAGGGGACCAATTCGTTTTAAAGGAGGAAACTGACTGCCGACCTAGAAGTTTGCTAGGAACAGGATCTGCAAAGCGTAGAGGACAACTGTCCACTCTCTTACGCTAACCGAGTTTGAAATAGAATCCGGCCCAGGAAAGGACGCAGCACCCTCACCTGTGTGGGCCGCAGCGAGGGCCACGCAGGAGCCCGGGGCGCAGGGCCCACCTCGCCTCCCCCCAACAGGGCGACAGGCCGCGCTCCGGGTGCCTCTGTGTTTGACCACTAGATGGCAGTGCTCACCCTCCTTTCGAAGGACGGCCACCAAAGGCCAGCACGGAGGTTGAGTCTGATACCCGGAGGTTGAGTCTGATACCCGCGCAAACACGCCCCTGGTGGCCCCCACTGTGATTCCCCTGGGGAGGAAGCAGGGTGGCCCACCGCAGCCAGGGCGGGAAGCAGGGCGGCTGGCCTTTCCGTGCAGGAGGATCACAAGGCGGTTCTAGGAGATGAGACCCTCAGCTCCCAGAGCCACGGTGTCCCCGCTCTGGAGGTGAGCAGCAGCCCGGCCAACAGAGCACGGGGGCCCAGAAGGCAGGGGGCACCCAGTATCCAGGGCGTACCCCCCAAAGGTCCGCTCTCCGCAGGCAGTGCCGCACTCACCGGGCGAGGGGCAGGCTTCTTCATCCGAGCCGTCGGCACAATCCCGGTACCCGTCGCACACCCAGCTGTCCATCACGCACGCCCCGCTGCTGCAGCGGTAGTAATTGGGCAGACACGTGGAGGGCCCGGGAGTAGGGGAGGGAAGGATATGTAAATCTGTGCAAGACACAAGCAAACAAGAACACCCAAAGTGTTACAAGACGCTTCATCTCAGAGCAAAATGTGCCCCAAACTCAGTGCAGACATCCCCGTTTTAGCTGCCCCAGCCCTGGGAGGGCCAGGGTCAGGCACAGTTCTGAACAGCCGCTCATCTAAAAATCATTCATAATTAGGGCATCAGAATAGGCTGCAACCTCTTCCCTTTTTTGGAGCAGAATCACCTATAAGCTATTTGATGGGACTGGGGCTGAGGGAGTTTGCTCTTGCAGGAGCTCAACAGGGGCTTGATGCCTTTGCAGGCTGATGCAAGGCACAGGACTCAGAATGCACAGGGTGGATGGGGGAGCTCCCACAGAGGCCACACACCGTTCCAGTTACAGCTCCATTGCAGCTCCCCCAAGACCTAGTTCAGAGAGGAGGATGCCAAAAAGGAAAGTCAGGAGCATGCATTCCACACCAGTGCTCCCCAGATGCAGCGTGGTACTCCTATCGCCTAGAGATCTTGTTAAAGTGTGGATTCTGACTCAGAAGGGAGGCCTAGGGTGGGGGTTAGAGACTCTGTGTTTCTAACCAGCTCCAAGCAGACGTGGACGCTGCTGGTCCGCAGGCCATGCCTGCACTTGCCAGGCTGCACAGCGCTTGCTGTGGCCTGCAAATATGGCAAGCGTGACCCTAGAAACAGGAGAAACCAACCACACTGGTTTTCGGAGTGGGAGGAGATAGAGAGGCACTCAGACAGTTACACCCCCCAAAATCGCCTAACGAGCCCAGCACTGAGGAGATAAGATTCTATTCTGTGCAGAAAGGCGGCAGTGTGTCTGCTGTGTCCTGCCTACGGGCTGATGGCTGACCCAGGACCCTCACCTCCGCAGTCCTTCTCATCAGACCAGTCCCCGCAGTCGTTCTCCCCGTCACATTTCCACCTGTTGGGGATGCAGTGGCCATTCTCACAGCGGAACTGGAAGTAGCGGGAGCAGTTCGGGGCTTCTGTGGGGTTTTCTGGGGAGGTTAAGCACACATACCATCAATTAGTTGCCCAGTACCTGTGTGAACACAAATGCTAAAAAGATAGACACGACCTTCTCAACGCCCATGTCCCCGGGGGCAGCTTGCACAACCCTACCCGGTACAGGTGGGGCCGCTTCTTGGACTCAAGCCCTTCTTCCTGGATCCCAACTCATGCTTCTCTGTGCCACATTTCTAGACCTTACAAATAGTACCCAACTTTTTGACACTTTACCAAAGGAATGATATAACTATCGGTGACAGCCCAATGATGACAGGACTCTATAAAGTTGTGGCATCTATAATAAGCAAATTTGGGGAACACCCTCCAAAATATTCACCATCATTCATCTACCATATTCCTTAGACATAATGTGAACTTCCCAACTGGGGAAAGAAAAGGAACAGGAATAAACATCCCCCAACACCTCCTGGGGGCAGGCTGCCACTTGAAGACTCAATTCCTTACAGGGGAACCAGTGGTGAGGCAGGAGAAGGCACAGCCTGCATGGCAGTGAGCTGAGAACGGCCTCCTTAACCACAGGCATCACTGGGACCCGGAGATTAGGGACGAGAGGCTGAAGGTCCAGCATCTTACCACAGTTGGCTTCATCGGAGTAGTCACCACAGTCATCCATGCCGTCGCACTTCCAAATCAGGCTGATGCACACTCCGTTCTGGCACTGGAAACTGAACTCGTCACAAACCTTGTGGAACTCGGGGTCTTCCGCTAGATAAGGAACAAGCATCCCTAAGTTCCAGGCTGCTGCCATCCTGCAGGGCTCAAGGTAAGACGCAAGGGGAAAGAACCTCCACCAAGAGACAGGCCAGCTACAGGGCTCCAGGATGGCAAAAGCCACTTGAAGGCCTAACCCCCAGTAGCTCAGAAGGTGACTGCATTTGGAAACAGGGTCTTTAAAGAGGTGATTAAGTTATAGTGAGGTCACAAGGGACCCTATCTGATAGGAGTAGGGTCCTTCTGAGAAAAGGAAAGCAGGACACAGACAGGCATAGAGGGGAGACCACGTGAGGGCTGAGGCAGACGGCAGCCTTCAGCAAGCTCAGGAGGGGGGCTGCAGAAGAACCAATCCGACCAACATCTCAACCTCAAACTGGAGCCCCCGGAACTATGAGGAATACACGTCTGCTGTTTCGGCCACCCAGGCTGTGGTCTTTGGTGATGGTGGCCCAAGCAGACTAGAATGAGTAGCCACCGCTGGCAGGGCCTGTTTTAGGAGGAGATCTACGCAGTGAACAAAACAGAAGCCCTGCTCTCATGAGGCCCAAATTCCAGCAAGGAGAGACACGCAGTCAAATAATCAAATAAATATATGGCGTGCCAAGTGGTGACTAGTGCAACGAAGACCACCGGGGCCAGGCAAGGGTGCTACAGGGTGACAGGTACACAGGGAAGGCCCGCGGGAGAAGGGTCCCTCCATGCCTTCCCCTCATACACACACCAACCACCAAAAAGCAGACCTTTGGAAGCAACAGAGGGTAAGCCTTTCTCAGAAAGGGCCAGATTGGACACTCGAGTGAGACCCGTGAACCACAGTGGCCCAACCCTCGAAGCATCTCCAGGGATTCGGTCCCCTCCCCGTCCGCCCCACTCACAGCAGCCTGCGAACGTCGCATCCTCATCGGAGCCGTCACGGCACTGGACGATCCCGTCACACACCATGGAGTGGAACAGGCATTGCTGGCGGTTCTTGCACACGAAGTCCATGAAGCGCGTGCAGAGGGGCTCTGAGAGGGGTCCGGGGCAGGGAGAGGGCCATGAACGCTCAGGACCGGCACCAGCCCTGAGCAGAGGCTCCCTGTGCGCTCAGGAAACCGTAGTAAGAGCCCCCATTTCTTGAGCACTTGCTGTGTGCCGAGCCCTGAGCTAAAGCACTTGACACAGAGGCGCATCACTGAACTCTCTAGACAACGCCAGGAGAGATTTTATTGTCCTGTTCTCAAAATGAGAACAGAGGGAGTGGCAACATTAAGTATTTTGCCAAGAGTACACAGCTATTGAGGGTAGAGCCAGACCTGTCTGACATCCATGCTCATGATCTTCATCACGAGTCACAGAACACTGACTCTCTGCTACTTCTTCCACAAAAGGACCAGTGTTAGGGACTAATTGTACCCCTAAAAATTCGTATGTTAAAGCCCTAACCCCCAGTGTGACTGCGTTTGGAGACAGGTTCTTTAAAGAGGTGATGAAGGTAAAACGAGGTCATGGAGGTGGGGCCCTGATCCCACAGGTGCGGAGTCCTTATAAGAAGGGACACCAAGGGGGATCCCTGGGTGGCGCAGCGGTTTGGCGCCTGCCTTTGGCCCAGGGCGCGATCCTGGAGACCCGGGATCGAATCCCACATCGGGCTCCCGGTGCATGGAGCCTGCTTCTCCCTCTGCCTGTGTCTCTGCCTCTCTCTCTCTCTCTCTCTCTCTCTCTCTCTGTGTGTGTGTGACTATCATAAATAAATAAATAAAATTTTTTAAAAAAAAAAAAAAGAAGGGACACCAGGGATGCAGGACACAGACAAAAGCAAGAAGACGGCCTGTGGACTCGAGCTGTAACATCAGCCTGCCCCTGGGTTTCCAGCCTGCCGGCCTACCCTGCAGATTTTGGACTTGCAGCCTTCATAAGTGCATGAGCTGATTCCTGAATATAAAGCTCTCTCTGTGGATACACACATCCTATCAGTTCTGCTCTCTGGAGGACAGTGGCTGATACAACCAGAGAGCAAATTCTCAAGGTTTTATCAGCTGTATAGTCTCTATTATGACTACTCCTCTCTGCCACTGTTGGGTGAGAGCAGCCCGAGACAACACATAAACAAGTCGTAGTGACTGTGTTTAAAGAAAACTTCAGAAGTGCCTGAGTGGCTCAGTCAGTGAAGCTCCTGCCTTTGGCTTAGGTTGTGATCTCAGGGTCCTGGGATCAAGTCCCACATAGGGCTCCCTGCTCAGCGGGGAGTCTGCTTCGCCTTTTCCTGCTGCCCCTCCCCACAGCTTGTGCGCATGCATGCACTCTCTTTCTCTCAAATAAATAAAATCTTTAAAAAAAGAAATAAAGAAAACTTCATTCAACAGAACACGTTATGTGTGGGGGCTGGCTTTTCCCCACAGCCCAGCCTGCCAATCCCTGCACAACTACATCTGTTCTCAACCTGGACTGTGCATCAGAATCACCTGGAGCAATTTTTTAAAAATCCCAATGCCCAGGCCACACTCCATACAAATTACATCAGAATCTGGGGGTGGGAGGGAGTCGGGGAGCCAAGCAAAGTACATTCACAGATGAGCACCACTGGCCCAAGACAACCTCTAGGAGTCTAAAGGAAACTGGGATAAGAGAGTCACCTGGCCGAACGAAAATGTGACTTGAGTAATCACCAGCAACATGAATAAAACCCATCAAGTAGGAGAAATAAGTATTCAGTTCAAAACACTGGGTCTACTCCTAGAGCGAGAGCAACCAACAGCAGCGTTCACCAAGCAACGAGAGTTGCTCCCAGAGTCCGGCATGAACTCGGTTAAAAACTAACCCCCAGCAGATCCTGAGGAGGTGCAAGGGTTCAGTCCAATATTTGCACTTCCCCGGGGCAGGGAGAGGACTCACCGCAGTGCTGTTCATCCGCGCCATCGGAGCAATCCCGCAGACCGTCACAGTGCTTGCTGGATGGGATGCAGGTGCCATTCGGGCAGCGGAATCCATTGCACTTCTTCTCTGAAATGCAATTTGATAACGGAAGAGAGTGATAAGAGGAAAGAGGCAGGTGCTCACACGCGTTGTTGTGCGGGTTTAAATGGGCAAACCCCTACGGAGACTGGGTGATTGGTAACCAAGGTCACAGTAACGAATGCATGCACACCTTGACCCAGCGATGCCATGGCAAACACGTGATCTACCCACACAAGTGAGAAATGACGTTAGTACCAGGTTGTTCATTGCAATGCTCTTTGTAATGCACGGACAACCACCTACCTGTCCGTCGTAGGGGACTCTGTAATACCTCGTCATACCCTAAAACACGAGACTGCTACAAAGGCACTGAAGAGGCACTCTGCAAAAATGTGTCCCAGATACACAGTTGTGTGGAAAAAACAAGGTACAAAACAACACGCATGGCATTCTACTTGTGTAAAAGAGAACAAGAATACACAGTACATTTAAATTTGCAGATATGCACAAAAATATCCTAAAAGGGCATACAATCATAATTTCCCATGTGGACACGGTAGGGATTTGGCAGATGGGGAGAAAAATGTTTACCATACACCTCTTGATGCTTTTTTCCATCTTGAACCATGAAAACGTGTTACCTACTCAAAAAACTGAGTACCTATTTTTAAGAAAAGCTTCAGTGAGTGGAAAAAAGGAGGACATGAATCCTGATTATAATCCTGGTCTTTTAAAGCTCTCCTAAATCACCATCTTAATTCTTCAGGAATTCTAAACTAAAGCCCTTTCAGAGAAAGTCCATTCTAGCAATGTTAAGAATCTTAGATTTTGTGCTTAGTAGAGAATTCTTAGCACAAGGTAACCCTTTCTCCTGAACACAGAGCTACTGCCCGACGTTAGGGCTTAAAAGTAAGTTCTAGCAAGTAAGTCAGGGCCACTGCAAACCCAATGCTTAGGAGATCGGTTCCAGGGGGTTCAGGAGCAAGGCAAGAAAGTGTGTTTTAATCCTCTAATAAATCATCATGCCTAGGAAATTATTCTAAGGAATCAAACAGAACCACTAAGTGAGTACCATGAGTCGGGAAATACTTAATATCGCTAAGTGTAAGAGGCATTTTTAAAAAGTATAAAATTAAAATTATACAAGACAGACTCCTATCCAATAAATTAGTGAAAACAGCTAAAAAGGTAAAATGTAAGTTCAAGGGAGATGTGGGGAAACAGACACTATGTTACTGATAGAAATGCTTCGGGTATCATCACTCAGAAACGCAACATGCAAACACTTAAGGAGAATCATTAAAATCCATCAGAACCTCTGACCCAGCAATTCCATACTGAGGGACATATCCTAGGAAGTATCTCCAAGAAAAAATAAGCCTTCATTTCCACAAAAAAAAAAAAAGGATAATTTCACTGCACATAATAGTGTAAAACTGAAAACACTCAAATGCCTGACTGGGAAGCAACTAAGTAAACTATGAGAAATATCAAGTGAATATGTATCTGCCATGAAAATGTGGGCTACAGAAAAATACAGATATAGGCAAAGACCTCTGCTTAATACTGTGACGTGAGAAGAATGGAGTTTACAACATGCAGATGATGACTACGGTCCCATGAAGATCTGGAAGGTATGGTGCAAAGTAACAGGAAATATATATATATATATATCTGGCCCTGGTTATAGGCACAGAGCTCTTAAGCCCTTGTAATTCCCTAGGTAACAGGAATGTCTTGTGTTCTAATGGGCAACTCTGTGTGGGCTCCTGCATAGCTTTAGGATGGGGGCTGGTCACCAGAATGATTAGAGGCTTGGTTTGAACTCCACCCCTGATCCTCTAGGGAGGGGTGAGGGGGAGCTAGCTTAACGATTCATACTATGTGATTAAGCCTCTCTAGAAATCCCAAAAAGTATGGGGCTCAGAGAGCTTCCAGGTGGCTGAACAAAGAGATGCTGGAAGAGCGGGAGGTCTGGACAAGGCTTGGAAGCCCCACAACCCTTCCCTCTACCTTGCCCTATGCTTTCTTTTCCATCTGGATGTTCATTCTCTCTCTCCTTTATCACACATCCTTTTCTAACAAGCTAGGAAATGTGATTCCCTGAGTTCTGTGAGATAGTCTAGTAAATCACTGAAGCCAAGGAAGGGGAGACGGATTTATAGGTTGTCAGTGAGAAGTACAGGTGACAACTTGAGGCTTGTGGCATCTGAAGTGGGGGGCAGTGTTGGGGACCATGCCCTTAACCTGTGAAATCTGATGCTATTCCAAGGAAGACAGTGTAAGGAACGAGTTAACTGCAGGACACCCAGCGGGTACTGAAGACTGCTTGGTGTGGAAAACACACATGGGGTGGCCAAGAAGTGTGGAAGTACACTGTGCGCAGAATGCTGAGAGCAGAGGAGAAACACAGGGTTTTTTTTTCCTACCCAGCTATAGAAAAAGGATATGGATAGAGAACCTTAAAGATATTTGGTATAGGGGTACCTGGGTGGCTCAGTGGTTGGGCCTTTGGCTCAGGTGGTGAGCCCAGGGTCCAGGGACCGAGTCCTGCACCAGGCTCCCCACAGGGAGCCTGCTTCTCCCTTTGCCTATGTTTCTGCCTCACTCTCTGTGTCTCTCAGGAATAAATAAAATCTTAAAAAAAAAAGATATTTGGTATAAAAACGAATTTTATACATTGTGTTCGTGGGACAGCTATTTTGTGAAGGTAGCTGATGACCTCAGAGTTCTTTCTGAAATCAAGGTAGTAACCACTTTCCCAAAGGACCATAACACAGAACTCTTAGTCATAAAGTACGCTATTTATACCGAAACTGCTGGCTAATTTCTGGTGAAACAACTGCTCATTTCTGTATTTGGTGACTGTATTTTGCACTCTGGGTGGGTGAACTGGTTTCCATTTCTTTGCTGCAAAGTTGTTATGGAAAACCAATGAGGCAAAACAGCTTGCCTGCCAACGAGGATGACACAACACACCCCTATACATCCTATGGCCATGCCATCTAAAAACCGGGAAGGCCTGTCTGGTGGTCGGCCTGGGCGCCCGGGCACAGCAGAGCAGTATTCCAACGCCCGGCCCAATCTGTCCCCTCTTCTCCTGACCAGCAGACACTGGGGCCGCTCCACGTGGAGACCAAAGCAGAGCATTTACCGCAGTTCACTGGGTCCTCGTCAGAACCATCCTGGCAATCCATGTCACCATCACACGCCCACCGCTGGGGAATACAGTGCCCGTTGTGACACTGGAAGTTGGAGACCTCGCAGGTGTGATAGATGGCTGCCAGCAAGAGAGAAGAGAGACAATGTCAGTGCCACCTTCACCTCCGCTCCCCCACCAACCACCAAGGAGCTGACCAAAGGGAGACTGTGCTGGGTAATAAGGTGTGGACCAGAGAGCCTGAGCTCCTCCCTGGCCAGGAGCCAGGCACCTGGGCTTGCGCTCCTAATGGAGCAATCACTTGACTCTGTGAGTCTGTAAAGCTACACAAGTATAGATGTACATGTTAAAAAGAAATCATTTACTTTTCACAACCACCTATGACGTGAGGGTTATTCCCCACATCTCCTAAGTAACAAACAGCCTTAGGGGAATTAAGATAACTCGCTCATATTCACAAAGGTAAGTAATAGCACCAGCGTTCTCCAAGTCCAAAGCCTGTATGGCTTCTGCCCTGTCTTGCTACTTTATCTTCTCACATGAACCCACTCACTCATCCAGATTCTGTGGGACAAGGAGAGGTGGTGTGTGCTCTGCAGACCAGCTCTCGACCCGATGTAGCCACTCTTTGGGGGGCCTCCACTTCATCATCTATATTGATATGTAAGGACCCTTGTAAGCTCTGAAAGGCTGTGATTTTATAATTCTCAACAAACTACCCCATTTCAAATGTGCAAAGCCTCAGATCCAGAGAGCACAGAAGATTTACTCAAACTCAAAACAGAAACGTGCCAGCACCTCCTAGACTTGTCTAACTTTCCCAATAGTCAGGAGTGACATCTATCAGCCAACGACGTGTGGTGTCCGCTACAACCATTAAAAGAAAAAGATGCAAGTGAAACAGAGCTGTTGTTATAAACCAGCAGCCTTGTTTGCATACGTGGGCTGAGGCCAGTTGGAAGTCCTTTAGAAACGTCTCGAAACACTGGTCAAAGACTAGTTTGAATGCAGAGTATCTGCCTCAAACCCAACCAGCACTACTAACCATCTCTCCATTAGCTTTCCCTTTCCTCTGCTAAAACAGAAAGCTGTTTGTGTCTGTACACTGCTGAGTGAAAGCCAGGGCTGGCCTTGTTTACCACTGACATAAAACAAGAGAGCTAGATGGGCTCTCTGTTAAACTGTGTCGACAAGGATGTCTTTGCAACACATGAAGCAAAACAAACAAAAGTGGGTTATTGAGGGCATACTATAGTTACTTATTCAATCAAGACGGTTGGCAACTGCTACTCAAGGATTGGGAAAATTGGCTTCCAATGCCCTCTAGAATTTCTACTGAATTTGGGGCTATTTTGTGCAGCAGTCTGAAGTACAAAGAATCTGATTTTTCAAACCACTTTGAAACAAGTGGTGGTCCATTATCTGTTGTCTTATCTCACTGACTACCAAGGCTATGTGCATAGCATAGAAACAGGTCTAAACGAAGTTTTAATATTATATAACCTCTGGCTCTCAGAATCCATTGAACAGCTTTTTAAAATATAAGATGCCTGGGTGGCTCAGCGATTGAGCATCTGCCCTCAGTTCAGGGCGTGATCCTAGGGTCCTAGGATCGAGTCCCGCATCGGGCTCCCCGCAGGAGCCTGCTTCTCCCTCTGCCTGTGTCTCTGCCTCTCTCTGTCTTCCATGAATAAATAAAATCTTAAAAAGAGATTAAAATACATTCATCTCCGAGAAGAGGAATACATATAGGCTGCACGTTACATGAGCTTTTGCAGCAGTAACAGCCATCGCCTGGAATACTTTTGATCTGATGGTTTTACAAGTCTGACAGCCCTTGCAAATACTCCTCCGCAAAGCTTTGCTCCCTTTCATGAGATACACTGTTCCCTAAGCTCACTGCCATGCTGATCTACTTATTATTCAGCTTATGCGGTTCACTTTTAATTGAAAACAATTTTCAGAGTGCTAATGGAGTTTCCAAATGACCATTCTGGGAGGCATGTCTGAGATCTCCAAAATCACAGAAGCTGAGCTCAGAAAGACTAATCAGTTTGCACAATTTCATTTAAGTGGCCAGGTATGAATGGAATTTTTAACACATTTTCTTTTTCTGAATTTTCCAATCTTCTGAGTAACTTATTAGCTCTCTGATACTGAGTTCTGGTTAAGTAATACATGTTCAATTATTTTACCTTTTACACTTAATTATAAGGATGGAAGAGACTGATTTTAATACAGACTAAAGAATGGGGGGGGGATAAGAATCCTTTGCACAGCAGGATGGGCAAATGGGGTAAATGACCATGAAATTAGAGGATCGGAGTTTCTAATGGAAACCTATCCTACTTATCCTATACCCCACTCTCTGACTTGGACAGATCTTCCTTGACTCAGCAAGACCCTCTGGAATACCTGATCAAAAGCATTAACCAAATACAACTGGGGCAGAAGGGATGGATGAATTCTAATGGTAGGAATTACAGAGCACTGGACTATTAGGAAGTGAATGAGAGGGAAAAATGCGACTATCAATACAACTTGAATGATTAATGACACAGAAATAATAACATAAAGCGTAAAGAAAGAGCATTGATGGACATCTGGGCTCTTTCTATCAGTGAATGGATAAAGATGTCTTATATACATATATACTCAGACATCAAAATAATGAACTCTTGCCATTTGCAGTAACATGGATGGAACTAGAGGACGTTATGCTAAGTGAAACAAGTCAATTAGAGAAAGACAATTATCATATGATCTCACTCATCTGTGGAATTTAAGAAACAAAACAGAGGATCATAAGGGAAGAGAGGAAAAAATAAAACAAGATGAAATCAGAGAGGGAGGCAAACCATAAGAGACTCTTAATCATAGGAAACACATTGAGGGTCGCTGGAGGGAAGGGGATTGGGGGATGGGGTAACTGGGTGATGGGCATTAAGGAGGGCACATGATATAATGAGCACTGGGTGTTATATAGCACTGATGAATCACTGAGCTCTACCTCTGAAACCAATAATACAGTATATGTTAATTAACTAAAATTAAATAAAAGTTTTTTTTTTAAAAAAGAAAAGGCACTGAAAAGCAAAAGCCAGACTTGGAACAAGAACAAGATAGAAATTCTAGATATAAAAAAATACAGCCGTGGAAATAAACATAGCTCAGTGGATGTGAGAAACAGCCAGTTAGATTCAGCTGAAAAGAGAACTGTTGAACCAGAAGAAAAGACTGAGGAAGTAACTCAGATCCTAGTATGGAGTCATAAAGAGACCGCAAATCCTAAAACAGAAGCATGAACAACAGAAGGACACAGCCCAATAGATCGCTGACAGTAACTATTGAAGACAAGACCAGAAATACTAGCAAAGAGAACTGAAAACATCATGGCTGTAATTCCCCAGAATTGATGAAAAATAAATCCTCAGCCTCTGGAAGGAAAACAAGACTCAAGAGTGGGATGAATAAAAATAATTTCACCTAGGGAGGTGTAACTATATAACAACAAACAAAAACCTACAGATACCCAGAGAGAAAGGATGTCTGATGATACTTTGAACAGCTCACCTGACAGGAGAATTCAAATCAACACAGAAGAGGCCAGAAGGAAATAGAATAATCCCATTGAAATACTTAACGGAATATTATTACAAACCGAGAAATCCAGATCCATCTGAATTCAGGATTGAGACTGACATAAAGACATGTTTGTGTAAATAAAACCTTCAAAGAGTTGACCACTCATGGACTCCTGCTGCAAGAAACAGAGAAAGATATACATGGAAAGGAGACATCGGGCACAAGAAGCAAAGGTGAGTGGTTCCTGAAATATAACAATGATTAATATTAGGAATTTTTTAAATGTACCATGAAAATACTAAGCACGTGTGGAGTCTGTTCTGAAATCCCTGCGAGTCTAGGAGGGCGGAGAGCCACTGTGCGAAGACACATGGGGTGTCTAAGCGTAACCCCAGAAAGAGCAGAAATCAAATGTTTACGGTCAAATTGACACAGGGAGGTGGGGAGAAGGGAATAAAGAAAATTAAGTCCCATGAAAGACAAAAAGCAGGGAGGAGAAGCCCAAAGACTGTGCCCACAAGCTGAGGCCAAGAGGAAGTCCACCGACCCCGACTGATTGTGGCTTGGCAGACAACTTCGTGTATTAGGTCAGGAAACGGAGGGACACGCCATGCATCCTAATGAGCTCACGGCTGACTGCCAACTATCTTGAGATGACAAGGAAAGAGAATCATCTTTAATAGGTTTGGAAGAACAGTCCCTGGAACAAGGGAGCAGGTGAGGTGTAAGCACTTTACATGTTCCCCAGACAGCCTTGCCAAAAAACAAAACAAAACAAAACAAAACAAAAAAAAAAAAAAAAAAAAAACCAGGAGTCTCAGATGAACCCACCCATAGAAATGAGTTGTTAATTCATCCCAGAGGAGCAGCACATGCTGCTGAAACACAAAATTGACTCATGTGGTTGTGCTAACAAGATGTTCAATCATTTTGCAATTTACAAACTGAAATACCCAAGTGCGCCCCTTTAATTTATTAACCAATTATCCACCCAAGCCCACGGTTTCCAAACAGCATCGTGGCTCCTGGGCTGATAGCAGTTCCTCCGTGGACACTGGTTTTTTTTTTTTTTTCCTCCCTCTACAGGCCATGCTTGTCTTTGGAGAGAAGCCTTCTCCTGTGTCCTTCCAAGGCACTGAGGTTCCACCAGAAAGGACAAGGGGCAAGTTTCGGGTAAGTTTATAAGGGCAGAGAATCTGGTAACATCGTGGATTATCCTGTGTGATGATATGGCATTTGAGGAGAGCCATCTACTCCTCAGGGTCACCTGAGGTCACTTTGAAACTAAAATGAACGCAGAGAAGCCGTTGTGTAAATTGCCCAATCGACAGAAGCTCCCTGAACACATCCTCTCCTACCAGGCGCTGGGCAATGGGAAAATACAAAGGTCATTTCTGCCCTGCAGGAACTAGATCTAAACTAAAAACCTAACAGTTACTTAGATTTAGGTTCGGGATAGGAGAGTGTAGCCTTCTTTTTATTTGCTTCCACAAATCAGTAGGCATTGCTCTGAGCTCCCAGTGCTGGGCACTGTAGGAACGGGTGGGTATATGGATGGGGTGAGGAGGATTAAGACAGGGGACTTGGAAGGCCCGCCCCAAGATTAATGATCTGCACCATGTGAATGACAAGTTCATGCAGTACCAATGAATTGCAACACAAAGCCCAGAAGCAGATCTGCCCCTACCACAAAACGTTTACATGAAATAACCTTCGCCCCATCACTGGATTTAAGATAGAACTGAGTGATCATTTGGAGAGGGTGCAGAGAAAATGTACTTCTCAGGTAGTGGGATCAGTTTTTATTCCTCCACGGTTTCCCCAAATCCTTGCTCTCCCCATTCCAGCATACTGTAAAATGAGTCTCATTCATTCACTCCTTCATTTATTCCTTCATAGAAGTAACGTGATGAACACCAGTGAACATTATTCTCATCACCCATGAGAATAATGACAATACCTCCACCTCATACCACCACGTCTTCCTCTCCTATTCTCACGCTGTTTCCAACATTCTTTTTCATGCGATGTGACCCCAAATGGGTATAAGCACCGTTCAGGTTTTCACTGTTTGGGGAACTCTCTGATGCTCCCTTCAAAAGCATGAGTTAGTTCAGCGCTGCTCAATGTGTGGTCCCCAGACCAGGGGCCAGTCTATAAACTGGTGTGACTGGTCCTGAAGAAATAAGCTTGAGCCAGATTGCGAAATCGACCATATCGCTCAGGGACACTTGTTTAGGTAATGCTTTTTTGCACAGCAAAACCTTCTCAATGAAGAAAGCAGGGTGTCCATTTCCCTTTTAGCGCAAGCTCAGCAGAGTCCAGCTCTCTGAGAAGCATGCAACTAGCTGATGCCTAAGGTCCATTTCTTAGAGTCTAGAGCCTACGATTGTGGAGGGTTGCAGAGCTAACCAGCACACACACAGACAGGTGCTGTCAACGGAGAGCACGGAACACTGACCAGTACAGTTGGCTTCATCAGACCAGTCCCTGCAGTCATTGTCTCCATCACACACCCAGGAGGAGCGGATGCACATGCCAGAGCTGCAGCTGTATTCGTCACTCCGACACTGGTGCATTTCTGCAGGGGAGATCACAAACACAGAGCAGTGGGGACAAACGCTGACTCAGAGATCCATCTCGGATGGAGCTCAGGCATCAGCACTCCTGAGGGCTAGAGTAGCACCCATTACCCAAATTATCACTGATTATCCAGGTACAGTATGGACTTAGCTGGGGAATGCCAGCTAACCAAGGATGGACTCTAGGTGTGCTGGGATACTGACACTTTCACATTCTATTTTTAAAGATTTTATTTTATTTTTATTTATTTATTTATTTATTTATTTATTTATTTATTTGAGAGAGAGAGAGAGAGAGAGAGAGAGAGAGAGAGGGAGAAACAGTGCACACATGCATAAGCAGGGAAAAGAAAAATCTCAAGCCAACTCTACATTGAACGTTGAGCCTGATGCAAGGCTTGATCCCAGGACCCCGAGATCATGACCTGAGCTGAAATCAACAGTCAGACACTTAACCAACTGAGCCATCCAGGCAACCCTGACACCCTGACATCCTTGCCCCTGGTCACCCCTAGGCCCAGAAGAGCTTTATCCATTTACCTTGGGGCACTTGACAAATATTATCTATGCTTGTTACAATGAGAAGGTTAGGAGGCAATGCGCTAATTACCCAGAAAGTAGAATCCTAAGAATTCTCAAGAAACAGAAGCCTTCTAGAGATGGAATCCGTGGTTCAGAAAAGGGGATAATGAGAACTCTGAGCAAGCTAACTAGTACGAGATGCTCAGATCGGAGATGATGAGATTAGTGCTGAGCTCCCAACACAGAGAAAACCGGGGACCTTCCATGGGCAGAGCTCCAGGGACATCGGCTGATGGGCTGTCTCTAGAAGGGTGGGGTCCTGAGGCAAGGGAACCCGTGCAGCCTGACCAAGACTTGCAAGCAGGCTACCCCGGCGACCTCTTTTACAGACCCTGGGAATGTCATTTAAAACAGAGCTTTCAATGGGAATTTTAAAGAATCTAGGGAAACAAGGGGAGCCAAGCCTGGGGCCCAGGGTGGCTGCCTGAGGTGTGTCATTCAGGAGACAAGTTGATGGTGAAGCTGGAGATTCAGATATTTATGAGGAAACAGTCTGGAGACTTATGAAGAGGACCCGGCCCTGCAGCTATCAGGGACTGGGACCGTGGCAAGGATTCAGGAGACACTAACAGGCCATAAGTGGGGAACCCAACATGTGCCCAACAGGTGAGCAAGATGACATCACTGGAGTCTTCTTCCTACTAAGCTGTGCCCTTCAACCCTGTGCAGACGCTAAGGAAAGGATGGACAGTACTGAACCCAAAAGACTGCTTTTGAGGGTAAATGATGTGACCCCCTCCCCCCCACACACACACCAGATTCCTCCAAGAGCCAGGCTAGGAGCACTTCCCTGGCTCCCCTTGTGTAAGCCCCTGGGGTCAGCTGCTGGTGAAAAAGCAGGCCCCGTCTGTAAGCACATGCGAGGCTAGACTGGACCTGCCCCGTGGGTGGGTAGGGAGAGCCACCAACTCTTCACGCTGTCTGGGCCAGCGTCTGGCCTCTGTTCTCACTTCCCCTTTGGTCAGGAACCCTCCAGTCTGGTGCACTCCATGTACCACATAACATTTCCTCCTTGGAAGGTCAGCAACGCTGAGTTTGGTACCAGAGCCATTCACGGAGACAGGCCGCCCGAACCAGGCAGGGCTGGGCTGTGCAGCGAGGCTGGGAAACACGGCTCCGGGTCCCTATCCTGACACAAACTAACAGTGTCACCTTGAAGAAGTCCTCTCAGTCATTTAGTCAGAAATTAAAAAGGACTGAACCAGAGAGCCCCTATCACTCTTGGCAATTCCAATGCACTATTTTCCTAAATGTAAAAATTTCCATTCAGAAAACAGATGTTCAAACAACATTTGTACCATCTGCTGGCTTCCAACAGAGTTTACTGAATTAGATTGGTTTAAAAAAAAAAAAAAGCCGTTCACAAAGGTAGAGATCTAGTCTCCTAGTCGCCCAGATGTGTGGGCCAATTCTGTTCCATATATAGCTTTTAATAACCACCTAAATTCAGTTACAAATCTTCCTTACTATCACACTCATGCTTACGGCATCCCTGCGTGGGAAAGCAGGGTCCGTGATCTTTCGAATAAATCATTCCTACCAAGGGGGCAGAGATGGTCATATGGCTGGATATCAGAAACCCCAATGGGGGCGCCCGGGGGGCTCAGTCAGTTAAGTGTCTGATTCTTGGTTTCAGCTCAGGTCATGCATGATCTCGGTCCTGGGATGGAGCCCAGCTTTGGGCTCTGTGCTCAGTGAGGAGCCTTCCTGGGATTCTTGAGTGCTCTCTCCCTCTGACCTTCCCTCTCTACTCCATCCTCCCTCCCCTGCACCCCACATGTGCGTTCTGTCTCTCAAAAAAAAAAAAAAAAAGAAAAAGAAAAGAAAAAGAAAAAAGAAAGAAAACCCTGAGATGCTTTCAGAAATCCTCCATCTGCAACCCACGGCAGCTCAGTGAGTAAAGGCGCTGCCCCGCTCAGAAATGGGGTCCCTGGACATCACGGCCCCTTACCACAGTGACTTTCATCGCTGTTGTCTCCACAGTCATCCTCCAGGTCACACTTGTAGGAGAGAGGGATGCAGGTCCCAGACTCCTGGCAGCGGAACTGAGTGTCCAGATCACAAATGGTAGTAGCTAAAACGGGAGAGACCATATACTCATGAGGAACAATTAATCCCCCCGCCTTACCCTAAATACAAACATCCCCATGGAGAAAGAACTAAAACAGAGTCACAGCAGATTTCAATTGCAGCAACAGAGACAAAAATATATATATAAATCACATGAGAACCTGACATTTACAACCAAGGGCAAGAAGAGCCTATCTTTCCGTGGACGGCTTCCAGATGGGCACTGGGCTGGGAGGGTGACATACTGCCGTCCAGCTGGGAGAAATGGGCTGGATCACCTCCTACGACAACCCCCAACCCCCCAGGCCTGAAGGTGTCTTTCTTTCGTTTTTTTTTTTTTTTTTTTTGAAGGTGTCTTTCTAAGTACTCGGCAGAGACACCTTCATTTAGACGATGATTAAGAAGCCCAATCTTACAGGAGAAGCAGGCACCTCCCCGTATCGATGACACAAGGAGCGTCAGGGAAGAATTTTATAGCAGGCACGTGGGTCTTGTCATCAGGTAGGACTGGGTTCCAGATCCTGGCTCTGCCTCTGCCTCAAGCAATTAACTTTAACCTCCTTGGGCCCATTTCCTACATGGCAGGAGGAGGATAAGGTAACGTGGCCAAGTGCTGTGATGACACAGACTAGATACAGATCTCAAGTCTCTAAGTTACATAACCTAACTGATCCGTGCCTCCGTTTGCTCTACCGTAAAACAGAGATAATATAGCACCTACCCTGAGGCAGTATTATGAAAGGAAATAAGCAAACTGGTTTGGGACCAGAGCCCGTTGGGTAGGCTGCAAAGCAGAACAGTCTTCAAACAAATGTCACATCTCTTCCTTGTCCTTCCTCTGCCCTCCTGCACCAGGATGGGTACAGAAGTAGATTCTTCTCCCTCTTCTAACTAAAATTATCTGGGAGTGGCACAGTCCCTAGAGCCCAGCAAGAGACCCTCCAGGCAAGGCTTTGGGAAGGAAGGCTGTGCTCAGGAGCCGCTGACACAGCGTTATGATGTGACACAAGAGGATCCTGGGGTGGGGGTGGGGGGGAGGCGTGCTGGGAAATGAAAAGCCAAGGACAACACTACAGTTAGACATCCCAGTGGCATTTATTTGAGGCTCCGTTTCTTCACTGTAATCGAGCTCATGGTGGGAGGCAGAGGAAGAAGGCAAAAATGACAAGGCTGCAGGGCATTCACGTCAAAACCCAGAGAGCCTGACAACTACCCAGCACAGGAGTCTGTGCAAGGGAGGGAGATGTGCTGACAACAGCCCTCCCTGGCTCCCTGGTCACCACTGCCCACCCCACCCCCCATCTTCCCCAGCAGCTGATGAGAAGCTGTGAACTTCCCAGACAGCAGTGGCCAGCCACAGCCTGAGCCTCTCCTGCAGCTCTGCCCATGGACGAGGAGCCTCCACCATCAGGATAAACACGGCTCTCCTCCTCCTTCTCCTCCTCCTCCTCGATAAGGGAACCGCTGGCACAGGCACAGACAAGCACCACCCTCCAGGTTCCCAGGCTCCACATTTTAACACCCCCGCGCCCCTCCTCATCGCCTCTCCTGGGCCAAGTGGAATGAATGGAGACAGAGCAGAGCAGGGCAGCGAGCAAGTCTCACGGTCCTGGGAAGGTCAAGCCCAGCCGAAGCTGACACCAAACCACGAGGCGGTCAGAGCCAGCAGCAAACTTGACCCTGTGAGGCTGGCGTGGAGCTCGGGGGCTGAAGCAGTGGGGGTGGGAGGGATGGAGGGAGGTCCCTCTCTCAGGACACTCAACCAATACAAGATCCCAGCCTGTCATCTAATGGAAACCAAAGCCCTGGGTGGAATCCCCATCTACTGAACCCAAGGTCATCTAGTTTAGATCTCTGCTTCCACTGAGCCTAATCATGTCTGGGCAATCTTCATGCAATGTGTTAATTCTAAGAAGCATCTCCTCCCTGCGCCCCCCCCCCCATATGTAATAAAGTCATTCCCAGGCTCGGTTCCAATGCTGTTAATATTTTTTTTAAGGAGCTTTGGCTCTTCACCCACAAATACCACCCCTTCCTGAGACTCTGGTAGGCAGAGAAGGTGTTATCACTGTCCTTTTCACAGAAAAGAAAAAAACAAAAGCAAAAAACGCACAGACAGCCTAATGCTTTCCCCAGATCGGCCATTCAGTGAGCTCTTCTCCCTGGGTGTGAATGGCATCCACTGAAACCAAGGAAAAATGACTAAGAAAAGGTTTGTTAAATAACTTCCTAAGAGCCAGCAAGGACAATGCATAGTTTTGCTGGGCCCAGATGATTTCAGTGAGTTGAGTGCCTCTAAGGTTGCTTTCTGGCTGGGGTGGCGTGGGAACCTGCGACAGGCTCCACAGATGGCTGGCAAAACATGTCCACCATGGAGCCAGGAATCACCCACTAACCTGTTCTTATAGCACAAAATGGCAAGTGAGCCTCTGGATTTCCAGTGGGAAAATATTTGCAAGAGAAGTCTTCACACTGGCTTCTGGCTTCCCTGCTTCTGGTCTTCCTCCCAGCCAGTGCCTTCTGCCCACTGCTTCTCTTTCCAAAGGCAAAATTCTTATCATGTTATTTCAGTGGTTCTCAACTGCTCGTCTGAAGAAAGTCCCCAGGCACCTGCTGCTGGGGGCACCATAACTAGCCCAACGTCCCCTTGCCCCACTGCTCCCGTTCATATTATTGATGACTCACACCAGTTTCTTAACCGTGCCACGTATACCTTCACCTCTGGGCTTTCATACCTGTTCTCTTGCTGACAATCATGCTCCCTCCACCTCTGCTTGCTTCACCTCTACTCACCCTTCAGGGCTCTCCATAAATACCTACCCAAGTTTGATTTGTGTGCTCTTCCTATATGCATATGGTGCTCCCCCATTCTCACGCTCACTGGCTCTACTGTAACCGCCTCTCTACTCTTCCAACTCCTCTCTGGACTACAGACTCCATGTCATTCCCAAGCCAAACACACAGCCTAGAACAAAGGAGTTCTCAACAAATACTTGCTGAATGAATGTATGAATGTATTACTCAGTGTCAGAGGGCAAAGCATCTCGTTAGAAGTTAACGTCTAGGGCAGCCCGGGTGGCGCAGCGGTTTAGCGCCGCCTTCAGCCCAGGGTGTGATCCTGGAGACCCGGGATCGAGTCCCACGTCAGGCTCCCTGCATGGACGCTGCTTCTCCCTCTGCCTGTGTCTCTGCCTCTCTCTCTGTGTGTGTGTCTCTTATAAATAAATAAAAAACAAATCTTGAAAAGAAAAAAGAAGTTAATGTCGAGACTATTAAAAATTAAAATCTTGCCATAAATAAATTACTCATTATAAGTACTTACTTGTCCTTAAACCCTGCTGAACAGAATCATGCTTTAGGAGTTACCCTTAGAAAGTTTACAGTCCAAAGATGATGTTTCCATGCACACATAGCAACATCCCCACATTTCAAGCCAACCAGGCATCATCAATCAGTTAGAACGATCTCTCTGGAGCCTGGCCGGCAGCCAATATCCACTGACTGGATGGCATACAAAGCAAAACCTGTTTCCCATCTCTGAAAAGGCTGAACACTGAATTAGCAGATCAAGGGATGTCACCTGGTCACCAGCTTTATCACAGTGGTAGGGCCACAACGAGAGCCCAGACGGCCCGACTCCCCAGGCAGCTCAGTTTCAGCCAGGCAGGCCCCAACTGGTAAACCCTTTGTTAACGAGCAGTTCCCTGACCTGTGGGGCTTGGTTTTAAATTAAATAACCACCTCTATCTAAGTGCCTTCTCTGTTCTCCAAGCCCCATCAGCTCACATGGGGGTCACCCACCATGGCGGGCCACCGGCCAACACCTTGGCAGCAGGAGCCCCCTTCCTCCCGGCCCCCCGGGCGCAGCTGACCAGCCCTCCGAGTAACGGTAAGTGTGCAACATCCCAAAAGCCCAGCCGAGCAGGGAAGACTCACGGCAGTTTCTCTCGTCGCTCATGTCACCACAGTCATTGTCAAAATCACACCACCAGATGCTGTTGATACAGTTCCCGTTGCTGCAGCGATACTGGTTGCGGAGACAGGTGTTCTCTGGCCAGCGTGGGTGGGCAGAGGGGGAAACGAGATGAATATTATTCTTACTGCTGGACCGCAAGACTCTCACTTTTGAGTTTCCATTTCTCTTCCTCAAATAACATGCCTTAAATGGTAAAGAGGAAGAGTGGTGCCAAGCTCACCTGCATGCAGGAGCATACAACACAGGCCTCCTTCTTTCCTCTTTTAATTACAATTAATGAGGGGTTGGGGGTGGTTATAACGATGAAAAAGGACGGAGATGGTGCCAGCTGGGTCCAATGGGTAGACACCAAACACCGACGTTATAAGATACTAATTATACAAGGAACTGTTTGAGGGGCCGTGTCTACACAATACGAAAACATATGTGTTCAATATATTTGTACCTGTGTGTGTTTTATACATATAGCCATATATATCCACTTTTTCAGCTAAGTAAGTTCCAAAGGATACATAATACTTCTAGGACTTTTCCTACCCACAATGCAAAGGAAAAAAAATTGTTTGTTCAGTAAACCGAGTCAAGAACACATGATGCCTGGCCTCTTTGTTTTGATCACCAAAAGCATTCCAAAGGAAAATATTAAAAAGTCTTTGTCTAACTTAAGTGTTCACTCTCTTTGTCTCTAAGCAGCTGTAAGATGTCTGGAGCCTGAGAGAGAATCTCCAGTGTCTAAGGGAAGGGTTATCCTTTCTCCATTTGTATTTCTTATGGAAAAGAAACCATGGGGGTCCTCTGTGTGCTCCCCTGCTCAGGACGGAGAGGCTTCTGCAAGGAGGGAGGCTGTGATTATGAAGCCAATACAATCTCAAGAATTAAAAAAAAAAAAAGCAGGAATGTGGGTGCTTCCTGGAGGGGCCCCCCCTTCACCTCACTGACAGGTGAGGCTGGGACTGGGGACATGGTTGGGGCACAAATCAGAGAGGAAAGAAAGATCAAGACAGGTTTTAAGAGGAAAAATTTCAGAATCTATGTCTTTAAATTCAAAGAAAGAGAGGATGACACTGCTTCAGTCACTTGGTCACAGTGAAGAGGAGAGCTTCAGAGCCTGCAATATCGTTTTGAACGTTCTGGACATTTCTGGACTGGCGGGGGGTGGGAGCATCAGGGGAGAACTGCTGGTGAGCCTGGGCGGTGAGCAATGAAGGAATTCAGTCCCTTCTCCAAGTCAGGTTTGGTCCAAACTTATAGGAAGCAGGTGAAGCTGAGAACCCAGATGTGGGGGATGGGTAAGGAGAGGCAGACACAGAAAGATGAAAAGGGGAGATCAGGAAGGCCTGTGTTGTCTGACATTAAACCAAAAGCCCAGCTCTCCTGTTTAAATAAACTGCACAGGCCTGTTCCTGACGAGGACTACAGGAGCACAGGCCTCAGAGCCTGGGCCAGGATGTCACCAAGTACCTGGTGGGTTTTATTTTGATCTAGAGCATTCTATGTCACCCAAACACATGGGGAACAGAGAGCATGGGGAGAGGGGATGGAAGAAGGGAAGGGGGCCTGTGGTGGAAAAGACGATGGGGATGGGACGCACCTTCTTTGATGCAGGTGTGGTTTTCCTGCTGGTAGCCCCGGGGGCACTCACACATCAGGTCACCAGATGGCAGGATGCTGCTGGCCACGCCATCTGGACACCGGCAGCTCTTACTGTTGTTGGCCTTGGGCAAGCACAGCAGGCTGCAGGGCCTGGGCACGCAGGCATTGCTTCCTGGGGAGGAGACAAACACGGCCACGTCTGGGTGAGTCCACACCAGGGAGACCCTGAACCGGGGCCTGAGATTCAAGACCACCTCCTAATCTTCAGATACGACAGCGTGAAGCTCGGAGAGAGAAACGCGGGGTGGCGGGCACTGCAGCACGTGCGCCACCTCTCTCTGCTCAGAGCCCTGAGTGAGGCCACGATGCGGGGGGGGGGGGGGGTGCTTCATCAGATGGCCCTGGAACCAGGCCAGGTATCGGCCCTTCCTCCTTGGGGACTCAGAACTGGGCTCCAAAACCTGTGCAGGTCAGAGCTGGGCAGAAACAAACTCCAGAGGGTGAGTCCGGAGGATACAGCAGACATCTGGAGCAGAGGAAAGGACAAGACCAAGGTCCCGGAGGGAAAGGGACAGAGAGAGCCAGAGAAGGGGCGGCCTGGCCATTCCTGGCACCAGTCTCCATCAGGCTCGCCTGTGTTTTCCATCTCTGAGTTCCTCACAGTCTCCCTTTATGCTTTTATTAGCTCTTTTTGAGTTAGCGTGAGTGGGTTTCTGCTCCTATGACCCAAAAGCCCTTCATTAAAACCACACACCTGAATAATGCCGGGGCCCGGATGAACATCCCGGGCTCTGTGAGCCACGGTCAGATGCCGAGCTGAACAAGGACCCAACCACAGGGCCCTCCCTGGCTTCGGCACTACCTGTCCTGTGATAAACCCACACAAGGACTAGTAAATGTGGGCCTGTCCCTTTCTCCAATCTTGTCGTGGGTTCGGCTTTCCAAAGAGAGGGCCAGATAAAAGTCCATAAAATCCTTCACTGTACTCTGGAGGGAGAAGGTGAACGGTGATGGAAAAGGTATTTTCTTATGCCCCACATCTTTCCAAGGAGGAGGGGAGAGGATGCATAAAGCACTTCGTAACAGCTAGAAATACAACTATCAAGCAACATAAAAGCCACAGAAATTACGAAATGTGTGCTCGTTCTTTTGGCTGTGACTACTCATCATCAAAATTGAGGAAAATAAATACAAATGCTTTGATAAAAACTCAGTCGATGGTGGTTCTTCAGTGGTGCCATCTCACGGCATCTCCACTGCCCAGAATCCCATCCAAGCAATCTGTTTCCATCCAGCCAAGATTTTTGCTATGTCATGCCTATACCGGCCTGCTGATGAGAAAACAGGGTTCATTAGCAACCATCAGTATTGATAATACCCTCAGTAGCTTTGGATGCATTGGTACTTCATCAGTATTTAACTGGCATACATATATGCCCCTTGGCAGGGGCATCTGGGTGGCTCAGTTGGTGAAGCATCTAACTCTTGATTTCAAGCCCAGGTTGTGATATAAGGATCATAAGATGGAGCCCCGTGTCGGGTTCCATTCTCAGCGTGAAGTCTGCTTGGGATTCTCTCTCCCTCTGCCCCTCTTCCAGCTCGCTCGTGTGCATGCTCGTGCACTCTCTCTCTTTAAAATAAATAAAATATTTAAAAAAATAAAAATAAAAATTGCAATGACATAGCGGCAAGTGTTCCTTTGATGCTAAGGACCTGAGAGCATGAAGCATTAGGAACAGAGGAAGTACACACACCCACAGAGGAGAATCCATACGATGAAACATTCCAAAGGATTCTACAAATAATTCAATCCAACTCTGAAGGTAGCATTACCATGGTAGAATAACCAGCTGACGGAAGCAGAAATGCCAGAAATCAATTCACCCCTATCTGTTCCATGGGTAGAGATTGGTCCTTTTTTTGAGAGACATATGCCCTAGGCTACAGGGAGGAACACAGAGCTGCCGCTAATGAAAAACAACGCCAAGAGGATCTGGAACATGTTCTTTGTATTCAAAGGACAACATATCACTTAATGTTCCAAGAAATTGAACAATAACAGAATATTTGAACAATACTCAAAGACGGGATGATAATTCCACGTGGGCTAGGCCTGGGAAAATAACATGACGAACATTTTCACATATGGAGCAAATGTTCCTACCCAAAGAAGCGAGAGCCAGGGGTCTGGAACCCAAAATGAGGCACAGTATTTCAGGAAGCTGGTCTAGACCGAGATGTATATAGTCGGAGAGGCAGTATCCAGAGGCAAACCCCAAACCAGGCAGATTGAGTCACTGACCCCAAGAGGTAGGCAGGGCAGGTGCATGTGGGGTGCTACAAAGCCACAGCACATCACAGAGAACCTGAGAGAGCTTGGAAGGAGCATTTAGCAGAATTTCACCAGAACATAGCCACAGACTCTTTATAAAGGATGCTGCAGTCTCGTGTGGGTAAGGCAGGCAGACGTGAAGAGTGGACAAATGACAGTCATCACCTCCAAAGATGTCCCATTTAAAGATCAAACAGCTGCATGGTGTCTTCATTGGGCAGATTCAGAAACACGTTCAGATTTCCTCTTTGGAAGATTCCTCCAGAACCAGTTGAAGAGCCAGAAATGCTATTATCTTGCTTAATTATCTACATGCTTGACAATTTTCAAAATCAAATCCACCCCACAGGATAAGTATTTGCCTTCGTTGTAGATATTTAAAAGCTTTAGCTTACTGCAGACTCTGAAGGACAATCCCCAGAGCTCCAAAATATTTTAATCCATTGCAACCCCAAGTGGATAAATCATCAGCCATGCAAAATAAGCTCTTCAAAGAAAAAGCACTCTTGATGAAGAATAAATCCCAGTAACACTACATAAAAATCAACCAGACATATAGATTAAGACAGGCGTCTGTTCTTATAACCAAATAACTGCAACGGACATATGTTCCAAATGAACAAAACTGTTATCACAAACAAAAGAATCGATCAACATCTAGTACTTCTGTATCACTGTCACACACCAGAGCAGTGCTATGCCAACAACAGATGACAAAGGGAGCAGAGCCTGTTTCGTGGAAGTCAATATGGCCATGGTTCAAGTTCTTACCACTTTCTAAACATCCGCTGTAGAAACACAAACCTGACTTTCACGTCCTCATCTAGAAAATGGAAATATGAACAGTACACATGGATTTTGCAAAGGTTAACTGAGGTTATCCAAGCCCACAAAGCACATTGGTGTGGTGCTTGTGACACAGTAATCCCTTAATAAATACAGGTTTTATTTGTGTTATTACCTTACACTTGGTGAACGGGCAGTCCTATATGTGTTAGGAGCAGATGCCAAAAATAATAATTGACTGGCATCAGGCTTGGCCGATAGGCATCATGCATTTGTAAAACAGAGTCCCAAAAGAGCAAGCAGGTTAGAGCAAACAAGTTCAAGGCCAAGAAGTACCTGCAGCATACAGGTGGTGCTAGCAACCAGATGCCATTTCAACAGTGTTCAGTTAACCCAACCTTGCTCATCTGAGAGGTCACAGACTTGCTTCTCTGGCCCTGCGTCTGTGGGTGGGAGCTCAGCTGCAAGGATCCTGCTCACACAAAGGAGAAAAAGAGAATCCCAAAGGCCAATGGAGGAACGGAGGAAGGAGCAAAGAGAGAGCTGTGGCTGGAGGTGATGCTACACAGTCCTGGATCTGTGTTCTAACCCACCGGCACACGTCTCCTCCATCCAGACCCCAGCCAGACTCCCAGAATTACTTCGGATGGTTTAAGTGAAGGTGACTCTTTTGATGCATGAAGGAGACTACATGTGCACGTGTTGCTTAGACCACAGACTATCCCTCCTACTGCTCCCCAGGACCCAGCTGTGACTGGACATCAGCTAGAATGGAGCAGGTGACCAGCCAAGACTGGGGAGGGGGAGACCAAGGATCACTGGGCCACCTGAACTTGGTGTTTCAGGAATTGTCATGTGCTCACCACACACATGCTTATAAGCACTTGTCAAAAGGAAGACCTACTTTCTGGACTGAGCGCTAACTCAAAGAAATGCTGATGATTCAACTCGGCTTGCTAGGGACACCCATCAGCAGGGCTGGGGGTCCTCCATCAAACAAAGGCCCTGACTCTCAGCCCCTGGACATGTGAAGCAGGAGTCCTTCATCTCCCTATTTTATTTTTTTTTAAGATTTTATTTATTTATTCATGAGAGACACAGAGAGAGAGGCAGAGACATAGGCAGAGAGAGAAGCAGACACTCTGTGGGGAGCCTGATGCAGGACTCGATCCCAGGACCCTGGGATCATACCCTGAGCTGAAGGTAAATGCTCAACCCTTTGAGCCACCCAGGGGCGCCCTCCCTATTTTAAAACAGGCATCTCCTCTAAGAAGAATGTGACTCCTCGGTTTAGTGGCAGAGCTGGAAGAAAAGCCCAGCTCCTAAACTAGCGAGGGAACTTTGAGAGAGCTAATTCACCTCTGAGATGCCGTTCCTTAATCTATGAACCACAGATCAAATGTTACATTTCGAACATTCTTTACCATTTTGTAAGGGTGCTGCCAATGCTATCTTCATTGGTTCCCCCCAAAATAACGATGGTATCTATAACCGTATTATTTCCCTCAATCTCCCAGCCCAGCGTCAGCCAAAACCCACAAAACAGCGTCAACATTCTAGTTCAAAACAGGAAACCTAGCAGTTTGTCAATAAAGGCGAGTCAGCAGACCCAGGATGCTATTTAATCCTGCTGAGATAAACAGGGTGCTTCTTAAAGGGGCTATTCTTCCGGGAGCATCCTGCTGTCTCTCCTGTAGAACCAACAGTGTGGGTGACACACAGAGGGAAAGGGCAGGAAGTGAGCAAGGAGGCTTTCAGCTGAATGAATAGTCTAGGCCTCCAGCACCGGCGGGTCACAAGGCTTGGAGCACCTCTTGAAGCCTCCCTCAACAATCTTCAAGACAGCTACTGTCTATACCAACTGGCACCTGGTCCCTTTTCATGACCTCTTTCAACAAACACCGAGCCCTACTAAGTGCTAGGCAGCAGCAAAACCGTTGAGAGGGGGGAAAAAAAGACCCAATATCCTTCTTCATGGGGCTTAGGAGACTCAGGTGGAGACACATTAAGTAATGCATCACATAACTACACCTCGCATTACAAGGGAGTTAGGTGCTCGATGAGCAACAGGTCACCCGGGCAACCAGAGGACAAGATGGGACTCCCGCCGGGAGGCAGCAACTGCCAGCGCACCCAGCACAGCACCCAGCACAGCGCTGCTCCCTGTAAGGTTGCCAAATGGGGATGAAGCACATGCTGGAACTCTCCAGCTGCAGCAGAAGCCACACCACCAATCAGTCAGGGGCCAAAGGCAGGAGGAGGGTATAATTACCCACCAAGTATCACACTCTAGGCAGGCGAAAACATGCTGTCTTCCAGCTGTTTGTGTACCATTAGAAAAGAAATTAAGATGTCATTAGGCAGAAATTAAATAATGTGCATGTTGTCGTGAGAATAAAGATGCAAGCTGCCAGCCCCGCCTGAGCAGCGATTGCCCACACCCAGCCCCTTCCTAGAGACCAGCTCGAGAGAGAGGAAGCAGGGGATGCTTACCAGTTGTCTTGCCCTTGTAGAAAATCTTCATGTCCATCAGCCCCGTGAGCTCGCTCTTGAGAACCGCCATCTGGGACCCGCTGAATTTGGAAGCTCGGAAGATGCTGAGCTGTGACCAGTCATCCCAGTAGATTTCATTCTAGAAAGAAAACCTTTGCTCATCGGTCCAGCTCCAGGGTCTCCGATTCTAGACCCTCAGTAAGAACGAGGAGGCACCCATATGAAGGACACCTAACATTCATGGGGGAATGATCACCCCATCATCAAGATTTCACTGAAATGCAAAGCAGTGGTTTTATCCAGACCTCACCAAAGAGTCCCACTGAAGGAACTGCCCAACGGAAACTATGTGATAAGCATTCGAGTTTGACCACAACCCGACCCTTTGGTTTGAAATCTGCTTCCCAACGTCAAGAAAAACCAACTGTTCTGTTCTCTGGAGTCAAAGCAGTAGTGCCAAGTAACACAGATGGTACGGAGCTCATCTGAGGTCATCAGGGCACGAGGTGAGCATGAGATGGAGACCCCAAGCCACAATGACCGGCACTCAGGGGCAAACAGGGATTTTCCTGTGAAACCACCTCAACCCTTAGCCTTCTGAACTGTGAGCAGTGAGCAGCCCGGACTCCTGGCAACTCTGTCTGACATCCATCTGTGAATGAGCTGATTTTCTAGAAGTCGGACAAGCATCCCTGCAACAACCCAAGACAGCAGCTCTGCACCTGCTCTAATGCAAAGCAGGGAGCAAAGAATGCCCCACCTTAAAGACAGCAATGGCGTAGGGGTGGGGGAGGTTGTCCAGGACGATCGAGCGCCGCTGGCCATCAAAAGTGATCCGCTCAATGCAGTCCAGGTAGGCGTCTGTCCAGTAGATCCACTGGTCATCCACAGAGATGCCATTGGGCCACTTCACATCCTCTGACACGAGACGATGGACGGCAGAACCATCCATGTTGCTCCGATAAATTCCAGGCTTCAGGTCCCCCCAGTCGGTCCAGAACATCACCCTGGTCAAAGCCGGGAAAGAACGCACATCACATCAGACCTCGGGTAACGGGAGCCAGATACTACCCCAAAGAGGTAAGAAGCCTCTCTAGCAGTTAGTTCAGCAGGATTATTATTATAAGCTGTAATTATAATACTTAAAGCCACCAAATTTCTTGCCCCAAAATTCCTTTCCTGGAATTTTTCTACAGATATAATCAAGTTATGTGAAGACAATATACAGAGACATTCATCACAGCCTTGCTCATACCAGCAAAAAAACATGTATGTATTACGTGTAGAGACACAACACACACTTTTAGGTGGACAGAGAAAGTGATAGATTCTGGTACATACAAAAGAATATTATGATGCCTGAAAATCTCTAAGTGCTCACGTGAAAACAGCATCTTCAAGCCACGCAAAACGTTTTGAAAACGTGCAAAACAGTAAATATCCTACGATTCTATCTGACACAGGAGTGTGCCTGTGTGTTTTAAGGCTATGTGCTTGCACGTGGGTAAAAAAGAACTCTGAATGATACACGACGAACTAACCCTGACTAACCCTAGGAAGTGTGGGGGAGAAGGGTTAAGAGTGAGAAAGGAAAGGAGGGAACAAATATTTTTCATACCATAAACTTCTTTTCTCTTAATATTTTAAATCAAGTACATATAATTTTTCTCTTAAAAAACAGATCTAATTCTCAATCATAAATACTAGAAGGATAGAACGCCTAATCCAGAATTTTCTTTCAGTTATGTTTCCTTAAGTTAAGAAATTAATAAAAAGCACCTTTGCATTTCCCAGGGGCATATGAATTGCTTGCAAGAAACTCCGCCCCAAGCTGGGGCGGGAGGGTAGGGAAGGGATGGAAGGGATTATAAGTTTGCATCATGCATCAAACTCAGGATAAAAATCCTTGCCATCTCCAACCAGGCCTGACTCCACTCTCTCTATGGAAAGACTTTTAATAATACCTTTCATTGGAGAAACACCCCACAGATGTAAGACATCTGGATGTGGAGAGTCTGATGCTTGCTAACGAAAGGGAATGGAGTTACCCAACAAGATGACTGAGCTCTGGTTTCAAGACTCGAAATCAACAGATTATTTCAACAGCCATCACCAGAAACAAGTTTGTGTCCAGCAGGTTGCACTTCCACGAGAACCTGTCTGCTGCAGCATCTGCCACATGCTGATTACCTCCGGGGCCATACTCACCCATCCTGGGGCAGGAGGACCAGAGCCCTGGGCCGATCGAGCACAGAGGAGTTGACGATCGTGAGTCGGAAGTCACCATCTGGATTAGCTACCTGACAAAAAGAGGAGTGGGGAGGGGCAGGAGGGGAAGCCGAGATGGATCTGAGCTCCCGGGAAGGCCCGCATCACAGCTTCCTACTGGGCTGCCCCCTATAGACACCGGCCTCTGTGGCTGCCCCATTACCCTGCAGACTCATCTGGGAAACCTGCCCTGACGTGCGGTCAGAATGAGCTATTCTCTCCTCTGGCTCATGGGACAATGCTCACAGGGTCTGACAGAGGAGCCAGCACTGCCACCTGCACCCAGTTCTGGAGGCAAGACGATAGATCTGCACAAAGTACTCAGTATGTATTATTTATTTAACCCACCTACGTTGCTCCATGCTCCAAAGCCACCAATGGTTCTACACTGTCCACAAAACAAATACACAGTGTCTCAGCTTTACAATTAAGAGTCTCCAGAGGCTTTTACTTCTCTCTCCTCCATATTCTCTCTCCTCCACTTTAGCCCCAACAACTTCAGTGAGGCTGGCCATCTCGTGGTTCTCGAACCTGCCCACTGCTCCACAATCAAATCATGTCTCTCCCTCGAAACTCCCCTCCAGGCCCAGCTCCTCAGCTCACTCCTCTGACCCACCTTCATCAACGAGCATCAGCGACTTATCTTACCATCCTATACTAACAGTACCCGAGCTGTGTGCTGGGAGAGTATGGACATCTTATGCTTTACTGCATCCTTCTAGCACCTGGCAAAGTGCTGACCACACACAATTAAAGAAAGGAGAGAACCAAAATAACAAGACCACCGACGTACTACTCAGTATGTGCCAGGCACTGTCTTTTCACTCATTTCTCCCAACCACACTGTGAGATGGACACTAGTGATACTCTCCTCGGGCTCAGCTCAGATGCCACATCCTCAGGGCCTTGGGAAGGCCCAGCTGGGTAACGCTGCCCCACCCCAAAGCCACACGATCACACCATCCTGTTGGACGTTCTCTGCAGGACTCATCACTGTTAGAACTGATGGACTTATGTCTTCATTAGTTTCCTTCCTCCACTAACATCTCGTCTTTAGCAGAACAGGAGCCTGGGTGTCTTGCCTACCGCTGTATCCTCACAGCCTCCAACCATACCTGGCACGTACCATGCCAGAAAAAGCACCCGTCAGATTACAGGGTGGATAAATGAACCTCTGTCTCACAGATGCAGAAACTTGCCTGGCTTCCTTAGCTACCAGAATGAAGACTGAACCCAGGTCTGGCTCTTGACTTTGTGGCTTTTGGCTTACAACTCCTCCAGACTCTCTGTGCCTCCTTGCTTCTACTGAAATTTCCACATGACCCACACCCCGGGCCTCCACGTAGTCAGTACAGAGAGGGCCGGAGACAATGCCCCAGGGCCTCAGTAGTGACTTCCAGGAGTTGAGGGTGCCTATAAGACCACGACTTTGGTATTGGAGAGGCCCTTTCTTACCCTCACATCGCCCTGGATAGCTAAGGTGCAAATAAATTAACAGGGTTGTTGTGAGAACCAAATCAAGTAAATTCAACCAAAGTGGTTCCAACTGGGCTTGGCACAAAGGAAGTGCTCGCTGTCATCAATCATCATGATTATGACCATGATATGGTCTTAATTACTCTAATCGACTACAATAATACTACAGCGTGGATAATACAGCACTCTAATAATGCTATGGTGTTATATAATTATCATTATTGTTACTAGCACATGCTCTGGCTAGCCAAAATAGCACCATTCAGGGCATCTTAATGGAATCTCAGTTTGATGGGTGCAGGCATCCTGTTTTCACGTGGGACTTTCGGGGCAATGCCCAAGATAGTTCTGAAACTATCTGCCTTTTCTTCCTTTCCCAGGGGCTCACCTGGTCCATTCTCCGGAATTCTCAAAGGATTTCTAGAGAAGCCTGGCACGCTGGCTCCTCTCACTGTGTCAAACCTGGCTCAAGGCCCAGATGCTGCCCCCTACTCAATTAAGGACAGGATGGAATACACGTACCTCAATCTTTTTAAAGCCAGAATCTACCCAATACAGTAACTGGCTGAGGGATTCAAAAGCCAAGGCTTCTACGGTCTCCAGGCCAGAATTGATGATCACTTCTTGCCCTGTACTCCCATTCAAACAGAGGCGCTGTGGAGACAGGGGACGGGAGAGAAAAGGTTGTGAGTGCTCAAATGACCTCGTGCCAACTCGGTCCCATGGATGGCCACCCTTTACTCCACTGGCTTTGACAGCCAAGGAATGAGATGTCTTTTATCAGTAAACTTTCCACGTGAGCGAAGCCGGCTTCTAATAAAAGCTTTTCTAAAATATATTATGGCTTCCTGTTTCAAGCAGAATACCTAAACAGAACCTAATCATTGATATTACTCTGCATTTTCATTACAAACACTGGTTACCGAATGATGCTGTGTCCCAGTAATGAGGTCGGAGATTACTGACAAGCACGAGTCTGTTTGCTTTGAAAATAAATGGAACCAGACTGCTGTTATTTTTAAGTTCTCGTGGCAGCTTTTATAGGCTCCTCTCCCTCGGGAGGCTCCTGGCCATCAGGTGCTGTCTGGGACAGCTGCACAGCACAGTCGCTGCCAGGCCCTGGAAAACCCAGGCACTGTATAATTTCTCTTGGGTAGGAAGTCCAGATAAAACTTGTTAGAATTGCTTTTCTAAAAAGGATTAAATAGGCAATGAATAAAGATCAAATAGCTCTCCTTTAAAATGCATGGGCTGGAGTCTATAGCTATCCATCTGGCCTGTGTGGGGATCTTTACAGCTCACTTCCTGGTTCTTGACTGTGTTCAGAATAGCTGAAGTGGATAATTACGTGAACTGCGGGTAAGTCAAGTGTTACTGTATCATGGCTTGGGAAGAAGGACACTTCAGAGGCAGCTGCTGTGATAGTGACTCAGAATCCTACACTCTGAGACCTCAAATCTTCCCAGCAGGAAAAGTGAGGCCTCCTTTATAAGCCAGACTGAAGATCTGGGGCTCCTTCTGTCCTTCCTACAGGGACAGAGGGAGGCAGGGCAAGAAAATACTAAAACAGAAGAATGAAAAGTGTTACCTGTCAGCCCTGAAAACAGTCATGACTTCAAACCTCTAATAACCCATTTCCCAAGACCATCCTGAAGGAAGCTTATCGGGATCGGGAGGTCACAAGGCATGGGTCCCCCACGAGCAGACCAAGGGTGAACGCACCTGGATGATGTCCAAGGCCAGGTCCGACCAATATAAGCAGTTGTGCTCATAGTCAAAATCCAGAGCCACAGCTGCCCGCAAGCCGGTGAGAGGCAACTGCTCCGTGGCTCCTGAGGCCAGGTCATAGCGGTGGATGGACCTCCGCATGGCGTACAGGATGAATTCATTCTCCTCTGCAGAGACACAGACGACAGAGAGGGTGGGCCTGGGGGATGCCGAGGAGGTTGCTAGCACGTCTCACCTATTTTCCCCTCACGCATACACCTCAGCGCCATTGGCACACATCGTAGATCGAGTGGCACAGCGCAGGCATCAAGATTTCGAAGGTGCGTAAAATGAAATCCCGTTTCCGCCTTAAGGAGCAAGGTCACTCCAACTCCCGTAAATCTGTTTTCTCATCTGCAAGCTGTCCTGTTACATTTGTTTTGTTCACTTAGATGCCCCAGTCATGCTCCAACATCCATGCTCCTGAGCTCGGCCCAGGAGTCTTTAGAGTCACACGTGACGAAATAATTACCCCACTCAGCATGTTCTCACTCGTCCCATGACTGTATCACAAGGCACCGTAATCATGTTGACCAGAGACCCCTGGTCCCTGAAGACTTGCAGCTAATCTGGATGTTCACCCATCCGATATTATTCGCAATGACACACAGCAATTCTATCAACCTATTATATTTTCAAAACAGCAACAATAACCTTTGTTCTCGGATACTTACAAAGTGTTTCCCAACATCATCATCACAAAGACTCTATTTCATCTTAAATACTATAAACGTGCATACTACGTGCCAGGCATCGTTTCGCTGGTGTAATGACTGCATACTGGAAGAACCACTATTAAGTCAATTTTACAAATGAGAGCACAGAGGTTAACGCGCTCAAGGTCACACAACTGGTAAGAGGTGGAATCAAGGCTTGAACTCGGCAGTCTGAATCCAGAATCTGCGTTTCACCCACTACATGATGCTGCCTGTCACGATGCATTTGTTAAACATTGTCGTTTTTCAAGATGCAGAAATAGAGGCCCCGGGGGCTTAAGGAGACTTAATGTCAACGAGTAACTGGGAGAGCTGGTGCGCCCTCTCTTCCACTTAGGGAGCAGGATGGAAAGCATCCAAATTCTTCCACAGTGGAGGAGACGGGCCATACACCTGAATCCATGTCCAAGGGTCCACTTGCCAATGTGTTGCAGATGGGACCTGAATCCCTCTGCTGCACACCTGCACAGTGACTGTTTCTTTCTCCCTCATTCCCTTATTCAGTGAGATCCCAGGGACTAGCTACCCACTCTGCATAGGCTTCAACAGAGACAATGCACGAAAAAATAAATCTATATGCAATTTTTTTAAAAAAGATTTTACTTATTTGAGAAAGAGAGAGAGAGAGAACAAGCTGGGGAAAGGGGAAGAGGGAGAAACAGGCTCCCTGCTGAGCAGAGAGCCCAATGGAGGGCTTGGTTCCAGAACTTTAGGATCACGACCCAAGCCAAAGGCAGACACTTAACCGACTGAGCCACCCAGGCGCCCCTACCTACAATGTTTAATAAAGGTAAATTTGTGCTCTTTTTCTTTGGTTTCACTTCATTTCAAAAGTATCTAAGCCACCACCACATGGTAACTGATCTCTTCTGGTTTTCAAAAGAAGTTTCCCACTGTGCTTCCCAGTGAAGAGGATCCTTACCATGAAAGCTGCCAAGCCTGCAAGTGACACAGAAACCAAGGACTCTCGTCGAAGCTGCCGTGGAGAGCCACGGAGGATACACTCACGCAGCAAGACTCCCACCCCTCGTTTCTAACATCTGCAAACCCCAATCTGCAGCTTCAGGTTTTCTTCTCACCACCCGATGCCCTAATAGCAAAGCCTGAGTCTAGAAATACTTGCCTTAGGATTAGGTCCAGAGGAAACTTCTGCTTTTCTGTGCTCAATGATTAACTTAGGAAAGGAAAAGAGAGGCACCTGGGTGCTCAGTGGTTGAGCATCTGCCTTTGGGGTCCTGGGATCAGGTCCCGCATCATCGGGCTCCCTGCAGGGAGCTTACTTCTCCCTCTGCCCGTGTCTCTGTCTCTGTGTGTCTCTCAGGAATAATTTTTTTTTTTTAAAGGAAAGGAACAGAATTCTTAGCCAATTCCAGTCATACCTGAGAACAGCCTGAACATCTGTGTTATTTTATAGTAATCATAAAGGAAGAATGACTTCATCTTTAAAAATCCTTCCAGGTGGGGCGCTTGGGTAGCTCAGTCAGGTTAAGTGTCTCTGCCTTTGGCTAAAATCATAATCCTGAGGTCCTGGGATTGAGTCCCCATATGGGGCTCCCTGCTTAGTGGGGAGTCTGCTTCTCCCTCTGCCTCTGCCCCTCCCCTGCTCGTGCTTTCTCTCTCTCTTAAATAAATAAAATCTTTAAAAAAATTCTTCCAGATGACCTCCTCTTTGCAAAGATGCTACGGTTCCCATCAGCCCTGGGAAACCATCCTTTCCTTTCGTGGTATGCCCCTGCCTTTTGTGCCAGGCATTTTCTTTTTCTTTTTTACATTTAGGAGGTTGGGCCTACACTACAAATGTGATTTTTCCACTTTGTTCCCTGTTCTCTTTTTCTCCTCAGAAAAGAAAATAGCTCTCCTCCCAGTTTAGATGGCTTTAAACAAACTGTTTTGTCCCTCACTGGATTATCTTCAGAAATGTTTATTGCAAAAGTATGTACTCCAGCCCTTAAGAGCAATCACTCAAACCCTACTCACCCAAACCCTCATCAATAACAGCTCTTGTGAGGAGCGTATTTGAATATTATCTGCTCATTTGCGAGAATCTGCTGAAGCCGTGTTCTTTTGAAGTCTCCACAGTGAGGGATGTTAATTACTCTGGTAATGATGGAAGATTAAATTAAGGAACTAATGAGCTTAGCATGAAAAACACAGAGGCGAGCTGGCAAGCAGGAGAGAACGAGGGGGGGTGCTCTGCAGAGGACCACGCACTTCTCATGATCCAGCGGGCGCTGATGGCTGTTCCATCAGACACCCCCGCCAGGTCAGCTCCAGCCATCCACTTCCACGAGAGAGGGAAGAGCAGCAGGAAGGGCTCCCAGGAAATAAGGGAGCTCTGCACGAATAAGCAGTAGAAACAGAGCAGGAAAGGAAAGGTGGCTAAGAGATTAACTATTTGCGAGGGTCTCCTCATTTTGAGGCTAGACTGCAAATACCACACCACCTGTGCCATCACCCATCAATTTAAAGCATGTGTGGACCACACTATCCCTTTACAGCCTGTGTACTCCAAAGTTTTTCCTAATGAACATAACTAATGATCACCTAAAATGATGGGAATGACTCTCCTCTGCCACTTGGGTGATGTCCAGGGAAGAGCATGGGTCTGAAGAGTCTGAATTTGAGCTGTCTCTTAACAGATGTATGACCTGCAATAGGCTGACTAACCCTTTCCTTTGAACATGCTTCTTTATTTAAAAAAAAAAAAAAAAAAAAGAAAAAGGAGCTTATTACAGGATCTGCTCCACTGGGTCGTGATAAGGATTACAATGAGAACACGTGGAAAAATACATTAAAATGTGTGAAGTTCCATTGAAGTACTTGCTATTATTATTACTATAAAAATTAAGATAGACCACTTAGTGAATTCCCCAAAAGCCACGAGTCTCTTTATATTCAACTCAGACAAACAGATCAAGGAACATGCAAAAGCCCCCCACCCCCACCATGCCTAACATATAAGACATGCAGAATAAACAGTTTTCAACGAATAAAGGGGATTTTCCTCAAAAAATACTTCCCATTCCTATAAAAGCCCAAGGCTATAAATAAATTTGGCTTTAATTTCCCCAAGTTTAGGGAAAAAGGGAAGTTCAGTGCTGCTTGTAATTTCCATGTTTCTCCTCCATTGTTAGAAGGGCTGCAAGACTAGACCTGGGTGAAATCATCAGGATGCTAGAGTGAGTATCTCAAGATTTCAAAGGCAAGAAACCACCTCTTACCTGCCAAGGGACATGGGACCAGTTCTCCTTCCAGTCGTGTTTCAACGTCTCCTCCACTGCAAGTGTCCCCAGAAATCTTCCGATACCTGTCATCCCCCAACCCCAAGAGCAAGAGGTCAGACACAACCAAGAATATAAGTCTCCATAACTGGAAACCTCTTCCTATCCATAGACAGTAGCATCCATCCATTCATTTCCCTACAGAACAAAAAGGATGTGTATTCATTCTGAATTGGTCCTGCTTATGGTTACGTTGGGCAGCCCACACCATTGGGAAGGCTGCCCTGGCCAAGAGTTTACATATATATCTCTTCAACGAACTCCTATAAAGATGTATCCTTGCCAAATTCTATGACTTAGCCCATAGTGAGAGCTGCAGCGAATTTCACAGATTTGCATGGGGTTTTTTTCTGGAGTAGTAGAGTTTGCATACTAATGCTAAATACTGCCCAAGTTTCCTAAGAGATGCTAGCTTGGATCCAAGCACCTGGAGTATGAAAGGAACCCAAGTGGCCCCCTCTGTTCTCAAACCCAGGGTAGACCCCTCGTGTCCCGCACATGGCGACCATTGTGAGACATACCCTCTTGTTCTCCTATAAGTAGAACCCACAGGACAAGGCATAGGAGGAGCGTAGGACTTCCCAGAAAACTCAGGATCCGGAACACAAACCTCTAAGAAGAAATCTTCACTCATCTTGAAGCCAAAGTCACTAAAAAAGGCAATTGGGGTCCATGAGGGCCGTTAAATACTTCAGGCATGTCAATACCAACCCTTGTGACATCTCCCAGACTGCCTATCACTTTATTGTAAGCTATTTCCTTTGTCCCTTTAAAGAATACCCACCTGGGCAGCCCGGGTGGCTCAGTGATTTAGCGCCACTTTCAGCCCAGGGCCTGATCCTAGAGACCCACGTCAGGCTTCCTGCATGGGGCCTGCTTCTCCCTCTGCCTGTGTCTCTGCCTCTCTCTTCTCTCTCTTCTCTCTCTCTCTCTCTCTCTCTCTCTCTCTCTCTCTCTGTCTCTCATGAGTAAATAAATAAGTAAATCTTTAAAAAAAATAAATACCCACCTTTTTACATTAACACATTTTCAAAAGAAACTTTATACCTGAACCATGATTGGAAAACCACCATCATATGCCAAAAACAATACAAATCATCACCTCCAAAACAAAACAATATTAATTTTTTTAGCTGGATCCAGTTCCCTCCCCAAGGCTCTGGGTCTGCCAGGTCTTTATTAAGAGGCATTAGCAAATGTTCAATAGTTACTAGCACCCAGTGATACTTTCTCCTCAATGTGATTAGAAGAACTAAAAGAGGAAATTTCAAAGAATAATCTTTTTCATTAAAGATTCAATGTTATTTAAGACCATGTCCACATACTACCTAAAGTCACCTGGGGTGTCTCATCCTGCACATAGGGACATAATGCTTTGGGCCACAAGACCTTCCACCATTTGGGGGCCACATCTCTGCCAAAACACCCAGCTCCAGGGGCAGAGTCCTGGAGTAAGAAGCAGAGATCTGGGTCTATCCCCACTCCACCCTTCACAGCATGACTTCTCAACAACCTCAAGAAGAGGCAACTGCACTAAGTAATTCCCAAAGCCCTGCCCAAAACTTAAATTGTAACTCAAAGGGATTTTCCACATTGATGTGCTCTACTCAAAAGGCTTCATTTACTCTATTCAGTCCAGCCAATACTTACTTAACACCTTCTCCACGAGAAGTATTAACAGGTACAGGGCTAAGCAGTTTGTGTGTTTATTATGTCATAATCCACATTTAGCAATTTGTAGAAATTTTTCAGAAGGGAGAGTTTTATTACTCTACCAAATAGATCTCATTCATTAAATTAGGTCATTTTTACCAAATGGCTGCCTAAAATCTTTTTGGAGAGGTAGGTGGAGCATTAGCTAATTACTTATTTGCCTCCGATGGCAAAGCACCTGTCCTTAGTAAGATTTCTTCAATCTCTAGCCTAATAGGCTGTGAATACACGCTGGAGTGCTAAACCCAGCTTCTGAAAGAGACTAGCTCTGAAATCAGGGAACATACGGGCCAGTGGCGGGGCGTCCCAGAGAGATCAGAAAGGACTGTCAAAAGCAACCAGACTTTCCGATGTAGTTGTCACTCAGGAACCGAACTAACGCACAGATACTATAAGCTCATGCATTCTCATTTCCTCTCCTGCTGTCCACCTTCAGACCATCTCCCTCCACAAGGCCCCAGTCCAAGGCCACCGAACATTTCCAAGAGCCACACAGTCCAGCCACCTCCTTTCTAGCAGCTACACACACAGATGGCTTGAGGCATCACCCTCATGACCTCATATGGCCTAACGCCCAACTCTGTGAGGGACAGGGCAGGTGGATTTCTCAATCTTTAAGACTCAGCACCTAGTGATCTCCATGAGTAAGCTGAGGAGAGCATGGTAGACCAGTGGGAGCCAGGCCTTTGTTCAAAGAAGGCACACCAGCCTCTGGTTTCTGGTGGTGGGGGTTGTTGGTTTGGTAGAAGACAGGCAGATTTTAGAGAAAAAGCATAGTAGTGGTCATTAAGGAAAAATCCCAAAGAGTTGTTAGATTTTCCTTGCATGTTTCTTATTTCATTTTGAAGTAATAATGGGGATTAAGGAAGAGAGAAGAGCACTATAACCTCTTCCACAGAGGACCCCTACAGTCAGGGGGACCTTGGGCCAGCAAAAGCTCTCAGAATAGAATTACAATTTGGGGGTATCTAAGGGAGAACAGAAAGCAGCAAAGGGGCATTGAACCTCTGTGGTTTTGCAACAGAAGGGTCAACGCTGTTATTTTAGAACCACCGAGCTTTCAAAGAGAGTGCGCGTCTTGTACTGTCTAAAACCCTGCTGTTCAAAGGATAGGTTTACAGATAAGCAGCACCGGGATCACAGGGAGCCTAGCAGAGCTAGCTACCCCCCCAGAACTAGAGTCAGAACCAGCATGTTAACAAGATCCAAGGTGATTCACGTGCACACTCACATTTCAGAAGCACTGGTCTAGGGCAGGACTTGGCCCGACCTAGAGAGCTGTTCTTGTAAATCAAGCTTTATGGGACCAGAGCCGCACCTATCCACCTGTCGCTGCTTCCGTGCCACCACGAGCAGTTGTGGAGCTGCCAGCAGAGACCATATGGCCTGCAGAGCCTAAAACATTTACTCCGTGGCCCTGTTCCAACCTCTAGACTAGGACATATCAGAGGCCACTGGCTTTTGTCAAGATAAGTGTGGCTTCCCAAAGCAACTTTAGGTTTTATGTGCCTCAGCAACTACTGAGAAAGGAGCTACATGCTCTATCTAGATTGATACTCATGCTCTGCGGATTGCCCTGCCTGGCCTGGAGTGATTCCATGCTCAAGGCTCAAAGGACTGCCTAGGGGCTCCGAGACCCTACATGCTTTACTTCTAGAATTATCTAAAGCCAGGCTCTGCTCTGATCATTGACTCTCATCAAAAGCCTTCAAAGGGGACATCTGGGTGACTCAGTCGGTTAAGCGTCTGCCTTCAGCTCAAGTCATGATCCTGGGTCCTGGGATCAAGCCCCGTGTCGGGCTCCCTGCTTGGTGGGGAGTCTGCGTCTCCCTCTCCCCCTGACCCTCTACCTCACTCATGCTCTCTCGTGCTAATAAATAAATCTTTAATTTTTTTTTTAAAAAAAAGCCTTCAAAGCCCCTCATCCTGCTCACAGAATAAGGTCTGTACCCCTTCTGCCTCCACCCTTAAGTATCAGCTCAGCTCCACTCCCTGACCTTACTTTATACCTACAAGGCATCCAAGCCAAACCGCCAGGGACTTCCCTGCCTCTGCCCCTCCCCATTGCTGCCACATCTCAGAGTGCTCCAGTCCACAGACCCAGGAGCTTCCCTGAGGCCCATCTCAAACAGCATGACCTCCAGAAACTTCCGGGTTTGCCAGCAGCAAATCAGTCTCCTCCTTCTTGCCAACAATCACAATAAAAGCACGGAAAGCCCACGCAGCTTTCCCTCTCTGGCCGTGTGATTTGTGCACCCATGGTTTCTCATGCCTCCACCTTTCTCAGCCACATCTTGGGTACTCTGCTTCAAGCCTGTATATATACACTCAAATATGTATGTACTGACCCCATATGTATGTATGTCCCCTCGTTTCTGCAGAACAGGGCTCCTAAGAAAAAGGAGTTACCTACAGTGGAACCTTCAGTGTGTTCCCTTTTGAAGTTGTCCTCATTGAAATAATTGCCAGAATGATCTATTCCTAAATCAACTGCTGCAGCTTCCCTAGGGTGTGATGCCTCTCCCTCATTGTGGAGCTGTGAGGACTAAATAGAGTGATCTATATAAAAAGTGCTTAGCACATTAAAAAAAGGACACTTATTAATAAATACCGACCTCCTATGATTGCCCTTCTTTTCCTCAGGGGGAAGGCTCTAGTCTGTGTGCCACACTGCTGGCTGAGCAAGACCCGACCCAGTCCCCAGGCATCGAAGAAGAACCAACCATTCATAGTCCTGCCGGGTGCAGGAGCAGTTGGACACCACCACCGGCCTGTCAAAGTCTTCTCCATTAAAGCATGTTGCGTGCGGTGTCCTCCGTTTGAAAACAGTCTTGTGTCCTAGCAAACACTCGTTGCCCCGCTCATCAGACGGCGACCACAGCTTGTAGTCATTCTCTGTGCAGGGAACCCCTGGGGAAAAGGGAAATGCAGCAGGAAGCATGTGAAGGAGCCCCACATAGGGGTTTCCTGTCCCCTTCGGCCCGAGCACCCACGTCTGGCTCGTCCCGCTGCTGCTTGGCAGGCACACAGACTCTCTGGAGCTACGCCAAGCCTCCCATTGGCCTGCTCTGATGCCAGGAAGCACCCATGCCAATGGAAATGACACCTCCTGAAACACAGCTGTGCTTCTGAGAAAGCTGGGAAGAAGCAAGCCACCTCTGGCACCAACTAAACTCCTGAAATATTCTAGTAGATTCTGCAGTTCCCTCCAGAAATGGGTATCAGAGGTGTTTATCTCCCAGGGAGGCAGGATCAGGCCGGATCCTTGATAGATGGTGTCGTTCAGGAATATGGTTTCCTGCCTGCTTCCAGGGGGACAAGGGGAGCACGTGTGGGCACGCCTGGAAGTAATGGCCCGAGAGCAATAGAGAATTCACTGTCATTACTTGGAAGGCACAGAAGCTTCATGGAAGGAGGCTGAGAAATGGTAAAACAGCCTGGATGATCGCTCCGTCACCCACATTCCCTTGGAATTTAAGTAGAGTGGTTTCTCCAGAAATTCCAAAGTATACCTATGTCTACTCTGGGACCCTAGGTCTTTCTTATATGTGTGTCTTCAACCAGATTCCATGCTGCCTAAAACTGATGAACGGCCGTCAACTCCTTGCCATTCCAATCAGCAAGTACTCATTAAACTCTGACTGTAAGGCTCTCAGGCTATTCAGTGGGTGGAAAATACACATGACAGGACAGGTTCTTATTTCCAAGGACCTGATAATCTAGTTGATGGGGAATGATATAAGCAGGGTGACAGACACAAATGTGTGATTCAGGGCGTGAAGAGTAGGATGCTTATGCTCTGGACACAGAGAAGAGAGGAGAGAGAGGTCTTCTGGTGGAGATTTAGCAGCCAAGTACATGGATCCTGAAACAGGAAAACGATTTTAAGCAGTAGAAACTGAATAGGTAGCAGAGAGGACCTTTTGGTTCAGTTGGAATGTCATTAGCCAAGGCAGAAGGAGGGGGAGAGAGCGGGGCTGTACAGGGATGAGGGAGGAAGGAAGATGCTGAGTCACCCCTCTCCCTGCTAGCGGATGCTGACAGGACCCTAGACAGCTGAGAGGATCCTGTATCATCTGGAACACGGCCCCTGACACAGGAATCACTCGCTCAGTCTGCCAAACCAGAACTGCTGACTTGGAAAAATGAGGACACAAAATGACACACGGCCCTACTGGGAACTGCCTGAGTAACTGTCTCTGAATATCCCGGTCACTGCTTATGTGTGCATCTTCTTCGACAGCTACAGACTCTGTGGGCATGTTGGCTCTAAGCTGATGCTTTGGGCAGTAAATGTTTCCATGAAAAGGGCCAAGGAGGCAGCGGCTTACCCAAGGCGTCCGTGGCATTGACCTGGAGGATCAGCCAGTTGTGGACATTCTCTTTGTTGGAGCCAAAGATGGTGAAGACAGTGCTCTTCTCCCCAGGTTCTGTGAGGAGACCGTAGACAAAGACTGGCCTCTCAGAGAAGATGAACGTTTTCCAGGTCTCCCCTTCATTGGTACTGTACCTGTCCAAAGACGAGGAAGAGGATCCTTATGGTTAAAGTCTCTAGGGCAAAAGCTTGGTTTCCAGATAACATTCACTAGTGAGAGAAGCCAGGAGTCCTTAGAGAAATGGCTGAAGCAGGGAACATTCAAGGTCATGCCAGAAAGCAAGAAAGCGCTCAGAGACCAATGCAATCAGGGCAAAAGGACACAGCGGCCAGCTTGACTACGGAACTCTAGCTGGTCAGTTTGGGAAAATTTGAACATAAGAAGAAAAATGATGGTAACAGGTTATACGCTAAATAAAAATAGGGTAGAGGTCTCTGAATGATCCTAAAAGGATCTCCCAGGGAGGTAGGGTCAGGCCAGATGATGAAGAGAGAAGGGAAGGAGGGGAAACTTTTTCTTCTATCACAATGCTACCTATTACATGCTGAAAACAATGATAGCAAGAGAAAAATGACCCTCCCATCACCCATACAGTAATAACCGAGCCAGGCAACACCATCACTGGACGCTAAAACCACCAGGTGAAACAGGGCTGCGGACCAGGGTGTCCACATGGTCTAAAACTATCAACTCACAGATGAATCATTCACTCTGAATGGGGAAATGCAGTTCTACAGCAGACCAGAATCACAGCCGTCGCCAGACTCAGCACCAGGAACAATGGAACAATCTGACACTACACGCCTCCTTCCTGGATGAAGCACTGTTGCAAATTTGCAAATATCACATCACTTGTGTTATACTCTGTACAACCAGACAAATCCAGCAGGGGCGACATTCTACATGGCAACTGGTTCCAGATTCTTCCAAAGCAAAACGGAGGGGGGGGGGGCATGAAAAACTTAACAAACCAACAAAAGAAGGCAGAAGGCTTGTTACATAGAGATTAAGAGGTGTTAACGACCACAGGCAATGTGGAAACCTTGACTGAATCCTGGGTTGAGAGGGAGTGGGGTGGGGAGGCAGGTGTTAAATATATAAATACAAATATAAATATAAATACCGTGTATAAGGCACACTGAACTCCTGCTAATTCTCTTAAGTGTGATAATGGCATTCTGATTGCATAGGAAAATACCCTTATTTATTGGAGATACAGGTTTTCAATATTTAGCTGGGAAAGGGCATGATGGTTATAACTTTCTTTCAGGGGATCCCTGGGTGGCGCAGCGGTTTGGCACCTGCCTTCAGCCCAGGGCGTGATCCTGGAGACCCTGGATCGAGTCCCACGTCGGGCTCCCTGCATGGAGCCTGCTTCTCCCTCTGTCTGTGTCTCTGCCTCTCTCTCTCTCTGTGTGACTATCATAAATAAATAAAAATTTAAAAAAAAAAACTTTCTTTCAAATAACTCAGCAAAGGACAGACAGATGGACAGAGAGGCAGACAGGATGAACACACAACTGACGGATGTAAAGCAAACTGGCAAAGTGTTAGCGACTGATGATTCTGAGTGAACTTATTAGAGTGTTCTTTACACAATTCCTCTTTTTCCTGTGGTCTGACAGATTTTTAAGTTGGAGGAAAAAAAAAAAACCTGTGCAGAGAAAAGTCTCTACAGAGGACTACCTCAGAACCAGAAAACAAGCTCTTGGAAAAAAAAAAAAATCAGCAGCACTGAAGTAACTGTGCTGATTTTAAATGATCTTTTTGTATTAAAGGGGAGGAAGAGGAGAAGGGGAAAATCTGCCTAACACTTGCTTCATCGCCCAGTATGCTGGTGACATGCGTGAGAAACCACTAAGTGTTTCCTTTAGTACCAGATAACTCTAGGTTCTGTCTCAAACCCCAATGACACACAGAACTTCTTTTTTTTAAGACGCCTGGGCAGTTCAGTGGTTGAGCGTCTGCCTTAGCTCAGGTCGTGATCCCAGGGTCCTAGGATCGAGTCCTGCAGCAGGCTCCCTGCCTATGTCTGCCTATGTCTCTGCCTCTCTCTCTCTCTCTGCATCTTTCATGAAAAAATAAAGTTAAAAAAATCTTTAAAAACTTCTTTCACCTTTCCCCTTTTTTTGAGATTTTAGTTTTACTCCCTCAGCATTCTCATAATTGACATAAATCTTTTCACAACATCATGCAATCTAAACACTTCGTCCCAAATTGAGGTTACTAAAATGGATACTTCTGCAAGAGGCTGCAGGTTCAACCAGTGGTGGAGGGGTGGGGCTGGGTAGTTGGGGGAGCTACAAGGCAACATCAATAATGAATGGCGGTGAAGACTAAATGACTCCTCCACAAATCTCCCAAAGAGAAGGAATACTCTGGTTGAAACATTTTTGGAGGAAGCTAATTTTGAAGCAGATCTGGAGAGAAGTTAACCCGTTCACCTGCATCGTACCAGTGTGACATGCTAAGGGCCAAGTACCACTTTTAAAGCAAAATGAACCAGCAGCACTGGTCCATTATCCAGACAGGACGGGAACTATCTGTTTGCTCTGTGATGATGCTGAAGTCCATCTATTCGCATACTGCTTTTTGTTAATTCTATTTAAGAGCTCATCGAACCCCAGATAACCTTAGGAAATGAAGCCTCCCATTTCTTGAGAGGTTCCCAGAGGACTCTGGGATGACGCCTGAATGAGACTAAGCAGCAGGTGCATGGCCAAGCACAGCCATGTATTTGAGAATAAACTGTGCATTTAGAAAACAATGTTTTTTCAGAACTTCGGGGAAGGGGCAAGTCACATCACCACCGCAACAAACAGTTTGGGAAACACCTGCTGTGGACCAAGCTCTGATCCCTAGAGGAGGACTGGTTTTGATGACATGAAAATGACTTGAACCTTGCAAGGAAACAAACCTAAGTCATCTCTGTGCTCCTCCAGGCGTGAAAGACCATACAGAGCCCCAGTCTTTAGGATTGGAGGGTTCAAAATGTTCAGGTAAAAATACAGACATAAACCCCATGGTCAAAAACTCTCAAGAGGATGGGAAGGCCACTGAATAGAATATACTAAATATAACATAACATAAATATAATCACAGATGCATTAAGTAAAGGAAGTGCTGATAAGATACTCAACTGAAGACAGTGCTGTGTGGCTATCCAGAGAGCTCCTTGAGGAACTCAGATTGTTAAGCAGCATGTCCAGGATGAGAAAAGTGCAAATGCAAAGAAGTGAGGAGCAGCAATAATCTGCTGGTTAATTCTAGCTGTAATTCCTACAGCAGGTGATCCGTAGGAACAGTGGCCAAACAACTTAAACTCAAACAGCCAAATTATAAAAATAAAAAGTGACTCAAATTATAAAAGTAAGTGGTAGATAAGTAGGTCAGTGGGATGGTGCGTTGGTTGCCTGGTAAATTCTACAAAGAATTAGCAAAAAAATTCTATCAACAACTAGAAAGGATCATCCTTCTGATGGTCAATGTATAAATAGTAACAACAGGGCGTAAAAAAAAAAGGCAGAATCAATTTCTATTTTGGTTGTATCTTCATCAAGTAGAATGATGTTCAAATTAGACAAGGCAGGGAAAAAAAAAAACAGGGACATTAAAAGAAAGTGAGTATAAAAGAGGGCACATTCTAGGGAATGGAAAGACATGAATCTCTCAAAGAATCACGGAGAACAGAGAGAGATCTTGAAGCCCTTTAGGAAGATGAAGAAGAAAACACTGGTTTCGAGAATGGAAACAGCTCATCTGATGGATCTTAGAACAGAAGGAAGTCTGTGAGGGCTGGGACTCACGTGATTTCACACGCAAGTCACAACAAACTAATCCTATTTTCCTTTCCTCACGGTAATCCTTGATTGGAAGGAGGAGGTAATGATACACAACATTCTTTCTTCCTAAGCATCTCTGCAGGCCACACAGCTAGATAAAAATTTACTGCTGGTGAATCAAATCCCAAGCGTGCTGAACTGACATATGATATGACCTCAATCCAAAATGAGACCTCTGGTTCCCACACAGCTCAACACATTAGTCAAGGATATGCATGACAATATGGAAGGTCAGTCTATCAGATTTGCAAAGCATACAAGGCTAATTGTACTGATAATGCAATTAATGCCAAAACAGGATTCAAAACACTTTTATTGTATCAAAAGGAGAAGCAAAAATGAGAATAAAGTCCTACCTGTTGTTTCAAAAACCTACCTGCTCAGTTACAGGATGAAGAAAATCTTGAGAAATTCATAAGAAAACACTCATAAGAAGAAAAGGCTCTCTTATGTTTTGTAGTTTAACTGAACTTTATCTACTGATAGAAGTCACAGCAGAGATAGAATCTCAAAAAAAAAAAAAAATGGTGAGTAAAAGAAGCCAGATACAAACACAGGAAGTTCTAGAATAAGCTGAATTAACCCACAGTGGTAAAAATATAACCAGACCATCAGCTGCCTCTAACGGGGGTGGAGCAGGGGCAGTGGTATTGGCAGGGAAGGGGCAGGTAGGTATTTTCTGGGGGGATGGACATTCTCGGCATCCTGACAAGTGCCCTCCAGAACTGATTCAGCCGTGTATTTACAATCTAAGCATCTCATGGTGTGTAAATGGGGATCTCCATTTTTAAAAAATAATTTGAAAATAAAAAAAAGATGAAAAAAAAAACAATTTGGCAGAAGCTAAAAAGTTGGGGAGGCTGTCAAAAGTGTGAGCACAGTGTTGGATGTCCTCTAACAGGAACTGAGCATCTCGAGCCCTGTCAGTGTTAATCCCTGTACGTCGGGGTCAGCTGCCGGGGTCAGATCTGGGCCCCAGGTTTTAAAGCACTGACACGGTGAGACAGATCTAAAGGATACCCAGAGGGTGGAGATCCATGGCGTTGGGATCCCATGGCCTCAGAGGAAAGGAAGTGGAACCATTTGTCGTGGAGTGGGAGACATGAGGGATGGACAGGGAGGGCACCTCAGACACCTGCATGGTGTTCAGGTGAAGGAGGAAACAGCGTGTGTGTGTCTGTGTGTGTGTGTGTGTGTGTGTGTGTCCTGGGAGCAGAACACGCCCACTAACCAGAAACTGGAGAGAGAATCTGGGCTCTCTCTGACTTGAGGACTCTCATTTCATAAAGAAATAAATGGACCTTTAAAAAGTGAGGGAATGAAGAAACGAACAACAAACCGTCCCAAAGTGAAATGAAAGCCCCTTCTGCTCTAGCAAATCCCCGTCACTCAACCTGTTCAAGCAAAGACAGGAGGATGTTCCATCACCGGCGTCAAGAGAGAATTCACACAAGGGCTGGTGGAAGGCCGAACCGGGTGTGGACTCCTGCTGGATGTCTCCCCGTGCACAGCCCAGGGCAATCCAGTCCAATCTGTCCAGATTTCCCTGCCCTTTTCCCCTGCTCCTCCAGGAGGAGTCTGATCAGTGCACCCCATCACTCCAGGCTAGTCAACAGCAGTCAGTCCTGCAGACTTTGCCCCCCAAAATGCTTTGTCCACCCCCACCAGCTCCCAGCTTCCTCTCTTACCTCCAGTCTTGCTTCTTTTAAATTTATCCTCCTCAACTTGCCAGGGCCATCCTTCCATAATTCAAATCTAGCTGTGTCATTCGCCCACTGAAAACCCTAAGGAGATACTAACCCTGCAAAAACCAAGCCTGATCTCTCCCAAGCAGCATGCAAGGCCCCCTCCAGCTCCGAGACCCCACCTATAGGTGCCTCAATCCCCCTTTCTCCCCACCCCTCCCTGCAATCTGCATTCCATCAGTACTAAAGCCTGAGGCCTCCCATGGATGTGTTGATCCTCTTTGCCCAAGGTCCTACTAACCCTGAAACAACACGCCAGCCTTGCTTGAGCTCCCTCTTCCCCCTCCTTCCTTCCCCTGGCTTCCCAGTAGCAAGCACTAGCTGGCTGCCATTCTGTGCTCCCTCTATCTTACACTTTTCTGCCCCTGGCACATGGTGGCACCTCTCTCGGCACACAGAAGGGGCACTCATTAACATTCTCTCAAGGAAATGAAATAAGGTGCACTGTATTCTTTTAACCCCATCCCTCAGCTTCTTAACAGTTAAAAGGTGATAAGAACACCTGCTCCACTCTAACTCGAAGGCCAAAGGCACCATGTGAGGGTTAAAATGCAGGTGAGGGTGGCTCTCTCTACAACTGTCCCAGTGTTACCACTGACATAAGGGGCAGCCACCAAGCATGCAGGTTAACTGCCACCTCCCCCATTCTGGATGCTTCCAGAACTCAGGTCTCCCCCTGCAAAAACAACAACAACAACAACAAAAAACAAACACAAAAAACTAGCTGCTCTGCTGGGTGTACTTTGTGTGATCCTTTAGGGACTCCTGGAGGAAAGCCTCTTGAAATCAGAAATCTCCCCTACAGATGATGCTATTGGGCAAACCCAAAATGTTATCAGAAACTACTAAGGACAGCATTTTGCTGGCAGGTAAACCAGCAAGAAGAAATGGCAGTTGATCAGTCGATCTTATTTTTCATGGTCAAGCCAACAAACTTATGTTGGGGTCGTCTTTTTTTTTGGTCAGACTTCAAGAACCCAGTAGCCCCTTCCCTGAAGGACTCAGGGATTATATGCAAGAAAAACCCGAATCCCCAGAGCATGGTTCAGAGTGACAGCGTGCTGATCGAATGAATACATGAATCCCAAGAACGGGTTCTTATTTACTCATTTCAGACATGTAGACACAAGAGCAAAACAAAGTGTTCCACTTCTTGCTCTCAATTTCAATTAGCAATAACAAAGGTAACAGCCTCAGCAGAGAGTCAAGGCAGGAGCGGAGACAAATAACAGTCAAATCTTAGTTATCTGGGCTAATCAGGGAAAGAAAGACATGAATAATTTAAAAGAACAACCACTGAAACAAAACAAAAACCTAACTCTTTCGTGAAACATCATTCCAACCTCTGTTCCCACTAAAACTCTTTCGAGAGTTCCTGGTGTTATGCTGCGTGGCTTTCTTCCCTTAAGGCTTTGGGTCAGAAAGCTCACTTTCAGAACAAGCCCTTCCCGTGGCCTCTCTCTCCAGCTGACTCAGAAACACAACAGAGCCACAGGGCACATGGGCAGCTCCTGATTGACGCCTCACTCGCCTTTGCATGCTGGGTACCTAGAACAACGTCTGGCTCACTACGTGTTCAACACACATCCGTGTAATTGACCTGAGAGGGTCAGGAAATATGCTCAAGGTCCAGTTTGGGCCCCAACTACTGACAAGTCACATTAGTTCCTCCAAGTGAAAATGGAGGAAGGTGGACTGGGCCAGCCCTGGTGCTTCTGGGTGGCACACATCCACTCCTACTTGAGCTCCGGAGCACATCATTTACGTAGAGCACGGCGGGAATGGCCCCCTCAGAACCGTGCACCTGCCATACTACCGTGCCCCTCTGGCTTCATCCGTCAGTAAAGACATAAGCAATCTTGGAAGACTAAGTGTGCTTGACCTATTTATTGAATGATCAGACATTTACTAAGTGCCTGCTGGCCTGTATGGCATAGAAATACTGGTCAAAAGACCTTGCTAATGAGTTGAAGAATTCAGGCATATAATGAAAAGCTAACTAATGAACGAAGTCCATATATGATCGATGCCCAATTAATGAGACCGCCAATAAAGGCTGTGAGACTCAAGGAGAGACATCACTGTGGTCGGGGAGGCCTGACTTTAAGGGGCCCAAAGTCCTGGCCCAGCAGCAGAAATCCCCCACTCGTGCTCGGCTATCACCGTAAGTCACCACTGTGGTCTGAGGATATGAACTAAGTAGAGTATTATTTCCTGCTTGTCTTCTGATGAAGCTGATAGTAGAGTACAGGGACAAGTCAAAAGCAGAGTATCAAGAGAAGCAGGAAAAAAAAAAAAAAAAAAAAAAAGAACCTCTGAGGGCAACCTACTGAGTAAATGCCAGGTGGCTACACAGATTTAGGCCAAGCTCTGACTGCTATGTAGGACACATGCACTTGTCAACAGGAGGCAGGAATTATTCTCATATTTGCAAATGCTTTATTCGAACCATGCACACAGATACCTCCAAATAACCTGGAGAAATAGAAAGGTACTACAGTGTCCATAATCCCCTCAAGTCCACACCCCCACACACACTTCAGCCCCCTGTCATTTTTAAGCATCCGGGGAAGGCATGGTGATTTTTTGGCAGCAGGTTTATTTTCCTGGTCATGTTTTGCTCCAGCTCATGCAGCAATGACGCTGCGTTCCCTGAGCACATATGCACCAACAGATGGTGTAAGAGGACTAGAATCATGCTAACTACTCCAGAGAAGCCAGCTCGGAATGCAAATGTCAACCGCAGAGAAGTTAAACAAGGAAAATCAGAAAGTGACTCCGCGATCAGACTGCCACACGAAGCATGACATGCATGCTGCCCAGGAAGCCAACCCACGTCCCCTGCGGTATTCCTCACACGGCCAAGTCCTAAACATCACAGTTTGCTTGTGTATCTCACCCCAGGAGGATCGACTCCTTATGAGGGAGGGGAAACATCCTATTCATCTTTAGATGTGCAGGACCCAGCACAATTAGTGCTTGCTAAATATGGGAGATGGGAATTGATAAATTAATGGGTAAAGAAATAAGTGGTGGTACAAATATGGGAAGCACGGTGCTTCGTGACCGTCCTCATCTGAGCAAACACCAATCGGAATGTGGATCCAGTGTTGGGTACAAACAGGACTTCTTCTGGCTCTTGGCTCTAAAGCAGCAGCTGACTAGTGTCACACAGACCCAAGAACAGCCAGATGCCAGCCCTTTGTTGCTTCTCTCTGCTTCTTTGGGGCCAGCCTACTCGACATAGGTCAAATTCAGCGTGGGGGAAACCAGATGCTAAGATCGTTTTTCAAACCACCCACCTCTATCTTGCTGCTGGTCCTGTTTCTAAAAGGAGCAAAGGAAAAGAAGACTTTTTTCTTTGCATTAAACAAGACGATTACTGAGGCCTCCCCACTTCCTTTAGGAACACATCTCGGTGGGTTCAGTGCAAATACAGGGAGAAAGGAGGGCCAGTTGGCCCTGACCCACCGTTAGCCAAATTAACTTTTGTACTACTTCAGATAAAAATAATCAACAAACTGGTTCTGATAAAATCAGACTTGAGCAAGCAGAGGTTATAGACTCTAGACATTTTTGCTTCTCAGAGCAATACATTTGCAAAGAGTACAGAACGTAATTTAACGTCACTAACAAATGGGGGGATCCTTGGCAAATTACTTTACCTTGCTGAGTATCGGTTTTCTCATTTGTAAGACGAAGCTGTTAACCCCAAATGTCCCTTCCAGGTCTGTTAATTATGAATCCCCAAACCAGATGTGTCAACAGCAAAAGTCGATTGGCTACCAAGTAGTACACATTCTGAAATTATTACTCGGGTATTATTATTATGTATTATTATTTACTGTTGTTATTATCGCTCATTCTATATCCCACACAAAGCAAAGATGGACCAGGTGAAGTCTCTGGTTAATTTTTTAGTCATTATGAATTTAAATTTATATAGAGTCGTACTTGGCTGGATCAGTAAAAATATATCATTTGTTCTTTGTGATAAAGAATGTGTAAATCATTTGCTAAGGTCAACAGTGATTTGGTGTCAACAACCTAGTACTGAAGAGAGACAATCCACTTATACTCACAGACTTACTTTCTGGAAGAGCAGCATGATGTTAAGAGAAAAAGCTTCCTCAGAGACACTTACTTCAGCTCATTGGTTTCCATGCCCTGGGCGATGGCCATGATGATGCCGCCATGGTCTCCCCAGGTATAGTAGTGAGGTCCAGGAAGTGCCTGAAGAGGAAAAGCCAGCACTGATGCCACTGTTCTGGAGTAACTGAGCAGTAACCATGCACACCATACATGCACACACACGCACAGGCACACACATAAGCATGTGGCAGTGATGACAAGCACTTGAAGACACTTTTTCAGTTTCCAGAGCACATTCACATCCATTACCTTATTTGTTCCACACAACCTTGGGGATGGGGCAGTGAGTTCTCTGATCCCCATTTTTTTCCCCAAATGAAGTAACCAAGGGTTGGCTGATGGTAAACAGCAGGAATAGGCGTCAAACCCAAATCTCCAACTCTCACCAACCAGAGAGGACAACTCAATCAATTGGAGTTTGAGTTCTATCCACAACAGCCCATCATCCTTCCTGGTGATTACAAGCAAAAACTTTGAACAAAATATTAAAAAAAAAAAAAAGAGCTACCCAAGGATATTGAAGAGTAAACAAAATCAGATGGCTTGTGCAGGGGACTTAAAACCTGAGCAGCAATCACAAGCTGGGATTTCCTGTTTAGAAGGAAATGGCTTTGCCCCAAGAGAAAATCCCAGGCCTGGAACATCTCAGATGGATGGCTACACCATCAACAGAAATGACTTCTCCCTATTGATTCAGGAAACGAAGCCCTGGCAGGCCAGGGAGAATGTGGATGAAATCCCAGAGGAGAGAGTATCAATCAAGTAAGTCCTCTAATTCTGTGTATGAACTCACACAAGCCTCACCCTAATCCCTAAACTACACGCATGTGGAGCAGACTTAAACCAACATGGCAAAGGTTTAGTGAATGAAATGGAGATTTGTATGTGAGAAGGAACCCACAGTCTAAATCTAAACAGATACACTTTCCGCTAAAACAAAAATATCCACATCCTCCAGTAGATTCTATTTCATGTATGTCATTCACATGTCCAGGATACAACCCAAAATTATTCAATGTACACACATACCAATAAAACCTGTCCAGTTCTCAAGAGAAAAGACAATCACCAGGTGCCAACCCCAAGATGGTTCAAATGCTGGAATTACCAAGCATTTTAAAATAATGTAATTATTTTATATTTCATACATTATTTATCATAATGTAATTATGATCACATAATTGTGTCTCACAGGGTAAAGGAACACACACTTGAAATGAACAAAAGACAAAGATTCTTCCCAGAGAAGTGGAATAAGAAATTTTTTTAAAAATTAGACATGAGGGATCCCTGGGTGGCGCAGCGGTTTGGCGCATGCCTTTGGCCCAGGGCGCAATCCTGGAGACCCGGGATCGAATCCCACGTCAGGCTCCTGGTGCATGGAGCTTGCTTCTCCCTCTGCCTCTCTCTCTCTCTCTCTCTCTCTCTCTCTCTCTCTGTATGACTATCGTAAAAAAAATAAAAATAAAAAAAATAAAAATTAGACATGATATTTGATGTCAATTTCTTAAGAAAAGAATTTTAGAACAGAAAAATATAACATGTGAAGTAAGAAATTCACTAATGGGCTCAACAACAGAATAGAAATGACACACGAATTGGTGAACCTGGTTATAAGTACAGAACAGTAGAAATTATCCATTATAAAGAACACCAAAAAAAAAAGATTGAAAAGAAAAAAGCCCCAAAGACCAGGAAGATAATAATAAAAGCATGTGTGATTTGAGTCTTAGAATAGGAAAAAGGGACCAGAGCAGGAAAAATAAAGTATTTGAAGAAATAACACCTGAATATTTCCCAAATTTGGTGAAAGACATACATTTATAGACTCCAGATCAGCATACCCAAACAGGATAAACACAAAACCATACCCTTACATACATCACAACATAACCACTAAAAACCAGATAAGAAAAAAGATCTTGAAATCTTTACACAAAATGACGGACTGCATGCAGGACATGAAATGACTGTAGATTTCTCATCAGAAATCAGAGAGGAAAGATAACTATGGCATATCTTTAAAGTACTATCAAACCAGAATTATATATCAACAAACACGTCTTCCAGGAATGAAGGTGAATGAAATAAATTGATTCTCAAATGAAGGAAAACCAAGAAAATGCGTAACAGATAGATCTGCTTGACAAAAAAATGCTAATAGAATTTCTTCAGGCTGTAAGGAAACTTAACCAGGGGGATACAGGGATTCTCAGGAATGAAGGATGAGCAAAAGAAGTATCTGCGTAAATGTAAGACTGCTTCTTTCCCCTTAAATTCTTTAAAACTGGTATAATGATGTAAAGCAAAAGTAAAATCATTGTCTTGTAGGTTTTTTTAATATATTTCAATGGGATACATAGGACAACAATAATAAAAAAAGTCAGGGACTTACATGGTTGCAAGGTTTCTAAATTTTATGTGAAGTTTAACATTATATTAAAAGTCATATTAATTCAAAAAAGACTATGACAGAGTACGCATGATGTAATCCTTAGAGCAACCACTGAAAAAAAAATAATAAAAAAGTAATACCTAAATAAAAGCAGAATACCAAAACCATCTAAATAATAAAGAAAAGTCAGTAAAGGAAAAACAGAGTAATAAAAAATAAAGATACACACACACACACACACAAAATCTTGAACCTAAATCCAACCATATCAACAATTATGTTAACTGTTAATGGTTTAAGCATTTTAGTTAAAGCAGTGCCTAGCAGAATGAATAAAAAAGCAAGACCCTACTAGATGCTGCCTATAAGAAACCCTTCAAATACAAAGACACCGGTAGGTAGAAAGTAAATGGATGGTAGAAGATATACTACTGAAACAGTAAACATAAAAAAGGCTGGAAGGTAAAACAGACTTCAAGGTGAAGGTTATCACCATAGACAAGAGGGATATTTCCTAACAGTAGAAGGGACACAAACAGAAAAGATAATTATAAATGTGCATGTACTTAATAACAGAGCCTCAAAATACATAAAGCTAAAATTAACAGGATTTAAAGGAAAAAATCTCCCACAATCATAGTTGGAGATTTTACCACTGCTCTCTTAGAAATTACTAGAACTAGTCAAAAAAAAAATAGTAAGAACACAGAAGATCTTTTTTTTTTTTTTTTTTTTTAAAGTTAATCATTTTATTTTATTTTTTTTTTTATAAATTAATTTTTATTGGTGTTCAATTTACCAACATACAGAATAACACCCAGTGCTCATCCCGTCAAGTGTACCCCCCAGTGCCCGTCACCCATTCACCCCCACCCCCCACCCTCCTCCCCCTCCACCACCCCTAGTTCATTTCCCAGAGTTAGAAGTCTTTATGTTCTGTCTCCCTTTCTGATATTTCTCACACATTTCTTCTCCCTTCCCTTATATTCCCTTTCGCTATTATTCATATTCCCCAAATGAATGAGAACATACACCGTTTGTCCTTCTCCGGTTACTGTGGCCAAGTTCAAAAAGGGTGTTGCCTGAGTTCTCCTCTGGGATTTTGATGGAATCTTGTCTCACATTTAGATCTTTCATCTATTTTGAGTTTATCTTTGTGTATGGTGCAAGAGAGTGGTCCAGTTTCATTCTTCTGCATGTGGATGTCCAATTTTCCCAGCACCATTTATTGAAGAGACTGTCTTTCTTCTAGTGGATCGTCTTTCCTCCTTTATCGCATATTAGTTGAGCATAAAGTTCAGGGTCCACTTCTGGGTTCTCTGTTCTGTTCCATTGATCTATATGTCTGTTTTTGTGCCAGGACCACACTGCCTTGATGAACACAGCTTTGTAGTACAACCTGAAATCTGGCATTGCGATGCCCCCAGATATGGTTTTCTTTTTTTAAAATTCCCCTGGCTGTTTGGGGTCTTTTCTGATTCCACACAAATCTTAAAATAATTTGTTCTAAGTCTCTGAAGAAAGTCCATGGTATTTTGATAGGGATTGCATTATACGTGTAAATTGCCCTGGGTAACATTGACATTTTCACAATATTAATTCTGCCAATCCATGAGCATGGAATATTTTTCCATCTCTTTGTGTCTTCCTCAATTTCTTTCAGAAGTGTTCTGTAGTTTTTAGGGTATATTTTGAGAACCATTTGAATGGTAAATGGTTCTCCAACCTTTTATTTTCAGGTTGTAGGTGTCCTTCTGTCTAAAATGAGTCTCTTGTAGACAGCAAATAGATGGGTCCTGTTTTTTTATCCAGTCTGAAACTCTGCGCCTTTTGATGGGGTCATTAAGCCCATTCACGTTCAGAGTTACTTGAACTTCTTCTTAAAGGGGAGTTTTAAGAGTCCCCCTTAAAATTTCTTGCAGAGCTGGTTTGGAGGTCACATATTCTTTCAGTTCCTGCCTGTCTTGGAAGCTCTTTATCTCTCCTTCCATTTTGAATGAGAGCCTTGCTGGATAAAGTATTCTTGGTTGCATGTTCTTCTCATTTAGGACCCTGAATATATCCTGCCAGCCCTTTCTGGCCTGCCACGTCTCTGTGGAGAGGTCTGCTGTTACCCTAATATTCCTCCCCATGAAAGTCAGGGACTTCTTGTCTCTTGCTGCTTTAAGGATCTTCTCTTTATCTTTGGAATTTGCAAGCTTCACTATTAGATGTCGAGGTGTTGAACGGTTTTTATTGATTTTAGGGGGGGATCTCTCTATTTCCTGGATCTGAATGCCTGTTTCCCTTCCCAGATTGGGAAAGTTTTCAGCTAGGATTTGTTCAAATACATATTCTGGCCCTCTGTCCCTTTCGGCGCCCTCGGGAACCCCAATTAAACGTAGGTTTTTCTTCCTCAGGCTGTCGTTTATTTGCCTTAATCTGTCTTCATGGTCCTTCAATTGTTTATCTCTTTTTTCCTCAGTTTCCCTCTTTGCCATTAACTTGTCTTCTATGTCACTCACTCGTTCTTCCACCTTGTTAACCCTCGTCGTTAGGACTTCTAGTTTGGATTGCATCTCATTCAATTGATTTTTAATTTCTGCCTGATTGGATCTAAATTCTGCAGTCATGAAGTCTCGTGAGGCCTTAATGCTTTTTTCTAGAGCCACCAGTAGCTGTAGAATAGTGCTTCTGAATTGGCTTT